CCCAACCCCAACCCCAACCCCAACCCCAACCCCAACCCCAAACCCCTTCTTGTATATTTTTTATTTTATTCTACTTCTATTTATTGTTTCCTATCTTGTTCCTATCTAATTTTTTTTTTTTCAAATTCCTTATTTTTTTGTTCATTAAGCCTAGTTTACTTCTTTTCAAACTTCTTTTATTAAATCATCTTTTTGATTGCATTCTATTTATTATATTATTTTAAGTAATACTTTCTATTTACTTTGGATCTCACACTAACTGATTCTATGTTTGTCTTTTGATCTTCTTAATTATTCAGCCAATATTAAAATCTAATTTCTATCCTTTAAATATATTAATCTGGATATAAAAAGTTGCTTGATTATTATTTTGGTTCATCTCTTCATATTTTTTAAAATAACCCAAACCAAATGATGAATCTTTAATTTAATTATTATGATGGTATGAGTAATTCCAGAAATCCAAAATTTCTATCCTAATACTAAATAATTTACTTAATCTTCAATTTTTAATCTGGAACCGAATTCAGAAGTTAGAAGGAGTATTTCATCTGTAATAAAATGTACTTTTTGAAAATAATCTGCTAAAATATAATTGTTACTCCAGATCAGCTCATTTACTTTGCCTTATTTGAATTCCAATTACTAAAATTTTCATGATGGCTTTTACAAATTAAATTATAAAATGACATCGAGATTCTATCAATATCGTCAAAATATTGTTTGGGATACTTTAGTCATAAGATTTAAGTTTAATGTCATTATTTTTGTTAATACAGTAAATTACCCTTTCTTTAATTAATTAAATTTATAAAAGTTATCATATTTAACTTGATATCATATAGGTATTATTATTGAGCATTTATAAATGAAAAAAAATTTAAATTAAATATATAAACCCAGTTCATTAAAATAACTTTAATCAGATTTATGGTCTTAACTAATTATAAAGAATTTAATAACATGATGATTGTTAGTTTTGAGATATAATTTACTCTAAAACGTCTAAATTCAATTTGTCTATATCAATTATGATTTTTCTATATCGTCTAATTAAATATCTCTTTTTATATTTTAAAGTTCATCTCTGTATTTAAGCAATCATTAAGTATTTTCATTCTAAGTTTGTCAATCTAGGTTTTTTGATAGATTAAAGGATAAATTAGCAGTTACTGAGTGTTCTTTATTGAAGCTCTGCAAATAATAATTTGTATAACATTAATAAAAAATCAACTAATTATTCTATAGAATATTATAGAATAGTTAAATTATATCAAAATTTTTCAGAAACCATAAACCAATAATCTAAATTTATCATTTAAGAATTTTTATATTTTGAGCTTAATTGCAAGTAACAAATTAATCATAAATATCTAAGCGAATGATATCTCCAGAATAGATTCCTCCAATATCTTTTGGTAGTAATAAATTAAATTGAATCATCTAAAACTACTTTTTAAGGATTATTAGGGATTTTAGAATATATTTGATCATATTAGATTAAGATGGTGCTTTTATAAATTAATTTCAAGCATATCAAAGGATTATTCTAAACAAAACTTAAATGATGAAATCAGAGCCTTCTAATTTTAAACTTTATAAGAAAAAATATAATCCATTACCCTAGAGTTACCTTGATTACATTCCTGAGTTGAAATAAATTAATTGACTTAAGATTATTTAAAGAAGTTAAAAGAAGAATAAAATTCAAACATTATTTAGATCATTTTTAAAGTCAATTCATAAATTTTTGGTTGGAAAGACTTTATAATTTGGCACTAGTTTAAAAAGATAAAGCACATAATTGAATAAGAATGAAAATAATTTTAGCAATATAGAAACAATTATTGCTGTACTTAACAATAATAGATAATTTTTTACTGGTGAGAATTTATGGGAACTAGATGAAGATGTAGAGGATACATAATCCTTAGCTATTTCATAAGAGGAGATTTTTGATTGGAATTTGAAAAATATAGAATTGTGGAAAGAAGATATAATTTATTAGAGAGGATGAAGTTTTATCAAATCATCATGAATAGCTAATGACATCTAATTTATGTAAAATTGATTTCTTAATATTTGATTTAGTGACGTTTATATAGTTGATTTTGATTAGATTAAATCTGCTTATATTAAATATTTTCAATCTCTATTTCAAATCTAGATAATTTTGCTTAAGTGATGCCTTTCTTTTTAAGAATTTATTAGATTTCAAGAGTATTCAGTTTTTAAACTTGTAAATTTATTTTATGAACTTAACACTTGTATGACATAAAGTTGCCTCCTTAGTCAAGATTAACGCCCATATATAGACTTTTAATAACTCATCCTTTATTTAATGAAAAGTGATTGGCAATTATCGAAAAAATCCTCATATCTAGCAACAAGAATTGCCAGCAAAAACCATTATTAATTGATATAATTAATATTTTCAATTAAAGTAAACGCCTGTTCAAACCCTAAAGTTAGAAATACTAAATCCCTCTAAAATTCAAGCATCTCATAGCGTAAGGTTATCCTCTTTTCTATTTCTTAAATACGAAATCAAACAAAATATATCAGTTCTGGGCATTAAAAGAAGTTATATAACATTTAAAACCAAGTGGTGTGAATAATATTAAACCTAATCTATTTTAATAAACTTTAGGCATTTTTTTAGAAATTATAAAAATTGAGTTTAACTAATAGATATTAAGTTATAATAATTAAATTCTTAAAGTCATAAATATCAGATATTATCCACAGTACAATGAAGAGTGCGGTTGAATAATAATAATAATATTAGAAGAAAGGAAATTAATATAATATTTAATAATCTTGATCACAATTAACTTTCCAAAATAACGCTCCCTCTATCTTTTAAAAATGCTCTTAAATCTTCTCCCTCTGAAGTTAAAAATTTTCCTTATTGTATTAAGGCTCCATTTGCTAACAAACAAGGATTTTTGCCAATAACAAGAATAGGAATTTATGGGTTGACTGAATCAATAAAAAATAAATACCTTTTAATGTTAGGGATTTTTCTTAATATAGCAAAGGTGTAAATTATGTAAAAATATCTTGATGAGAGGGCTAAATTTCTTTTTCTGTTTTAACATACCATAAACAAATTGACATATCTGCACTGCCAGATGCCAATATCATTCCATCAGGAGAGAAGCTTACTGATTGGATCCCATCAATGTGTCCATCCAAAATGGCTTTTTATTGCCCAGTCTTAAGATCCCATAAACGGATAGACTTATCAAGGCTCCCAGATGCTATTGTTGTACCATCAGGAGAAAAACATACTGTATAAACAGAACTACTATGACCATTAATTTTTTTTTTTTATTGTGCTTTTCTAACATTCCATAAACGGATAGATTTATCAACGCTCCCAGATACTAATGTAGAACCATCAGGAGAGAAACATATTGAGTTGATTCCACCTTTATGACCTTCTAATTTAGCTTTTTTCTTTCTGGTCTTTATATCCCATAAACGAATAGACTTGTCACAACTACCAGATGCTACAGTAGTACCATCAGTAGAGAAGCATACTGATAGAATTCCATTGGTATGACCATCCAATTTGGCTTTTTATTGTCCAGTCTTAAGATCCCATAAAAGGATAGACTTATCAAGGCTCCCAGATACTAGTGTACTACCATAAGGACAGAAGCATACTGATTAGATTTTCTTATTATGACCTTCAAATTTTGCTTTTAATTATCTTGTCTTGATATCCCATAAAAGGATAGAGTTATCACAACTACCAGATGCTAATGTAGTACAATCAGGAGAAAAGCAGACTGATTAAACTGAATCGCTATGACCATCAAATTTGGCTTTTTAATATCCAGTCTTAACATCCCATAAACAGATAGAGTTATCTGCACTACAAGATGCTAATGTTTTACTATCAGGAGAAAAGGACACTGAGTAGACAATGTTCGTATGACCATCCAATTTAGCTTTTTCATATTCTGCTTTAACATTCCACAAACGGACGAACTTATCATCGCTGCCCGATGCTAATGTAGAACCATCAGGAGAGAAGCATACTGAATAGACATTACTATTATGACAATTCAATTTAGCTGTTTATTATCCTGTCTTAATTGACCATAAATGGATAGACTTATCGTGACTACCAGATGCTAAAGTATCACCATCAAGAGAGAAGCATATTGAGTTGACATAACTAGTATGTCCACTCAATTTGGCTTTTTATTGTCCAGTCTTAAGATCCCATAAACGGATAGACTTATCGCTGCTACCAGATGCTAATTTAGTACCATCTGGAGAAAAGCATACTGATTATACCCATTCACTATGACCATTGAATCTGGCTTTTTATTTTCCAGTCTTAATATCCCATAAACATATAGACTTATCTCGACTTCCAGATGCTAATGTTGTACCATCAGAAGAAAAGCAAACTGACCAGACTCCAAATGAATGACCATCCAATTAAGCTTTCTATTATCCTAACTTAACATTCCATAAACGGACAGACCTATCATCACTACCAGAGGCTAAAGTAGTACCATCAGGTGAGAAGCATATCGACCAGACATTACTAGTATGACCATTCAATTTTGCTATTTATAATCCTGTCTTAACACACCATAAAAGGATTGTGTTATCATAACTACCAGATGCTAAAGTACCATTATCAGGAGAGAAGCAGACTGATTTTACCCAACCACTATGGCCTTACAATATGGCTTTTGGTTATCCTTTCTTAGCATCCCATAACCGAATAGAATTATCTCTACTGCCAGATGCTATTGTCGACCCATCAGGAGAATAGCAAACTGACGTAACTTAATCACTATGTCCAACCAATTTTTTGAATTAATCTATTTTCAAGTCCCTCCATTAACAATTAAATAGTTAAGCTTGATTTAAGTTGATTCCACTAATTTCTATATTATTGAATTCTGATCCACTTAAATTACATTTTGTAAAATTACTTCCTATTAAAGAGATATCCTTAATCTTTATATTTGAAAAACATTCGTTTGTTAGATCAATTTTCATTTCGATTAGCAATCTCAAAGAATTGGATCCACTTACTATGAAATGTTCATCTATGGATGTTAGATGAACTAAAAATTTTAAAAATTAAATTATCTTGTTATTCTCTGCCATTTGCTTAATGATATCTTTGTTAATTTCTTAGTCTTTTCTAGATGAAACACCATATTTAGAAAAGTCATGATCCTTAATTTATTCGAGAACATTTGTTATTTTTTTAATATTTTTTCTAATAACATTTTGCTTCTTTTCAATATCCTCAAATGATAAACTGTCTATATTTAAAATATATTATTCAATTGATTGTTGATTCTCAATTAGCTGAAGATATCCAAGGCAACTTGAGATTTTTTCTTTTCTTAAGAATTAAAACATGTCTCTAAATATTTATTCATCAATATCTTTAACTTGAGCAAAAATCTCAGATAGATCTACTTTCTAGTCATTTGTACAATCCATAATCTTTTTTTAAAAAAATATAGAATTTATGTTAATTTAATAAGATAAATATGAAAAAAAGTTCTCAAAGTCAAAAATGGCATTTGAAGTGGTTGAAAAAATGAAAGCCTTAATAATAATTTATTTTTGTGTTTTAATCTGATATTTTAGATTTATGTATTATCATTGTTAAGGTCTTATATAAATAATTTTTTGTTTAAGTTATGCATTTTTCTTTATTAGATTTTAATTATTCCTAAAATTTTTGTTTTACTTCTCTATAATATTTTTAATTATCTTGATTCCCTTCTCATTTAAGTATAGCTATTTTACTGGATGTCGGCTACTCGTTATTCAGATTAGGTATCAAAACATATTATTTAGGTACTTTAAATTTATAAAATGCTTTAGAAATAGATTCTTGTATAATTAAAATAATGTTTGTTGTTAAATGATTACAAAAATTAATTGATTACTAATTGGTATTACTTAACAATTTTATCAATATTCTCACTGAAATCGAAGAAATAATATATAAATCAATAAAAGCAGTATAAGAAATTTCATTATAAAGAGTTTGTTTTTGAAAATAGGAAAATCAACAATAACCCTACCATTTAAAATTTGCTATGAATTTAATGTTAAAGTTCCCATTGATTAACTTAAATAAAATAATTTTAAATATTTGATTAATTCTAAATTTTATAAAACTCAATAACTCATTATTTCTCCAAATATTTTCTGATCTGAATTTCTCTTTACTTATTATCCCAAGTGATCAAATACTATCCATCCTCAGTCATATATCCAAAAATATCTTAACTTCCGAATTCAATAGATTCTTCGGTTATAAACTCTCCATTTTTTTTGTTCCTTATTAAACTTACAATTGAATTACGCTTATTCACAAGCATACATTTTGATTTGATATATTATTAGGGAAAAAAACAATTATCAGATTGACCACCTTTTACAGAAATATCCTTTGTCTTGATATAATATTTTTCAGTATTCATCTGAAAAATATTTATGTATTACTTCCCATAAGGTTAGAATGTAAATGTATTACTATCGATAAAGCATAATCTATATCCAAATTATTCCACTGTTATCTTTTATGTTACAATCCAAGATTTATTCTGTTCTTATTGTTCAATTATTAAAATTGAACTATCGCCTGCACAAGATATCAATTTATTTTATTATTCATTGAAACTTAATCCATATACAATATTTGTATGATTTGTAATTGTCTGAGAGCACATCCATTCATTTTACTTCTACCAAAATTTAATCTTTTTATCTTAACTACCAGATACTATAATGTCTTCATTATTATTTAACAACAAACATACAATTCCCCCTTTATGTCCAATCAATTTTTATTAGAAATCCCATGAATTATTTAGATTTTTTTTCCAAATTATGATTGTCTTATCCTCGCTTCCAGATATAAACTAATCCGATCTTTTCATGAAATTTAAAGTCCATATATATTATACATGTTCATTTAATTTTTAAATTTATTTTAATATTCCTTATATAAATTCAAACACTTTTATTTATTTATAGCTACCAGCAATTAATATTGAACAATCTATATTAACAGCAAATGCATAATACAATTATTCTTATTTAATTGAGTGTTGTCGTATCAATTAATAAGTGAATGGTTAACTATTTTATTAATTAGATGTAATTATTGATGATTATTGACTATTTTATGATATTGAATTTATAAGCATCTGAGTTTCTTTTTCTTATATTTAAGGTATCTATAATTTCTGAGCTTCATTGATTACATTTGATTCAGAAATTGTTTGCATTTCAATATTATAAGATATTTTATTAAATGATTTTGATTTCTATTATATATGAATATATTTATCATCAATATTTATTTAATTCCTTCAACTTCATTGATAATAATGAATCTAAATAATCTTAAAAAATTTGTTAATTATTGCAAATCAATCAATTTTTTGGTTTTAAATAACTATTAATTAATAGCTATTTAACATATAAGAATAAATATCATTTTAATTATTGCAATATAACTATATTGTATTAATTAATATATTGAGGGTATCCAGTTGTTGCAATGATGTGGTAGACATCAGAACAATCAAAATGAGAGTAATAACTATACATTAGACAATACGCTAATAATAATTACTACAAGTGATATCTTCATAATTATAATAAAAATTATTTACGATACTTACACAACTATTTCTTATAATCCTCACTATTAGTATAATTAGAAGTAGTTAACTATAAATTGGCAAATTTATCTTCAATTCAACTAGTTTTACAATTAAGGGTTCAAGCTTTATTTTATGTTAAAGAACTCAATCAACTAGAACAATTAGCATAATTAATAGTAGTGTTAGATAAGATTTTGTATTTTCACAACAATTATTTATTTAAAAATTATAACTATTTAAATTGAAATTACTTGCAGTTAGATTTTATATTAGTATGCATTTTAGTTTCAAAATTAAGTTTATTTACACAGAAATTAAATTGATAAAATATTATTTAGATATTTAATATATGTGATTGAACTTAAACAATAATTAAGAAAATCATTTACCTTGCAATACATTTTTATATTACTTGAATGTATCAAATTCTACTTACTGTAAATTTTGACTTTCAAAAATCTATACATATATTAAAATAGTGTGTAAAATTTATAGTTCCTACATTACTAAAAGTGTTTTTAATATATATAATTTCGTTTTCCTTAAACTTAATTCTCAGAAAATAAAAAAGATCTAGTTAATTCTTCTAAAAATATATTAATCACCAAAATTTAATTGATTTTAATTGGCTAAATGAAATTAAAAGGTTTTCTTTTGGATTTTTAGTGTAATATTTTCAGAATTTTCTCTTGTAATTTGAAGTTAAATTTAGGTTAAGCGCTTAGTAAATTTGATTGAAATATTATCGTAGAATCTTGCAAACGAGAAAATTAATAATGACTCAGCCATTCTAAAAAAAATGAAAGGTTGTTAGATTATCAGAAAGCTCATTGAATTTACTAACCCATTTAATCTTCCAATTATTGAATTAAAAGCCTCTGATTAAATTAATTCTTATTAAAATATTTTAAATGGATGTATTTTATTGAAAAAAAATATCAGTTGTAATATTAGTTGACTTATTTTTAAACTTGATATTACATTTTCTAGATTTATGCTTGAATACTTTTACTCTAACATTTATTAGATCTAAAATTAAGGTTTCTTGTTATCATTTGTATGAATGATTATTCATAAATCAAATTAATAATTTAATTTATAGCAATTATTTATAACTTTGAATCACATTAGATTTATCAAATTTTGAGTCTGACTTTGTTCGATTCCATTTTTATACACCTTAGATATTATTGTTTTTATTGAACTAATATAATTAAATATAAAAACTCGCAGAAATATTCAGCCATTTCCAACCACAGACCATCTTTAAATCCATTTTAATTATATTTTCCTCCAGCTCTAAACTATAATTAATATTTCACATTTATTTATTTTCGTAAATAGTTTGCCAGATACCTTATTTTATTCCATTTAAATAATACCCTATCATTTTTACTTCATAAAATCTAGAATCACATAACTTAAAGTACCTACCAAAGTTATTATGTAACTCATTCCATTTCCCTATTTTAATACCATTCTAATCAAAGCTACCTCCACCACTTAAAATTAAAAAAGTATTATTACCATTAATAAAATTCTATTTCTGATTTTTTTTAATAAAAATAGTTCCAGTCCCCTACTTTTATTCCATTTATATAAATTCCAGCAAAAATTACTGGCAATACGCTATTGATGAATAAATCAGTTTAAATACGCATTAAAATTGAAAAATAATTCTACCCAATATCCTTCTTTTAATGTATTATGATTATAATAACCACCTCCACTTAAATTCGATTATAACAATACATAAGTCTAAATTCTTAATCAGATTAATTTCTATAGCTTGTATCCCATTTTCCTATTTTTCTACCTTTTTCATATTAACCTAAAAATAAAATTTGATTGTAACTAAATTTTTGAAGGAAATAATATACTTCCAGAAATTTTCCTACAATTCTACCCAATTTCCTTATTTTCTACCTTTTTAGTCATAAAAACCTTCTCCTCTTTTAAAGATTAAATTCTGTTTTTACATTAATAAGAATTGTTCATTTGAATTAACTCTAAAATTAATCTTCCATTATCCAATTCTTTTACTCTGATGATATTATCCAACATAGATGATTTAGCATTAGCTAAAAATAAATTAATTACTAGTACTCACAAAAATTAAAATAAGGTTCTACCCAAAATCCTTATTTTCTCCCTTTATTATCATAATCACCTCCGCCTCTTAAAATTTACAGCATTTCTTACAACTTCTATAATCCTAAATCGTTTTCATGATAAAGAATTTCCCATTTTCCAATTTTTATTCCCAATTAATATTGACCTTGATAAAATACTTATTAGTTGCTTAATAAATATAAATAAACAATTACTCTTAAAAAGTTTCGAATAATTCAATCCATTTTTCAATTTTAATTCCTTAATAATTATATGTACCACCTCCTCTATAATTTAAAAGAAAATAAATCTTACACCAAATTATCTGCGTAAATCGTTTACCATTTTCCTATTTTTTTACCATAAAGATAGTTCCCATTATAAGTCACTTAACAGCAACTATAATAATCTTGAAATTAAATAACTTCCAAAAATTTTCATGTAATTCAATCCAATTTCCATCTTTTAATCCATTTTGATTGTATTCACCTCCTCCACTACTATTTTATTTTTATCTTACATAACTGAAGAATCATTATCTGAATCCTCTTTAAATTCGTTTGACCAAATTCCTTCTTTTTTTCCATTTTGATACCTTCCTGTTTATATAAGTATGGAACAACTATAAAAATAATCCTTTTATTACTTCCAAAAATTTTCAGATAATTCAACCCATCTACCCTTTTTCATTCCATTATAACCAAATATACCTAATCCTCTAAAAACATAATAATTATTTATACACAATTTTAGAATTATTCATAATTTACCAAAGTCCGACTTTTTTTCCTTTATGATATTCCCCAATAAGCTTTACTTTGTTAAGACTTTGAAATTTTAATTAAAGTACTTATAAAAATTTGAATCAATTTCAACCCATTTCCCTTATTTTTCAGATAGCTAATTATATTATCCACCTCCACTAATAATATAAATATTTTTACATTATATGATTTAAATAAACAATTTTCCAGTTTTAAACTTTTATTCCATTATGATATATTCCATAAAAGGTTATTTAAGCATTACTACTATAATAAATTATTATACTCCCAATAATATTCAAATAATTAATTCCATAATCCAATTTTAATCCCTTAATTATTATAATAACCTCCTGCACATAAATTTTCTCCTTTCCAGAATGGTATCCAATGACCAATAAAATTTTTATTTGAATTTTGAGCTCCTTGCCAAATTAGAAATTTAAATTATTCAATATTTTGAGTCTCTAATTTTATCATTAAACTTTCTTCTCTCTGATCACTATTAATAATACTATTTATTTAAATACTTACATATTGTGATTTTAAAAATAAACACCTTTTTTGTTTTCGGTCTAATATTCTTAGCAATCTCTTCTTAAAGTTAAAAAGTTTTCAATTAATGTATTATAAATTACACTCCAACATTTTTGAGCTTTTATATGATCAATTTTAGTAGAATCTTGTTATTCATTCAATACAGATAGATTGCCATTGCTAAAAATCATTTAAATTTTTGAAACAAAAATAATTTTTAATTAAGTTTGGATGAATTTTAAACAACACGGAAACTCAATCAATAATTAGTTAAAAAATATTTATTTTAATAATTATTCCATGTAGAATTGATAGGTTTAGCAAATTAATTGAGAGTTAGCATTCTGTTGAAAATATTTGAATTCCGTAATATTCTGTTTTATTCTTTAGCATTGTATTAAATTTATTAATTCTGTAAAAAAAAATTAAATATATTTGTTAAATAACTTTAGATATTAATTTTAATAACTATAGAGGGATCATCATAATTAATAAGAGACTTTTATCTTTAATAAATTTTCTAATCATTAATCTATTTTTAATTTTTATTGTCAAACTGATTGTCTAATGGAAAATAAGTATTAAAATATAATTTTAATTTTAAATCTAATTTATTGATAATAATCTTTTTCGTAATTATCATTAAGATTACTGTTGAAATAATTTAATATTATTAGATTTCATTTAAAGAGTCTGTAAAAATATCAATAATTAATTTATTTTTTATGGCTCTATTATTTTTTTTCTCTATTAATTAAATTTATATGTTTTTTTTGATAGAAATACGATTTCATTATAAAAAATTTTCAGAATAATAATAAAAATTTATTTATGGAACAAAGCAACTTTATTTTAACAAATTAAAAAGCTTCAGAAGCACTTTAAAACCTTTTTTACGAAATAAATGAAGAATTACTTAGAAGTGATGAAGAAATTTAAAATGAATTAGATCCTATATACCAGGAATTAAACTAGGAGGATTAAAAGACAGTAAGTGAGTACTTTAGAGATTAATTTTCGAATCATTCATTTTGGAAGACAGCAAAATATAATTATCAACACAATTAATAATCAAATGTTAATTTTAAACAAATTTTTATGAAGGAAGTTTAATAGGAGAAAAATTGGTAGAACTTCATCAATCTTCTTAAAATAAAAGAATTTTGCGAAGAAAATTAAATCCCTGAAATTCTTATAAAAACAGAAAGTATATAACTAATGTAAAAGTTAAAAGAAAAATTATTCTTTATCTTTGAATTTCTTTGTATATTATAGGATGAAGAAACGTAATAATCAAAACTTATAATAAGTTTTCTACTTTAATTTCTTTATGACTTTGATGAATTAGATCAAAAAGATTAAGACTATTTAGAATAAATTATAGGATCATTATTAAATAAAAAAGTGTTTGAATTCATGGCATATTAAGATTCCATTTTTTTTAGAGAAGATCAATAATAATTAGTGGTTAGTTTAATTTAAAACTATTAATTATAAAATAAATAATTAGAAGAAATAATTTAAGAAAAATAACTTTGTAAATAATAGTAATCATTTATAATCCTATTATGTACTTAAAATTTAATTGCACCAAAATAAAATTTGAATGATTTTTTTTGTTTTTAATTGCTGAAGATTATTAAATAATAGTAAAATTTATTATTATCTAATAAAATTTGGAAATAAAAAATATTAAATAAGTTAGATTTCTTATCATTAAATGACATTACCTAATATTAATTAGTTTATTTTCGGCTTCTCTTTCATTTCTGGATCTAAAATTTTAATTAAATAAACCTATAAAAAGAAATTAAACTATTAATAGAAGACTTGAAAAAAGCTAAACCTGAGAGAAAAGCTTTTTTTATAAATAGATTTTTAATAAAAACTAAAAAATTAACTATTGATAATCTACATCTCTTTATTATTTGTTATTTAATTTTTTTTGATCCTGATTAAACTAAAATATTACGAAATGAATTGTATAAATAATATATTTAGAAAATAGAGAATAATTTAAAAATTGCTCAGAAACATTAATAAAATGAAATTAAAAAAATCATAGAAATAAATGTAAATAATCTAAATTAATACTTCAAATATTTTAAAAAGCTTTCTTTAACATAAATAATATTATTATCTAAAGATGTTAAAAATCCTGAATTCAATTATTTGCTTTACTTTTTAGAATATCAAGATGAAAACTAAGTTAAAGATTTATTGTTATAAATATTTCAAAACCAGACTTTAAAAACTCGATTAAATGTTTTATAATAATATAATTAAAATGGTAAAATATGTATTTTAAAATCTCACGAAATCATTCTATTATTAAATTTAATTGGAAGTGAAACTGATAAATAAGACATTAAATAAATCATAAAGTTATTTTATATCACTTAAAATTTTCAATTTCTAGATAATTTCTTTGAAATTTAAAAGTGTGCAGTTAATTAAAAAAATTATATGCCTTAAACAATTAATTTATTAAATAAAATAGATAGGAATTAATTTATAGTAACAAGTATTATTATTGGTGAAGAACAATTAGAGTTAATTGCAAATAATTGTTTAATTTAGTTATAAAAAGAATAAAAAGAATATTTTGATATACTGGTTGGTATTGTTATAAACATTTTATATACCTTAAAGAAAATAAAAAGTAACAGTTTATAATTGATTTAAATGATATTAAAATATTTTTCTAAAATGAATATTGAAAACAAATCTTAGTAATATAAGAAATATTCTATTTTGAAATATTTTATTAATATTATCCTCATCGATTAAAAAATTACTTTAAAATAGTATTAAATGACTTTGTATTTTATCTTTGATCTAATTTATAACTTAAATAGTTAATAAAATGAATTTAAGAAAAAATAAGGTATTTAATTACATGAAGAAAAATAATCCTTAATTAATTAATAGAATATAGAAATTTTAAAACATTTAAATATAATGAACAAAAATAAAGCATATGATTTTGATCTAATTTATGAAGAGCTGTAAAATAACACTCAATTGGAACTCATTCTCAAAATGCTCTATATATAATTTATCAGAAAAAATTAGAACAGCTTTACATCAGAAGAAGTTTTGGTTCACTGTAAAAAATTATATCATCTAGATTGTGAATAATATGAACGATTATACTTAAAATTATGGAAGGATTAATTTTAATTATCTCCTCATAATGTTTCATGTTATCAATAATTTTAAAAACTTCCTAAGCATGGCAATATATAATTATATGATTTTAATATTTCTTTATCAGAAATGTCTATTGATGAGTAAACTCATTTAATAGAAAATTGGATCTTGTAAATGAATGACTAATAATTATTTAAATGTTTAATACCCATTTTCTTTGATATAATTAAAAGGGGAGAAGATTCTAAATTTTTTATTTCTATAATTAACAAGTAATTGAAAGTTAAAAAAATGGATTTTTTTTTTAAAAACGGATTTAACATGAAAGCTTTATTTTAAATTTTATATAATAATTCTGATTATGAATTATAAGTAATGCTTCTTAAATTTCATTGCAAATTCAACCCAATACCTTTTCTTTACAAAAATTTAGATTTTGATAATATAAAAGATCAAGATGAAGTTTATAAGCTTAATGAAAAATTGTTTTATATCATTCCTGATTGTTTAACAATCATAAATTTTAGTTTAAATTCAAAATAAAAGTCTTTTGGTAAAACTATGTTAATAAATTAAATTTTTTATTAAATGAATAAATTTGAAATATGTGATAAGTGTGAAATAAATAATTCTACAATAGATATAATGTTTGATTATAGTTTTAGTGGTTCTAGATAATTTGCAATAGCAGATACACATGGGATAATTCCTGAATCAATGTTATTAAAAATACTTCCTTTCTTTTAAATTTGGATAATTTAAATGAATTCAGAAAAAGAATTGATAGAAACTTATGAAAATTTAAAAAAATTAATTTCATCCTTGAATAATTTATAAAATTCTCCAAAATTTTGTTTAGTAATTAGAAATTCTACAGAATCAATAGATAAATTAAAATCAAATTAAAAATATCATGAAATTTTTAAATTTACTTAACAAATTCATTGTGTTTAAAATTTAACATAGTAAGATATAACAAAAAATTAATATGATGACGAATTAGAAGAATTTTAAAAGTTTATTTTTGAAATTATATCTTAGGCTAGCTTTGGTAATAGAATTTAGAATTAAAATGCCTTTTTAGAGATTATTAAGAAATTTAATTATGAGAATATATAATTGTAAAAATAAAGAGAAGATGAAATTATTATAAATTTGGAAAAATAACTAAAAGTATTGATTGATAAACCTGATGGATTTTATAACAAAGATTCATTTCCTCTAAGAGCTTTAGACTATTAAATTTTAAAATTAAATGAAGAAAAAAATAATTTGTAATAACAAAACTAAATTAATAATTCAATTAAAATAAATTAAATTCAAAAAGAAATAACATAATTAGAAAATTCTATCAAAGACTTATAATTTACTGATATATTGAATTTATTTTGTGATATATTCAGTCGAAATAATTCTTATATTTTATATCTTTCATTTGTTGAAAAACTTAGAATCTTTAATGAAGTTAATTCTAATTTGATATAAGATCAAGTTCAATCTTTAAATGAAAAATTATAAATTTTAAAAAAAAATAGAAAAGCTTTAAGACAAAATGACTAACAAATAGTTGAGTAAGATGATTAAAGTAAAAAATTAAAAGAGGAAATAAAATAAATCGATGAGGAACTCAAAGAACAATTAAAAAGAATTTCAGAAAGAAATATAGGGATAGAATTATTTTGGAGAGAAGTGATATCAATTTAAAATAAGTCAGTATTTAAAAAAAAATAAATTAATCCAGTTGATGTTGTTTATGAATTAATTAAAAAAGGAGAACCTTTTGAATTTTTAGATGGAGATTAATTGAAAATAGATTAATAATTCCTAAAGTAATTAATTTATAAATTTTCTAAATAAGGTGAAGAGAAAGTTTTGGTGCTAAGTGTATTAGGTCCTTAAAGTTCAGGTAAATCTATGATTTTAAATAAAATTTTTGGTTGCCATTTTTGGACAAGTGTAGGTAGGTGTACTAAAGGTATCTATCTTTAATTATTGAAAATTCAATAAAAGAACTAATTCGATAATTTATTTGATTATATTCTACTTTTGGATACTGAAGGATTACAAAATCCAAATTAAAAAGATCCTGAATTTGATAAGAAAATTGCTTTATTTGTATTATCAATAAGTGACATAACCTTAATTAATGTTAAAGGAGATATCCATTAGCAATTTAAAAATCTAGTTGAAATGTGTATTTTTACATTTGGTTAGATGAAAAGTGTTATTTCAGCAAATAAATAATTAAGTTGGTGTTTTAATCAAAATAATGACGTTAATAATTTTGCTCCTTTTTTAGATTAACTTTAAGGAATTGCAAGTAATTTAAATATAGAATTTAGCTAAACTGAATAAGAGAGTGAATCCCAAAATATAGATTATAATGAAATTTTGGATATAAAAAAAGAAAATATTCAAATTTTAGGATTTGCATCAACTGAACGAAGTTGGTAAAACACATCTCTAGGTATGAAATAAAACTGGAGATAATTAATAATCAATGAAACCTTTTGTTAAGAGGCTTATTAGTATGGAATAAGATTAATTAAGAATTTTGTAAGCAAAATAAAATAATTGGGAAATGATGATAATTCAATATCCAGTCTTCATTCTTTTATTTAAAATATTGAAACACATTGGTAAAGTATTTGTAGGTTGCCAGACTTGCTGGAATTTACAGAACTGAAATAATATAAATAAGATGAATTAATGAAAAATAGTCTTGATCAGAATTATAAAAGTTAGAATTTTTATTTTATTGAGAATTTACCACATGAGATTCAAAATCATCTCAATTAATAAAAGGAAAAAAATTTGTCAACATTCTAATAATTTTAAATGCTAAAAGAAAAAGAAGTGATTGCATAATTTGATTAAATCAAAACTTAAATAAAAGAATTATTATTTAAGATTAAATAGGAATAAAAAATTTCAAAGAAAATATTTATCAAATATTAAAATAGATTAACACAGAAAATTTAGAGTTAGATTGAAGAATGCAAAGTAACTATTTATAGCCAAGTTAAAAATCATGAAACTAAATTTTAAGAAATTAAGGGATTTAGTTAAAATGAGAAGTTTGTTTCAGATATAAGTGCAAATCCATAAGAATTAAAATAATTACAGAAATATCCAAACGAAATTGAAGATAAGTTTAAAAATAAATGGGAATAAATAATTAATGATTACAATCAATAAATATTAAACATATTTAATGAATATTCAAAAAAGTAATATACATCTATTTCATATTCTTTTGATTAATATAGATTACAAACTAAAAGAGAACAAGAAATTTAAGATAAGTTTATTAATGATATTAATAAAAATTCTCTTTTTAACAATTAAAATAATGAAAAGAATAAAATATTTAATATATTTAGAGAAGAATTAAAAGAGCAATAATTTATCTTACTTGACTCTACCAAAAATATTACAGTTTATGGAGATATATTTAGTTAACCAATTATTGAAAAGTTAAAAAAAGCAAAAGAAACAGATCTAATTAACATAAATAATTTCTATAAGGTTTAATTAGAATATTATATCATAAAAAAAGTAGAACTGGAAAAATATTTAAACAAAGGTGGATTATATTTTGATTTTAGCTAAAAATATCGTATTTATGAGTAATAAAGACAAAATCTAAAAAGTTATATTTTCAAGTTTTTATTGATAATAAATTAATTTAGATTAATATTCAATTAAACTTACTATGATGATTTGATAAAAGCAATTGACATACCTAGAAAGGTTTATGAATCATCGAAATCTTATGATTAAATAGTTTTAAAATTATTTGAAAATCTCTCTTAAACCTTTATAGTACCTGCAGATAAGATTGTGCTGAATAATTAAGAATTTTTTTAATCTTTAAAACTTAATTACGGTTATCTTTACTATGTATAATATAAAATTGAATTGAATAATTTTAATGAATGCTAACAATTTCTTCAAAAAAAAATATAAGATGATGAAATTTTATTATATCATTCAAATAAAATAATTCCAAAAGATAATTAGAATTAAAGTTTAGAATACATTGCAAATTAAAATTGTAAATATTAAAAAAAGGCCTTTTCAAATAGTTTTGTAGAATTTTTTTCTAAACAGATGATGGAAAAAAAAGGGTGGGAAAAATTATATTTTCAACTTTATGATATAATATATTAAGAAATGAGATCTAATTATTAAATCATATATAAAAATTCATAAATGGATAGTGATTAAGAACTAGGTTCTGCGAATTGTAAATTAATTTAGATTATCATGTCTAAAATAAAATCATAAATTTAATAATTTAATAAATAATTTGCAATTTTTGGGATTACTTTGAGTGATATAGGTGAAAGATGCATTTATTATTATTCTATGATACTTATTTGGAGATTTTCATGTTATTAGAAATGGAAAACATTAGAAGAGGGTCATAATAATTTATAAAAGTTATATCCAATCTAATTTGAAAAATTTAAAGCTTAAATATTATAAAATAAAGTATAGTAAAGTTCAATTAAAGCTAAATCTTTATCTGATGCAATATATCAAGCTTATATTAACTATTTTTATTTTGACAATTAAATAAAAGTGAAGAACTTAATCAAAGCAAAAATCATAAATTGCTACCAAATAATAAAAGAATTAGATAGAAAATTATTGGAAAATTATAATAAAAATTTGGATGAAAATATGAAAATAGAAATTTTCAATTATATTACTGATTAAAAAAATTTTATAGAAAATTAAGTAAAGATTTAAATAAAATAGATACAAGAACAGTTAAAGTAGGATTTTTAATAATAACTAAGAGATGGATTAACTAATTATCTATTAATTCTAAAATCAAATATTGAAATAATCTTAAATAATATTTAAAACTAGTAAATGTATGGCAATAAAGTAAATGAATTTTTTGAAAGTCATGAACAAGATTCTAGAAAAGATTTAGAATTTGAATAAATGATGTTTAAATTAATATAACCTTGTATTTTTGGAGTATAAGAATAGAATCCAATATTAAATAAAATAAAACGTAAATTTCAAGGTATTTTTTATCATGAGCAATACAGATCTATATTTCCTTAATTAAATTTATTAGTTCTAAAATAAGAAGAAGAAATATAATAATTAAAACCTTATATTTAATAACTATTAACAGAATTCAATGAAAATCTAAGAAAATGCTAAAATGAAATTTTGAGAATAGACATTTTTGACATCAACAGCGAGTTTGATGAAATGAAATTAAATATGATTGGATGTATTGAATCTTGCCCATTTTGTAATAGAAAATGTGATGAACCAAATGATAATAATCATAGACATAAATGTAAAAATGGACATTAATTAGGAGGTATACTTATCATTTATTTTAGGTATGAATTATGTATTGTTAAAAGATAAACCTTCATTACTTATATGTGAAGAGATTAAAGATGATTAAATTTTAAAAACATAAGATTCAACCATTTTTCGAACATGGAAAGATATGAAAAAAATGTACAAAGAATGGGATTTTGATTTATTAACAAATTTAGAAGATAAAGATAAAATAAAAAATAAAATGATGAATGTTTGGAATGGAGGTATAGGTTTACTTGTTTGTAATTTTTTGACATAAAAATATGGAAAAAAGATTTAATTCATTAACAAAAATGAATTTGAATTAACAAACATCCATTATATAATAGTTCTTGATGATTCTTAATCAATGTAAGGAACTCGATTTGAAAATGCAAAATAGGGATGTCTTAATTGTATGAAGAATATGTAAAAAAACCCATCGGCACGAATTAGCCTTATTATTTTTAATTCAAAAGCAAGAGTTCAGATTGATTGCCAATAAGTGAATATTAGAGATTAATCTAATAAGTTTACATATTAAAATGGTGGAACAAACTTTGAAAATGCTTTTATAGAAGTTTATAATTTGATCCTAAAGCATTAAAACTAAAAATTTAATAGTAATTTATTAGTTGTAATTTTAGAACACGTTATTTTATTTTACACTGATGGAGAAGCAGCTTATCCAAAAAACGCAATAAATAAATTTATTGCTCTATCTTAGGAATAGAAATAAGCAATTTCTTTATATACCTGTACATTAGACAATTCTCCAATTACTTTACAATTGATGATTTAAGAATTAAAGAACAACGGATTTAAAGCCAAACTCTAAAAAAATATTGAAGTTAACCAAATACAATCAGTTTGGACAGAAATTATCTAAAAAGGAATTCATGTCAAGGAATGAAATTTCAAAATTTAAATATATATAATATCAATATTTAAAAATTGATTTGAAATATAAATATAGATATAATTTTTTGAATACTGAGAGCAGCTAATTTACAAAAGATATAAAAAAAATTTTAATTTTACTTCAAACTCTAACTAAAGTTGATCTGACATAAAATTTTGACTCTTAATTTATATAATATATAAACTTAATATTTTTCATAAATTTATAGGTGTTATTATTCTAAAAATCTAAGAATTTATAAATTTTATTTTATCAATTGGAGATAAGAAATCTTATTAAAAGTTTTTATTAATAAAATAATATACAAACAAAATTTTCAAAGATACAAAGTATTAGAGGAGAATAAAGGAAATATAACAACTGGAATTTAATAATTCTGAAAAACCTTCTGTAACACATGTAACACAGAATTTATAAACAAATCCACTTAATTTATTGGTCTATTTTAAATTCTATTGCATTTTAAAATACTTTAGTTTATATGATTTTATGTAAATTGAGATAAATTAAAACTATAAAATTTTATGAATATAAAAATTCATTTATCCTAAATAATATGAATAAATATTTTTATTATTTGATTGAAAATAATTAAAATATTCAAGTACTTGATTTAAATTTCCATACTTTTGTATTCTAACTCAAATAGTTGAATTTAATTGTCATTTTCATGATTCTTTACCTGATAAAAAATTCTATAGAATAATAAATAGTTTATTAGGCCATATTTTATTAGTTGAGACAACAATTTTCAACTTGAATTTATTATTTATGTAGGTAGATAATTCAAATTTATATAATTCAGTTGTTGATAGCAATTTTTCAAATAATAAATATCTTATTTTACCTATTTCTATTACCCTTCAATATTCAAGTTTTTAGTCAAAATTGCTAAGTTAACTCAAAATTAGTATTGATGAATAATGAAATTCTATTTATCCATAAATGAGTGTTTAATATAATGTAATTCCTGTGATTCATTTGGATGTTTAAAACATGAATTTTTTTGTAAAATTTGAATTGAAAAGAATTCTCCGTTATTAATCAAGAAGAAGGATGGCAATCTGAAGCTAACACAATTGAAAATTGCTAAGGTATTTAATATTTTATTATAAAATGGTTTAATTAGATAATTTTTTCTGGAAGTGATTTTTTAAAGTCTTTGTGTTAGAGTTACATTATGCCATACGCTAAAAGTATCAATTTTTAATTCTTAATCAACTAAAATTTATATTTAAATAGAAGATAAATAAGTATATTTAATTAATTTATTTAAATAAATAATTACTCAGGATTGAGAAATGCAAAATGGAGATAAATTAGATTTGATTAATAAATATTTTATTCCTATATTTTAGGATGGGATGATATAATCACAAGAAATATGCGATGATTAGAATATAATTTAATTTTATAGTTTTTATAAATGCTAGCAATTCAAAATCAAAATAGGAAATAGATGAAAATTTGTCAGTTGTATAGAGCTATCAGAATAAGCATTTGTCAATATTAATGTATTAATTTATATGGTAATGGAATACTTAAAATTCATTTTGAATACTGTGAAGATGGAAATAATGATGAAGGAAGGTGATGGATACTCTGCTTTATGTTTAAATTAATCAAAAAAACTCATTAAGTCTTTGCACTTGTATTTAAGTATCAAACTTAAATTTTATTTTTCTCTGAACTAATATTTTCTTAAGAAGTATAATATAAGGGGAAAATCTTTTTGAAAATGTTAAAGAAAATAAGAAAAGAGTAATCTAAGGTTATCTAAATTAATGAAGCTGTGGTTTAATAAACAGTTGGAATTGCTGGGATTCTTTTTTTAATATGTAATTATATTGTGTTTTTTAATTTTTTAGACTTAACTATCTTACACTAGATTTATGCAATATAGATTTATGTTAGTTCCTTTAAGCCTATACCAAAATTTCTTTATAATCAGTTTTAGATTTATTAAAGATTGATGAAATTGTTGTTAAACTCAATGGCGGAACACTTCTATTCATAGGTAAAAAATCGTAACAATTCAAATAAATAGATGTTTCATTTATAACTATATATTCAAAACCTTTAGGATTAAATTAAGATATGATCATTTTCCAATAATTAAAATTGTTTTTAATAACCTAATTCATCTTTGGATAATTGGTAAAGTAATATACTCTAGTTTACAGTTCTTGTACTTGTTCTCATCCTTTCAAATTATTTCAATTGAAATAAATTAAATTTAAAGATAATTGGAAAATTGTTAAAAATCAATTGTTGATTTGTAAATCTAATGTTAAAATTTAAACTACCAATATCAAGAAAAAAGTCCATCATTTATTCCCAAAAACAACTAATTCATTTTATTTCTGTTCTTCAAATTTGATCTGAATTACTCAATATGATTTAATACATGAAATAATGAATTTTTCGATTTTTTGTACTAGATTTTTTAATAATATACATAAGTTGCTTAATATATAAAATTTAGAATATCATTAATGATGGAAATTATTAAATATCAACAGTATATTTCTAAATATTAAGCTATTGGAAGTGATTTTATAAATTTAAATAAACACAACTATTTATTTTAGTTAACATAATAATGTTTTTTTTCAAGAACTCAAAATATTAATGATTATTTTTAGTCATTTAAATTTCGAATTGTTAAAAATTGTTTTTTTAGAGAATATATAACAGTTTATAAAAACATTATTATTTAAATTTGAGTTTTAATTTGTGGTGATAATAAGATTTTTATTAATAAATAAATTTTGCGACACTTTTTGAAGCTTAGGAAGACTTTGGTTATTTCTATTTTTCGCTATTCAAATTTAGGATAATGTGTAGATTTAATCAAGGAAATCCATTTCCATTAATCCAATGAAACTAATATTAAAATAGAGCTAAATAATCTTCTCAAACTAAGTAATTCATATTATAAAGTGAGGCTTTCTATTTAGAAAATTGAAGATACAGAAATGATTATTTATTAATCAAATCGGCCCATAACAATAAAGGTCATAGAGTTGAATTATTCGTAGTTCAAATTAAATTGGAAATCTGATAAATGATAAATGAGAATCTAACAAAGATTTTAGAAATTTTAGCTATTTATTATTTATCATTTGTATGAAGGATCAATTTTGAGAAGAAAATATTTTAACAGAAATCAAGAATCAAAATTCAATATTGGTCTCATTACTAAAATATATAAATGAAAAATAGCTTAAACTTCTATCAGTACTTTAATATTTGTGCAATTATTCTCTCCAATTTGCTCCCCATCTCTGTTTTGTTAGTCTTTTATGAATAAGATTTTTAATTTTATATCCAAAACAATTATTCTATTCTTAATCCCATAAGATATTATTCAATGTAAAATCTTTTAATCAAACCAATGAAATCTAAAATAGATTTTATCATTATTTTGATCCTCGATATTAATTAGATAAGCTATGTAGAAAAATAGAAGAAAATTGCTACTAATTCGTTTCTGTTTTAGTCTAAATTCCTTTATTATTTTTATATATATTTAATTTCTAAATACTTATTATAATCTTTTTTTTTAAATGGAAACTAAAAATACTTTTCTTTTATCAACCTATTTGATTAAGTTTTTCTTAATAAATTGTTATATTATTTAAATTTTCTAAAAAAAATCTGCATAAATAACAATTTACGAATTAGTAAATAAAGGATATAAAGATGAAGAATTGCAAAATTTGATTATAATGCAAATTTTTATCAATAGAATATAATATAACCAATTCAAAGGCTTGAGTTTTAGGAAAGTCATGTAATCAGTAGTGTAAAGATTGAATTTATTCTTATATTATCTTCAACACATTTTATTTAAGAAGTGAAAAGCCAAAACCTCAATAAATTTTCAGTCCACGCATTTCAAATCAATTAAACAAGAATGTTAAACTTTTATATAATAAGACAGAGAGAATTATAAATGCAGCATTTATTATAAACAAAGCATAATTTTGATTGTTTAACAAATAACGATAAATAACTGATAGGAATACAAGAGTATTATAAAGAAAATAAACTTAATGATAAAAAAAATAATTTTTTAGTTGCTTAAAGATTGTTAATAAGAATGATTAATAGATCAATATATCAGATGCTAAATTTAAGATGTTTGAATTAGATGATTAACTAGTTGATAGTGATCTTTTTTGAATTATTTTTTTTATTATTGGAGAATTTATTTACAACTAAACTTTCTCACCTTAAGGTAAATTCTTAATTTATAAAATAATGAAATATGTATTTTATAATTAAAAAAAAACAATTTATATAATTATTTGAATTGATGAAATGTCTTTTAAAAGGTTTATAGAATATAAAACTATTTATACTCAGAGATTTTATAAAATAATTTCCAACCTCAAATGTATTTTTAACTAATTTTTTTATAGTATTAGAAATAATTAAATATTGAAAATTCATTGAAATTATTTATGATTTATGGTATGAAGTTAAAATTGTATAATTTGACTTAGAACTTCTTCGATAAAGCAATAGTTGTGATTGATGGAGATTATACTCTGCTACTTAGATTTAGATTGTAGATTTATCATCAAATTTTGACCAAACTAGTATTTTTTATTGAATAAGTATGAAAAGATAATTTTTTCTCTGAAATAATGATTACATGTAGAAGGAAATATTTTGTTCTAATAAATTTCTTCATTAAATAAAACAGTTGATCTTAGATTCAGTTTTGATTACGAAATAAACTAAAGGATATATAAAAATTAAGATTCAATAATTTTTGTAATACTTTAACTATTTCTTCAAATTCATATTGCCTATATTTAAAAATATAAGATCAGTTATTTACTAATTTAATCATATAATAAACATTCTAAATATTTAATAAAGTGGAGCTTACAATAAATTTTCAGAATTTGATCTACAGTTATATTAGACAGCATTGCAAGTACTTGTATTTGTAAATATTGTTAATTGTATGTCTACATCANAGAGAAAAGTTCATTCAGAATTTATGGAAGTTAAACAGTTTCTAATTTGAATATATTCTTTAATGTAAGACATTTTTTACAAATTAAAGGAATTAATCCTTTTAGATTAAGCTACATATTCAAAATAAAGGCTATTATATATAATTAAATAATTCATTAATATTAATTTTTTAAATACCAAAAATGATAGAATTAGATAAATAGCTGATACGCAATTAAAACCATAATGAACCAATACATACGGTTGTATTAGACAAAAAGTTAAAAGGTTAGGAATGTCTTTTGTGTTCTATTTGCATGAAAACCTTTGAAGCAGATAATAAAATAATTGGATTTAAAAAAGTACTTGAGATGCTTGAAAATAATTAAAAAATAAGGTAGAGAATATCTAAAGATTAATCAAAGCTTAAGTGGATTAAGTTGAATAATTCTTGAATGAACTTCATACTATAAAATAAAATTTAACTTGTTAATTAGATAAATTGATATCTAATTCTATAGAATGGATCAAGAGTCTTAATTATTTAGGAACTATTAATTCATATTATAGTTTCTTTAATGAATTGGAAATATTAATTAACAATCCATAACAAAAAATATTCAATTCAGAAAAAATGATTGATTCAATAAAGAAAATTAACAATTCACTTTGTAATAAAATTAATCTAAGTTATCTACTCTTAAAAAAATAGAACTATATTCATAATGTGACCAAGTCTTATAAAATTTGAATTTAGCTCATCCTATTAAATTGATTGATAATTAAATTAAGTAATCAGGTTATTGTTGTGCGATTTCTTTTAATTAATCTGGCTCACTTATGTAATCTGCTTCTAATAATGCTATTAAAGTATGGGATTTTGTTCATAGAAGATTAAAAGAAATCACTACACTTAATAGACATACTGTGGCAATCTTTTGTCTATAATTTAGTAAGAAGAGTAATAGTTTTGTATCGGCTAGTTTTGATAATTCAATTGGATGTTGAAAATAGGTAAATGAAACAGAATGGAAGAGTTCTTATTCACATTAACAGCATACTAATTGCATAAACTGTTTAATCCTATATTAACTATTTCTGGAAGTAGTGATTATTCAATTAAAAATCTGGTAAATTGATTTCATTAATAATCAATTAACTTATCTTTACACATTAGATAAACATACAAATTGAATTTATAGCTTATACTTAAATTAATTAGAAAATATTTTGGTTTCTTGTGGTGGAGATTAGCAAATAATAATTTGGACAAAAGATAATGAATAGAAATGGTAATTTTAATACGTAGTTACTTAGTCAGTTTAAGAAATTGTAGCCAGATTGTAATTTATAAAGGATGATTAGTTAATTTGGGTTACAGCAAATCAAGTAAGCAAGGATTGTATCAGTATATTTGAAATAAAAAATGGAAAATATCAAGAAAATTCGGATAAGGAAGTAAAATTGATTTAAAATGATAAAGTTTGTGATTTGAGGTTATTTCCTATCTTTTATAACAAAGAAAAAAATTTGATGATTATAAAGCACAGGCAATAGGTTTAATAAAAATAAAAAATGAATCAAATCCTATTTTTGGAGCATTAACTAATGATGGAAGATATTTAGTAACTTGGAATAAGGTGGGAAAAAACTATGATACATATGAAATATTGATTGGAATATTCATATAATAATTATTCAATTGTATTTTAGAGCATAACAAACAATAAATAAATTAGGAGCTCAAATTTTATTTATTTTGTTAGATTATTTTTAATTCGCTTATTAAATCTCCTTTTGCATTTATTATCAAATTTATTAGACTCTTAAATTTAAAATTTAGTAATAGTTCATCAGCATAATATTAGATTTAAGTTGATTTGTTAATATTCAATATATGAAAATCTTAAAGAATTCCAATTATTATTTAATTTGAAAGATTAGATTTATGTTATTTTATAATTAATAGTATTTCTCCATTAGGACATTAATGAGGGTATATGGTGAATTTTTCTCAACAGTCTTTTAAATTTGAGATTCATTTTTATTCTGAAAAATTTGAGAATATATTTATTATTAGTTAAATTTGTTATTATTATGTTGATTTGATTTTATTAAATATGCCTTTTTATAAGTTTGACTCAAATTTAAAAATATGATTTCGTCTAAATATATCTAGTAAAAGAGTGTCATTGGATTATTATTTTTATGAAAAGATAAATAACATAATGAATATTGGCAATTACATAAAAAGAACTCTAATATAATGAAAATTATCTTGTTTGGAATGAACAAAATTAAGATGAAATATATAGAAAGATTTACATTCATTAAATAAATAATGTCTTGGCAATAAATAATTTTTTAGATCTTTCAAATGATAATTGTTATAAAATAAGAAGTTATATCCTTTAGCAGATTCTTAAAGTGAATGAATTAATGCTTAATGATATTTACTTGGATGGTAGCTATGAGTAAAGCTGAAGTTGATAATGTCATAATTAAAAATTAACGAAAATAGTTTTATCCAGAAAGATTGGTATTGTAAATTTTTCTATATTAATATTTTTAATAAACTCAAGATGCATTAAGACAAATAAAAGATACAGTTTGTCAATCAATAACCATTTTAAAATGCTAATACTAGTTTGAAAGCTCAATAATTATTTAAATAATTATGTTGATTATTAAGTTCCAATTTAATAAATGGTATGTGGTAATTAAATATAGAGTTGGCTTATTAATAAAGATGAAAAATTAAATAAAGTTACATAGAAAATGAGAGGCAGGTTTACATAGATTTTGTGTAATTTCAAACTTAATGCCAGGTATTGCACATTTATTTTTAGACAACAAAATTAGTTTGCTCTTCAAGATATTTTGAAGAAAATGATTTAAATGACCAAAATGAAGTTATAAGGAATAGAGGAAAATACTTAACAACGAAAAAATATTAATTAAAATTTGCAGCTATTAGAAAAAGGGATCTTAATGAAAGATTCGAATTGATAATCTATTGAAGAATTATAACATCAATATAAGAATTGGAATTAAACTAAATTTAATCAGTCATATCAAAAAGAATTAACCTAGCTTGTCTCATATAATAATATATATAATGAAATTATAAATTAAATAATAAACTATAATTTTTTGATTTAATCTTCTAATATTAATAATTTCATATATTTTAGATTCCCAGTTTCTAACTTTCCCAATTAAATCCATAGAGGGCAGAAATTCATATAACTATAAATATAGATAAAGAAGATATTACTATCTTACATCATTGCTTCTGGGTAATATGCCTTAGTTATTACTTTAAAAATTGGTCCAATTCGGTGTTTTGTAATACAATTACTTAATTACAGCCATTAAATTTGAATTCCAAACAATCTTTAATTAAAGGCTGCCTCTTTTATTTTAACCTTTTTCTCATTCCTATCGTAGAACCTATCTCATAATAAAAAGATTTAAAAGGGCTTAATGATTTTTTTACACCATTTATATTCCTAAACAGTATTGATCTCCTTCTATTGACTTTTTTACATAATTTATAAAGGCTTTAAGATTTTAATTTAGTGAGAAGTGGATAAGAAGTTTTAACTATTATTTCCACTTTGAACATAGAATCCTAGTATATAAATTTGACATTTATAAAATAATTTCTACAAACACTTTTTAATTAAAAAAACAAGTATAAATTTATACTTTTTATTAATAGATTAATTATAAATAATAAACTGTAATCCCTATTTCATTGAAAATAGTATAAAAAATTGGTTATTCTTTACAATTTAAATTAAAAGAGAAATTAGTATATCGAACTAAAAGTAATTGATGTAAATTACCTAATATAAAAAACTATAGAAAAATCAATATTAGACATAAAAAAAAATATGAACTTAACTTTTTTATTAATATTAATCCTAGCTCTTATCCAAACTCATTAAGTGACTTTAACTTTATATTCTCTAATTAAATGATAGAAATACTTAAAATAGACTTTATAATCAATATAAGTATTTTAAATTGACTCAATTTTAGAAATCCTAAGTTGGAACATCGGGAGGGGCTGCCCTCAAGATTTAAATTAAATATAAAACATTTTTCTAATTTTACCTTGATTTTCAATCTACTTTTTCTATTGGTCAGAAAACTGTGTATGGATTTTCATCTAATTACAAAAGAACAATTTTCTTGGATTATCATTTAAAAGTCACTTTCCTTGGAAGTAAAGTTTATGAAAATTATTAAAAATGTCTTTTATGATGATTTAAAAGGTATTAGTTTATTTTGGATTAAGCTTTTTAAATATATTAATTTAATTGTCTCATCAAAAATGGAATAATTGAAAAATAAAAATGAAACATTTTAGAAATTCCATCTAAACTCAATTGAGAAATATAAATAATATTATTCCTTAATTGAATCTATGGTAAAGTAAAAATGTTGTTTTGAATAAAAATGGATAAAAAGTTTGAGCTCATTTATAAGAAAAAAAAAAAATTAATATGATTCAGAAAAGTTTGTAATGATAAAATAACAAATTAATTCCTTTAAATACAAGAAATTAAATAACAGTTTTAATTTATTGGAAATCAATTAGTCATCTTTGAAAGATCTAAAAGTTCGATAAGGTAATATGTGAATTTATTTAAAGGATATGACTTAATAATGAAAAGTATGCAAAGGCAGAGTTTTAAGCCTTGCGATTATTAACCATTGAAAAATGATTAAACTTATTTAGATGATACTCCATAAATGCAATTGTAATAATATTAAATAATTCAACTTCAATAGTTATTAATGTATTAATTTGGGTATTGAAAAAAGTTTCACAAATGGCTTGGAATTATTAAAATAAATTGATAATAAAGCAGGATGTGACTCTTATTATTTAGGTTACACTTAAATTTATATTAAAGGCATTGAGCTATTGAATATGAGAAGATACAGAGAAGCTATTGAGCAATTTGAAGAGGCAATTTAAACTAATCCTCATAATTCTTTTTTTTATGAAAGAAAGGGTTACGAGTATATTTACAATTAGGCCTTGCTTTATTAGAGATGCTTGATTTATAAGAAGCTCTAAAACAATTTGACATTGCAATTTGTCTTAACCCTAATTAATCAAGTCATTATGCTAATAAAGGTTTACTTTGTTTAATGTTTTAATAGCTACTGTTTTACTTATGAACTATAATTTTGAAGATGCAAAAAATTTATTTGATATTTCAATTTAAAAAGACAATTGCAAGTCTATTTGTTTTAGCAATAAAGGTGAATATAAATAATCATTTAGGTGTTGCGTTATTGTTCAGTAATCAGAAGGAAGAAGCTTTAAATCAATTTGATTTATCAATTAATGTTGGCTAACAGGAATATGATAAATTAGAGAAATTAGGTAAAAATTAATTTAATTTATTAGCACAAGCTTTATATTCATTAAATTAATTTGAATTGGCTCAGTATGTGATCTAATTAGCAAAGGAAAAGTTTAAATCTAATCTCAATACTGCATATAACTTAAAAGGTTAAATTTATTTTTATTCAGGTCTGGCTTTAATGATGATGGGTCAATTCTAAAGAGCTTTAGAAAATTTCAATATTTCTTTATAGTTATGTGATTATAATTCATTGAACCATTTGCATAGAGGTTAATTATTAAATTAATTTAAGCAATATTGTTAATATTTTAAGGATGCCATTAAGAAGCCATCGAATCATTAGATTCAGCTATACAAATAAACCCAGAAGTTTCAGATTATTATAATTTAAAAGGTTATATATTTACTATTTTTAAGCAATGTCTTTATTATCACTGGGTAATAAAGAAGATGCATTAAAAAATATTGATATGGCAATACAAATTAACCCTGAAAGATTTGATTATTTTCTTAATAAAAGTGAGTAATTTTTTTTCAATTAATTAGCATCTATTCTAATCTATATGTTAAAGTTAGAATAAGCTTTAGAATACAGTAATTACCTAACTTAAATAAATCCTCAAATCGCCCTTGGCTTTTAGATTAAAGGTAATTTGATTAATAATAATTAGCCTGCGTTTTAATAATGATGAGCAGATATTAAGAAGCTTTAGAAGCTCTAAAAATTAATATTCAATTAAATCCAGAGGATTTCCTACCTTATAATGCTATAGGTTTATATTCAATTCCATTTTTTAGCAAATGTCTTACTCATATTAAATCATAACGAAGAAGCTTTAATATACATAGATTCAGCTATTCATATAAATCCAAATTCACCGTTTCTTTATATAAATAAAGGTATTGATTCTAAGTATTATAAAGGGTTAATTTTACTTCAAATTAATCGTTTTGAAGAAGCTTTACATTGTATTAATTAATCTATTTAAATTAATCCATTAATTAATACACTTTTCAACGCAAAAGGTCAAAAATTTTCATATTTGTAGCTTTGATCTTAGTAGATATGGGCCGTTATGAAGAAGCACTCTAAGAAATTAAACAATATCCAGACAATGTTCGAAATTCCCAACTTTAAGGTAAGATTTTCAAAATGAATTAGTTGTCTGTTTACTTAAATTAAAAAAATATCAAGAAGCACTAATTATTTTAGATAAAGCTATTAATATAAATCCATCAGATTCTGTTAACCTTTATTTAAAAGGTTTTTGATAATATAAAATACAGGATATCTCTTATTATGTCGGCAAGAGTGGGAAGAAGCCTTAGCTTAATTTGATATAGCATTAAAATATAACCCTTAAAATAATTTTATATTTTAAAATAAAGGTAGTAAAAAAAATGTATATATATTTAGCCATTGCTTTATAAATTTTGAATCGTAATTAAGAGGCATTAGACCTTTAAAATATTCTAATTTAGAATAATCATGAGAATTATCTTCTATATTACTAAAGAGGTAAAAAAATTTAAAATAAAAGCTACAACTTTATTTAAAATGAATTCTTACTATGAAGCTATAAAAGATTTGGATAATGGTATTGAGTTAAATCCTCACTATTATAAATTTTATTGCTTAAAAGGTTGAATAATCAATTTAATTTAAAAGCAAATATTCTACTACAATTAAATCTCTTATAAGAAGCATTAGAAACATGTGATTAAGCAATATCGAAAAACCCTGAAATCTATGAAGGATATTATATAAAAGGCTCAAATATTTATTAATTTATTAGCTTGTGGTTTAAATCTAGTAAATCGTTTTTAAGAAGCATTAGAGTATAGTGATTATGTAATTTAAATAAATCCTTCTTTTTGGATTTCATACTATCTTAAAGGCAATTAATTTATCATAATTTAATAGCAATTATTCTATATAATTTGAATAATTATGAAGAAGCTATGTAATTTATTAATTATTCTATTCAAAATAATCCTGAAGATTTTAGAAATTTTATAATAAAAGGTTAAATAAAATTTCATTTAATAGCAAAAATACTAAAAGCAACACAAAAGTTTGAAGATGCTCTTATGAGTTTAGATGATGCTATTAAAATAAATCCTTCATCATTTCATGCCTACGATGAAAAATGTAAAAACATAATATAAAATCAGGCTTGACTTTAATTTAGATGGGGCGTTTAGATGAAGCGCTAGAAAATATTGATATTGCTATTTAAAATGAACCTGAAAACTTTTTTTTATTTAATAATAAAGGTATCAAAGTAATTTATTCAATAGCATTTATTTTACACTGTTAGGGACATTTTGAATAAGCAATTTCCAATTTGGAACATGCCATACAATTATGTCCTGAAATTTCTATCTTTTAGAAAAATAAATGTAAATAAATTTATTATTCCATAGAATATTTAGAATAATAATAATGCACACCTAACAGTGAGCAGTTAATTTTAGAAAATTTATAATTGTTAATAAATAAATCATGTTAAACAATTTAACACATCTAACCTATCGAATAATTTTAGTTTGAAATCCTTGATCAATCTAAATACTCTTTAGGTTCTTAATTTTTACATTTAGGACACAAATGATTCAACATACATTAGATTATATAATAAAAATCTTCCTTTCACTTCACCTTTTTACATACATTCTCCCTTTAATATTATATTATTTGATTATGATTAAAGCCAATTTTTAGTTTTTTTTATATATAATTTAAAATTAGCTGCTTTTTAATACAAAAATATTCTATTAGTTTTCGACTTTAAATTCAATAGTGATTATTTTACAAATTCTTTTTTTGATTTACAACTTCTACAAATAAAATTTATTTATATACTGATTATAATATGTATTAAAATATTATTTTTATTGCATTAAATAAGATTCAAATTTTATTCAATTATTTTTTTATAATAGTTAATTTAAAATAAATTTAAGGAATCTGAGTTACATTTCATTTTTTATATCATTAAGGAGTGAATTAAACTTAAATCAAAGAAAATAAAATTTCTATTTACCATATTTCTCTTTTTTCTCAATATTCTTAATATCATTTTATATATAAATATGATTTAAAACATTGAGAATTATAAAAAATACACATGAAAAAATAAAAATACTTAATCTTTTTACAGATATCATAATAAAGAATTTTAATCAATTATCGGTTTTGGTAATTTAGTCTAATATAAGTCATTATTAATAATGGCATATATTATGGATAAGATTTATTATAATAGTTTAGAACAGGAAGGAAGGTCCTATTTTCAGTTTTTGACAATGTGTTAATTACCATGAACCTAAATAATAGTTTTTGTTGAATGTTTAATCATTTCTTATGACCTTCTAAAATTTAGAAACGATTAGATAAAAATTATAATACTCTAATTGATAATCTTAAAATTAATTCTAGTCAATTTTACAATTCAACAATCATGACACTCAATTTTGATTCTATATATAATCACAAATAATGTCAAAATTCTGAAATTTTAATTCATGATTTTATATAACAATGCAAATTCAATTGGAAAAATTAATTAGTTTTTATTTGTCAAAAAATTAAATAAATGGTAGAAGATCAATCTCTTTCATTAAGTACTTTGTATTAGAGGAAAATACACTTACTGATTTTTAAATTCAATAGAATATCAATATTTTTTAATTCAAAATTTGTTATTAACTTTATATTTTTATTCTTTTCAAATTTTGATAAAAAAAATGAAAAAATTTGCTACATGACAAATTTTTTTTTAAAAACTTAAAAAATTTTACTATTAATAATTTTTCCTGGACACTTCAAAGCATTTGGGGTAGGTTCGTCAAAATTCAGCTTTTTATTACTATTCCATGATATTTCTGCCTTCCAGTAATTTGCCTAAATTAAAGTCCTGACCAAGTCAATTTTTTTATTTTTAAGTGAACTTAAAGTTTAGTTTGAAATTATAGAATACTCTAAAATGATGAATATTTAGCATGAGGTATTTGAAAAAAAATTTAATCGCTAAATAGTTTCAACACCATAAACTTTACTTTAGCTATATTTTTCTTAATATTTATAGCTTCCTTTTGATCAATAAATATAACTGATTACCCTAAATTATTAAATTCAGATAACAATGAACCTTTATCATATTTTGTAAATAAAAAATTTAGTAAATGAAAATTAAAGGAAATGAAATTTCAACCCTATAATTTAGCTTTCTAATTATTTTACCATTTTTATGTACATTTCTCTAAATTTTCTTCTTTAAACTTTGGAGTTTCATGAAATCTGAACATTTAATTTATTCTTTATTCATTTGCTTGCACAAAATTTATATTTTTTCTTTTCTTTAAATACTGATTATTACAGATCAAATTATTGATTCTATTATCATAATCTTCCAAAATTACTAATTTAAATTTACATATAAAGAAAAAGTTAATGAGATCGAACTTAAATTTAGAAGATAAAGCAGAAAAACTTATAAAACTTATAAAACTAATAATTTTAGGATCTACAGGATCTGGAAAGGTATTTTATAATGAATAAATATAATCATCTTTTGTAGAAAGATTAATTAATTTAAAGAAAAATATTGGACTTCTTCAGAAATTGATTTTAGGTCTAAAAAACTTTAAAATAAATTCTTAGTATATCAAATTGTAAATCTGGGATACTGTTGATAATTTATAGATTTGGCTCAGTTTTCAAAATCACCATATAGAAATGCTCATGGTTTTATTCTTTTTTTACATTCGATATAACAAAAAAAAGATAATAATCGGATATTCAGATTTGGTTTGAATGTAATCTTTTGAAATAAAATAAGAAGCATTATAGGAATTGAAATAAATCAATAACGATTGTGAATTTTTTTTTATGGGATGCAAATACGATTTAGATTCAGAAGGACAGAACAATTTTGTTAAGCTTGTTTTTTGCCAAAAAGAGCAAATTATATTACTATGAAACATCAGCAAAATCAAATATTAATTGTTTAGAAATTCTTTAGGGATTTATCAAAGTCATATTAGCATGGTTTAAATTTGAAGAAAATGAAGAAAATGAAATATTCATTAAAACAAAATCTTAAGAGAAATGCATTTCGTTCTGAGTTTGGATGATATAGAAATAAATTATCAAATTAATCAAAATGATTGTATTGAATTTCATAAATTTCTGTATTAAATACTATATTAATTTAAAATTTTTTAAATGAACCTTCTTAATGAATATGTTAAATTAAATTCTAATGAAAAAGTTTGGAATTTGGTTTTCAATAATCTTAAAAAATAAACTATCGTAATTAATCATTACGGATTATATATTTTTTTTAATGAAATTGTACAAATTATTGATAATTTAAAAGCCTAGTCTTTAATCATTTCATACATTTTAATCTAATAATAATCATATATATTATTATTAGATTGTTCGCATTCATTATAATTATTTAATAATAAATGATTTTAAAATGAGAATTTGGTAGTTAAAACATATTTACAGAAGCTATTTTTAAGGAAAAATAACACCTATCATATTACTTTGGTGTTCACAGGTAGGATATTCAAAAATAAAGCAACAAACATAACAATTTTTTTTAAATGCAATTATATGATAATAATAATGAAGTTTGTCTTATGAATCAATCTATAAAAGAAATAGTATAAAGTAATGTAATAGTATAAATATGGAATTCCAAAATCATATTTAACACATCCATTTCGGCAAAAAAAATATATTGCACCAATAATATATATAAAATAAAAATTATTTAAATGTTATGATATTCAAAGATTCTACTTAAACAACAGAAATCATTCTATTCTAAATAAAATAAGTTTAGTTTGATTATGATTCTTCTAAATAAATATAAATTTAATTACATTAAGGAAGAAAAATCGTTAGGTTATATTAAATAGACTTTAAATACCTTGAAAAATTTATGATTTTTATATTATTTTTTAATGATAAAGAAATTCTTTTACTTTAAATGCTTTAGAGTGCTTGTTGAAGCATTATATATTTAGAATTTTGTTACTACTTAAATAACGAATAATGAAGGTAGTTTATCATGATTAATATAGGATGGAAAATCTAATCTCCTTATGGTGGAGCTACTGCTCAAATAACTAATTGTGCAGGAAACATAATTTTCGGAGGCTATGAAGTATTTGGATGTTTTTCAGCTACAAGAACTGAAATAATGAAATATTTTATATTGCCTCCTCATTATAATTTACGTATTGACATCAGACTCTGGAAGTTTAATATTATTTAATATTAAGAATTGATGATTGGCCTACAACCTAAAATTTTAATATAATTGCAGATTTAGGATCAGAGAGTTGGCATTATCTAGCAAATACAGGATCAAATATATGTGGTGGTTCTGGAACAGAGTAAAATTCTGCAGTATCTCTCAGTAATCGGCAACATACATTAAATTCAGTTATTGTCAGACTTTCATCAGATTGTAATAATAATGTATTTATAAAAATATTTAAATGTTAGAATTTTTGGGGAATTACAGATTTCAAATTAACAATATTTGAATGTTACTCAGGGTGTTAATTTTGTCTAGATTCAACTGTAGATTGTATTAAGTGGATATTATGGGAATCATACTTTGATTTGTAAAATTTAAACAATGGATATGAAGGTTGGATAAAGAATAGTTTTCCAGTGTTTTAATCTATAATTAATAATAATTGTAAACTTATAAATGATATTTAGTTTAAATAAAAATGCTGGGTATATATTCAGGAGAATCAGCAATCAATAATTTTATACTTCCAGATCATAGAGCTTTCATTATTCAATTTAGAGTTGAATATCTTTCAACTTTACCATAAACATTTAGAATTTATTTAAATAATTAATATCAATTAGAATTTATTAGTAATTCAAGAAAGTATGTTGATTATAGAAGTGATATAATAAATGATTCAAGAAATTAAATTAAATTAGAAATTAGAAGTATTAATGGTAAAATATCTATTCGTGAATTTTAAATAATTCTTCTAGGTCCAATAAATTTAATTTCATGTATTGATAGTAATTTAGAGCCTTTTGATGGCTGTTTTGCTAAACAAGAATCATGTTAGTAGGGATGTATATTTTGTGTTAAAGGAGAATGCCTTATGTGTGATACTTAGTGGATTTATAATGAATTAAATAATAGTTGTGAACCTTTATGTGGAGATAAATATATTATAGCAAATGAGTAATGTGATGATGGGAATGATTCTCCATTTGATGGCTGTCATTAATGCCAATTTTCATGTCCTTTAAATTGTTAAAATTGTATATTTGGTGAATGTTAAGTTTGTATAACAGGTTACTATTATTCTAATGGAATATGTAATCAAATTTATCAAATTTTATCTGAAGAAATAGAACTGATAAATAATAATAATCTAAAAGGAAATTAAATTTCTTCAGCTTATTATGGTAATATAAATTTAAAATAAATTGATACTTACTATTATGAAAGATCAATATTTGTAAATGAATTGGAGATATTTTAATTTTAATGTAAACCTTTTTGTTAAGTTTGTATCTAAGGAAAATGTATGAAATGCTTAGACAATTATTTATTATTAAAAAATTAATGCATCTCTAGGATTACTAAAGGAGTACTAATAATTTAAGATGGAATTCATATGGGTATAAATGAAATCGGTTGTTATAATTGTTATGGGAGTTGTCAGATTTAATGTCTATAATGTTTAAACTCATATTGTATATTATGTATGGATGGTTGGTAACTTTTTAATGGATATTGTGTATAAGTTTGTGGAGATAATCAAGTTGCTATTATATCTGAAGAATAATGTGATTCAAATTTAGAAGATTGCTTAAATTGTAATGTTCTTTGTCCTTAAAATTGTTAATATTGTTAAGATACAAAAGAATGTTTAGTTTGTAATGAGTCTTATATAATGATAGATCAAGAATGTTAATTAACTTGTAAAAAAGAGTGTAAAATATGTGATAAAAATATATGTTTAGATGATTATTCAAATTAAGACATTAATATTGATGAAATTTATAATTCAGTTTGTGGTGATGGCATTGAATAATAATAAGAGTAGTGTGACGATGGAAATAATATCTAATTTGATGGATGCTTTAATTGTCAATATTCATGTCCTCTTAATTGTGTAAATTGTCTTGATGGTATTTGTTTTGAATGCGAACAAGAATTCTAATTAATAGATCATTAATGCTATGAATAATACTGTGGCAACGGTATTAAATATTAAGATGAATAATGTGATGATGGCAATATTATTGATGCTGATGGCTGTTCTTCTAGTTGTAAAATAGAAGTTGATTATAAATGTCATGAAAATTATTATGGATAATCTGAATGTCAATATTACAAATCTCCTTATATGATGTTAAAATTATTAAACTAAACATTTAATAAATATTATATTGAAATATCATTCTCTTAAAATATTTATTTTAACGATAATTATGTTCTTGAATCACTATTTAATATTAATATTGATAACATAAAAAATGAAGATTATGCAATTAAATTAGAATCAAATTATTACCCAACTGTTAATTCAACTCTAAATTATTAATTTATATTAGAAATAACACTTTTTATTTCTACTAATACTACACAATCTAATATTTTACTTGTAAATGAAGCATTTAATTAAAATAATATGAAATTAATTAATCCATTCTAGAAAATTATACTAAAAGAATACATCTAAATGACTTAAGCTGATTTAGATAAAACAAGAAAACTCACTTAATATTAAGAAATGATGATTACAACTTAGGGAATAATGAGTGTAATCAGTATAATTTCTGGAAATTTCTAAATGCTTGTTGAAATTTTAGATAACCTACAGTATATTTCTTATTTAAAATACATTAATATTAATTATCCAGAAAATCTTTATCTATTTTTTGAATCTTCTAATATAATAAGCATCAATCCAATTTTAGATTACTTAGCTTTTCGAGAAAACTTTAAAATATATCTATATTCAGACTATATTTAGTCTTGTTATAAATTAAAATACTATGGTTTAAATGCTCATTTAATCACTAATCTTTAATTCTTTTTCATTTAAGTTTTTACAGCATTTTTATTAGCAATATTATTGAAAACTATTTGTTACATTTTTCTTAAATTATGTGATAAAAAAAGAACTAAGAAATTCATTTCTAATAAAGTTGAGAGTTTGACATAAAAAATTCTATTTAAGTTCTAAAATTTGATATTTAATATTTTCCATCAAATTTTTATTTTTGCTTGCTACTTTAATTAAAATGGTGTATAAAACATATTATTAGCAAATGCGTGGGATTTACTTTTTAAAACATTTTTATATTTAACCTCATAATAATCAGGTAAGGATAAAGTTTCCATAATATAAACTAGCCTTTCATATTTGCTTTTAGCATCCTTAGGATTTACGGTAATCTCCCTATTAAAACATTCCTTTTTAAAAAAAAAACATAGGTTAAATAATAGATACTAAGTACTTTACTTAATAAAACAATTCTTCTTTTGTTATTACTTAATATGTCTTCAAAATGATTAATTTATTCAATTAGTAATGTTAATTACAACAAATCTAATTTACTTAATTTTATTAATAAAATTAGAATTTAATTTATAAACTTTGGAAAAAATCCAAATTATTATTTAAGAAATTTCAATTATATCATTTACTTTTACTTCAATATTTTACTTAGTAGATTACAATTACTTGATAGGTGTATAAAATCAGATAACATTGGGCTTTTCTTAAATGTATTTATTAATGTCTGGCTTATTATGGATTTTCATTAAATACATAATCATGATTTATCAAAAAATTAAACACAATTGCCTTCAAAGTATGAAAAAACAAAAGCGTAAGAATTTCAGAAAAGCAACTCACTTAATTTTCGAAGTTGTTTCATGATTTAAATACATATTTTAAAATAAATATATTTCCTTCAAAAGTTTTAAATATATTACTAATTATATTAGGAATTTATTGGGTCCTTTTTATAATTACACCTCTATTTTATAAATATATTAAAATTTTTAGGTTTTAAAAACAAATATAACATTTGAGATTCAAACATCTATAAAATTATTTAAGAAATTTCTCAGTTCTGTTTATAGAGAAATAAAAATAGTAACTATTGATTTCCATTTAAGATTAACAAAATTGAAAAGTTGTTTTAAACAATTTCACCAGATGACATATAATTTTTAACAGTAACTGTAAATATAAATATATTTAAAAAAAGTGAAAAATATTAAAAAAATAATTTTAAATCTCATATTAAAAATGAAAAATGATAAATAAATGGTAAAAGTGATAACTTATTTTATAATTTAATAATAATTATTATGTTAATAAATTTTTACTTAATTTAAAAATATCTAAGCATAGAGAAATTTCTTAAGTCTTTTTTGATTGAAGATTATTTTTAGGCTGATTTTTTATTTAATATAAAATGCTAAGTTATAAGACCATATTAATATATATTAATTTTTGATAAAACCTTTTGAATAAAATAATATAAAAAACTTAAATGATTTGGATGCAACTTATTAATTTCGAAATTTTAATATATTAAACTTTATTTTTTGTTAATATTATAACTAAATTATTAAAAAAATGGAATTATAAGAAATTGTAAATTTATGATAGTAAAAATTCTTTAATTTAATGGTTCTGTGGCATAAATATAGATTGGATTAATCAATAGAATATATATAATACTTACACTAATTTTTTATTAAAAATAAATGTGCATTTGATTCATTTAATAATTTAGTGGTTCTTTTCTAAAATACTTTAAATACTATTTCTTATTATTTAATGATAGAATTCATAATGAGTTGTAAATGTTTAAACTGCAAATTCGCTTAAATAACTAAAAATTAATACTGATCTAATTCATTTAATGCTTTGTAGACAGGACAGGATATTTCACAAGTACCAACTTATCCTAAGAATTCTGCAATTTAAGTAAAACGTGTTTTATCTCCAGCAGTCAGAATGGCTTTAAACCATCTAAATTTTAATTCATAGTCATTTTCAATAGTTAATTATAGATCTTTGTCTATTTGTTCAATAACATTTAATTCTAATTCTTTATTTTGAGCTTTTTTAAATAATTCTTCTAAGAAAATTTTTTTTTGAGATGGATAAAAATTAAAGTATTCGGCATAATTATCTGGTTGGTTTCCCTTAGCAATTATATAAGAAATTGTGTATTATTATGTTTCAATAAGTTTATTAGTTGAAAAATCTAAAATAATTGGTGGTAATCCAGGTTAATAAATCCAAGAATCCCAATATTCTAAGATTTGATATCTTTTAGTTGAATAATTATCTACTTGTTGTTGATATAAATATCTAAGTAAAAAGAGTTAGAATTCTTATTGGTCAATTGATTTATACTAATATGTAGTCAAATAAGACCTTAACATAAATTTAAAATCTTCTGCTCCAATAATTCCTTCTAAAAATGTTAAGAATTAGAATCCTTTTTCATAAGGAATTTCAGTAATTGATAATTATGGATTGATTCCTGTAGTATCAGGATGTAGAGATGTAAAATTACTATGAGAACCAAGATCTAAAATATCTGAATACATAGTAGCATTTCCAATGATGGCATTCAATTTAATATCATCAGGTTCCTGATAATAATATAAAGATGCCTTTCTTTCTAAAAATACAGTAAATCCTTCATTAATCCACATATTTGCCCAATTAACACATGTTAAGGTATTTCCAAACCATGAATGAGCCATCTCATGAATAGCAACATATAATCCACTTCCAGTTTTTGTCATAATAGTAGGACTAGCAAATGTTAATAATGGATTTTCCATACCACCATAAGGGAAAGAAGGTGGCAATATAACAATCGTATAAGTTCCCCAAGTGTATGATCCTATATATTATTCAATTGCTTATAAAAATTATTCCATATCTTTAAGTTCTTCTTTATATTCATTAATTTTATCAGGCTCACTAATCAAAAAGGTTCTACCTCCATTACTTGTGGGTGTCTTTTATAAATTACCTGCAACTATGGCAATTAAGTAGCTTGGTATTGGAATCTTTTATATAAAATATTTATATTTCCAAGTGAAATTAGGATCTATTTAAGGATGATTTTCAATCCAGAATTATTCTTAACTTTCTTCAGCTGACATAAAAACATCTGTTGCTTCTATGTTTTTTTAGATTACTGTAGCAGAATAGGTTTATTTAATTGCAGGTGTATCCTGTAATGGTGCTAAAGATCTACAATAAGCATCTTCACATTATGTAAATAAGTATGGCATTACTAAATATATTTACACCATCTTAACCTTTGGTTGATGTTTGCGATTTATTCATAAAACTTATTGATTCAGACCTAGAATCTATTGAGTATTTGATTGATAATATAACAAATTCATCTCTTTTATATTCTCGATTAAGCAATATATTTAATCTTTAACCTTAATCACTATCAGCGTATGGATAATCAACTGTATGCTTAACAATAATACCATTGCTCATATAAATTTAATAGATTGTCAAATCTTTCATATCTAAACATATCTAATATATTTTTGTTATTTACTTTGTTTATTGATTCCCCTATAACTTAAAATTAATATTTAGTTGTTGCATTTATCTATTTCTTTTCCATATTTAATAACCATTCAAAATGAATATGCTTAATTTATACATCAAGATAATTTGAAAATGTGTTCACATCAATTTCATATCCAAATACTAATTTAATAATTAGGATTCCCAATATAATCATTTCTATATTTATTTGATATTATTTCAAACTTCATCTTTATGAAATAAACTATAATTTGTTAGGAACAATATGGAAAATAAATATTCATATAATTTATTTTGTATTTATATTATTATTATTATTTCTTTTTAAATGGCATTCTAATATTATTTTCTTAGACTTTTTAAAATTTACTTTAATTTATAGATACATTCGATCATGAATAATCTCCCTTTAGAAATATTATTAGTTATTAGAAATTATATATAATACCTTAATTAAGATTAAAATATAATAATTAGTTATATATCCTCATATATATATCTTTAATAATTGCATTCAAATAGAATCTTAAATTAAAGTTAGCCATTTTTAAGGATGAGGGATTTAGATAATATTCTAAAAGATTTAAATAAAGGGAAAGAAGGAGACATGCAAATCCTAGTTTATTAAGAAAAGAGCTCTCAAAATTTTCTTATTTCTTATTATTAGAATTTCTCCAGAATCTCCCATAAATTAAATTTCTATAGAATTATTTAATTAGATCAATATAGATATTAAAGAAATAGGAACAATATATGAAAAGGAATATTTTATGAGATATTTATTTAATAATGCAGTGGATGTAAAATGTAAAGGTAAAAAATATCATACTATTATGATGGATTTCGATAGAATATAAGAATAAAAAAATAACAACTTGGAAAAATAAAAAAAATTACTCTTATTTTAATGATTAAATTGTTAAAACCTAATTTCTAAGTTATAAAATTAAATTAGTGTTCTCTAAACTATTCAGAAATAATGTTAGATTAGTTTTATAAAGATTTAGTATACTATTATGATTAAAATAATAGTAAATAAATTATTTAAATCATTTAATATTGAAGAAATAAGAAATATCATAAAATAACTTCATTTATATTTTTAATTAGCTTCCTTTTAAGAAATACATTATATAATAGATGATATTTTTATTATTTATTTTTAATTTATAAATTTTATTTTCTCCTTAATCAATAATTATTCTAAAGTGACCAAATCTAGATTTTACTTGATTTATCATCCCAAGTTATGATATAGTTTCCATCATTACTGATAGTTCCAATAAAATTTTCACTTCCCTTAAAAGTGATAGTTTATTCTAATTCAAGTTAAGCAAATTATTATTAATTTTTCAAAACCCTTAAAATATTTATATTAGATCCATTTTTGTTTAAAATTAAATTTTTCTTATAATTTAAGATTGTTGGAAATAATATATCATTACAATCACTACTTGGTAATTACTTTTGATCAATCAAAATATAATTAGAAGTAGTACTGTCCAAACAATAAGTACTTAAATTACAAGTTCTATCTGATGAGGTGACAAAAGTATTATTATTTATAAAACATATATGATACCCATACATATCTACATCTATTTTTTGTTTTATTAACCAAAATATTGAATGTTTTTCTTATTCCATCACAAAGATTTAATAATTAAGATGGCAAGAGGCTATTTAGCTTCCTTCTTAATTTATAGATAAGCCTAATACTTAATAAGTATCTTCTCTTATAGTTTAAAAGCAAAACCACTAATATAAATTTAATTATTTTGTTGTCCAAAATTTTATAGTTGAATCATCTCCTCCTGAAACAATTAAATTTTTATCATTAAAATATAAAATTACACAAAAAATAGTTGAAGTATGTTCCTTTAATTTTTAGATAATTTTTGGTTTTGCTAAAAGGTTTTTTGCCCATATAATCAGTGAAGAATCAACAGAACCTGATAAGAAAAATTGACTTTTATTTGGAAAATAATTAAGAGTTAAAACTTCATATTAATGTGATTGAAGCAATTGCAAAAATTTCATCTTGTTTGAATTGAATGTATACACTTTTATTGCAGATTCTTCGCCAACTAAAATCATGGAGTTATCATAATTGATTTCTAAAGCATAACAAAGTTTGGATTAATTAATCTAATTATCTCTCATTTTTTCATAAACAAATTTTTTTTTATCATCCATCTTTTTTTTTATTTCATGTTATACTTACATTTAATTTTTGGATTAAATTGAAATTATAAATAATTTTCATCGAATTCTACTTTAAAGAACTTTAGATTTTTTTATTGTTAATTTAGATTGACAGTTCTATTACATCTTTTACTCTAATTCATGATTTTTAAATTTTTGATTGAAATTTATTAAGGCATTTTAAAACTTTAATATAAAAAAAGAAATATTCTAATATTATAATTGTTTTTTCAATTAATTTTTTAAATATAAATTAAAGTTAAGATAGTAAAATTAGTTTAAAACAAAAATTATTTTCAGTTATCTTTCTTTTCATACTTCTTAAAAATAAATATTGAATCCTAAAATTATTAATAATAAGCACTTGGAGTTAGTCACTAAAAAAAAGCAATAATTTTATTTTAATAATTTATTAAGGAACTAGTGACAGTCAAACAATAAAATAGTTTAAAAACATTTTAAAGAATTATTGATTATTTTGTAACATAATTAGTTAAAAATTACCTAAAAGACGTCTATAATTCACTTTTTCATTCAAGAAAAAAATTCCTGCTTTGTATTAATAAAAAATTATTTATCAATTTGTCACTAGTTTTGAGGTAATTTAACAGTTATTCAATTTTTAAATATATATTTCTTATTTGAGAAGTTATTTATCATTTTTTGTTTAAAATTAGTTACCAAACACTTTATAAATCAAAAAATGATTTATATCTCTTATTTGCTTCAATGATTCTAAAATCTATTTCAAAATCTTTTTTAATTTCAAAAAAGATTTTTTGGATTGTTTGAAATATAGCTTATTTAATTTAAGATTTTTTATAAGATTATAAATTTTTACTTAAGATTGTATCTATAACACACTAAAATACATAAATTAATGTTAACTTTTTAATTAATTAATCACATCAACTCTTTCAGCGAAAATACTAAAAAAAGAAGAGGATTTTCTTTGTTCTTAAAAACAGAATTTAAGTTGATAAATGGTTAGAATACTTAAAATATGTAATAATAGATAAATTAATTACAAAATGGAATTATCTTTAATTTCTTAATTATTTATTAGATTTAAATGAACAAATAATTCCCTCAAATGAACATACATCTCATATTATCGCATTAAGAAGCAAAAATATTTATAACATTTTATAATATTTAATTTAATTATTGTGATAAAATTTGCAAAATTAAGATTTTGATTTATTCTCTAATTTAAAAATCCATAAAATATGGTATTTTAATCAAAAATAACTTCAACTCTTTTTTTTAATAATCATTATTATGATGATTCTTTTCCTAAAGTTATTTCTTCAATATTAGCAATTGATGATAAGATTTTTGGTATTTGATTCTTTAATTATAATTTATATAATATTAATTGAATTAACATTGATGAGGATTAAAAAATAGATTTTTTTATCATTCATTTATTATTTTATTTACTAATAATAAATATATGTATTATTAATATTACAAATAAGACTAATGATATATATACTTTATTTTTCCTCATCTTGCTAAATTAATAAATTATTAGAAACATATATGGAATCTTTATAAATAATAATTATATAATATAATAATTTAATGACATTTATGATGTGTAAATATCATCCTGATAACCAAGCAATATATTTGCTCTGGAATAATTCTATGTTATAATTTGCATGTGAAGAATGTACTGAAAACGAAAAAAAATAAGAAAATAGATAGATTTTAAAATTATTATCAATAAGAAAAGCTTTGAAAGAGCCTGATTATTTCATTAGAGAATTCAATTTGAATAAAGAAAACAAATAAATAATTGGAAAAATAGACAATATAAATGTTTAAGAATTGAACAAATTAATTAATACTATTGATTCATGTGTCAAAGATCTTCAAATCAGTTTGAGTGATTTAATTAATTAATTAAAGGAAATAGTTTTTAAAATAATTGAAAGAAAAGAAAAGTTAAGAAATAATTTAGAAAAAGTAAAATAATCATATAAGTTTATAGATCTCGTATTATGCCTAATTTAAGGAAGTATTTAAATGTTTAGATAACTAAAAATGTCTTACTGATGATGTAGTAAACTAAATCTAAGACAATATTTAACAAATATTCTTGGAGATTGAGAAAAATTAAAACTCTTTTAACTAAGAAATATTAGAATAGTTATTAATTCCAAAAAATAATAAACTAAGTATAACACCATAATACTAAATATTTAAAAATAAACTAGAAAATTTGAAAAATAGTATAGCTCCTCTTCCTTTACTTTTGTAAAATACTAGAGATCAAAATTAAGATCCAAATAGTTATCAAAGAAACCTAAAATTTTCAAACAATTATAAATAATCAGAAATTGTACTCTCTTTAAATGAAAAGGTGGCTTATGCAGAATAAGATATTTGGTAAGTTGTTGTATGTGATCAAAATTAAGATCCAAATAGTTATCAAAGAAACCTAAAATTTTCAAACAATTATAAATAATCAGGAATTGTACTCTCTTTAAATGAAAAGGTGGCTTATGCAGAATAAGATATTTGGTAAGTTGTTGTATGTGAATAACAAATCCCAGAAAATCGAAAAATTTCATTTTATTTCAAAATTTTGTAAATACATCAATTTTATAGTGGAATCTGTTTTAGAAATCGAATTGATAAAGGTTATAGAGGGTATGTTTCAAGTATAGGACATGGGTATTTTATTCTCTTTAAAAAAGATATTATCTAATGTGTAGATATGGACATGTATATTCACATCATGATTAGGATATTAATGGATAATAAAAAGGATTCCAATCATTTTAAGGAGATGTTATTGAAATTTCAGTTGATATGATAGAAAAAACCATAACATGGACTAATAATAGATCTAATTCTTTTGTACTTTCTTCATATATATCTATATTTAGAAATTGACAATTCAAACCATAGATCCATTATATCCATGTCTTAGACTTGCTAAATCAAAAGTTTAGATAACTGAACGTTGATTATTATTTTTATATAAAATCAAATGTTATTTTGAATTCTACAGGTTTTTAATAAAATTTATGAAACGTTTATCTACTATAAATCAAATAAATGAACTTAAATTAATTGCATTATAAAACAATAATATACGTAAGACCTATCAAATATAATATTCAAATTAAAAAAAGATAAATCAACGATTATCAGATTTAAAAACTAAAAGAAAGAAGGAAAAATCATAGGGTTTCCTATTGTCTAAGAATACAATTGTCTTGGAATTTTAGTTAATAGATTAGGAACTCTTAAAAATCATATAATCAGAAAATAAAATTTGATGGTAAATAGAAAATTTTATATAATATGTGTTTATCCCCTTAACAGATTTTAATGTTTTGTAAAGAATAATAATCTAATTATTAAGAATTTAGTGAACGACTATTTAGCATCAATTAATTTAACTTATTAATCATTTTCTTACATGTTTATTTTTCATTTCTAAATTTCTATATCAATAAATTCCTAAAGTTATTCTCTAAACTAGAAATTCGTTAACATAAATATTTTTATATATTTAATTTGTAGAAAAATAAATTAATAAAAACAATATATTGAATAACCAGAATGATAATAAGAATAATAATGTAAACCTATTAATAGTAAAGTGCATGTATTTAATATCATAAATAAGAAGTAAAGTTTAAAGGTTACGATGAATAACAAAGCAAATAATAACTAGTGAAAGATAAAGATATTTAAGAGAAGCAATATAACTCTTATTAAACTAATATATAACTTATTAATAAATTTAAGAATTAATAGATGTTTATTAACAATAAAAAATCGAAATTATTTAAATTTGTTTTAAATTAAAATTGAAATTTAAATGATAATTTAGAAAAGATAGTTATATATCATAAATCAAAAAATTAAATGGAAATAAAAAAGTAATATTTTTTTACATAAAAAGGTTAATTTCGACTTTCCTTCTAAGTATATTATCTGTTGGAATAGATTTGAGTTTATCTCTAACATTATTGCTATTGAGAGTCTGAAATATTAATAAATTAATCCAAAAGAATAAAGTAACAATTAACTTTTTTTAAAATGAGACCCAAGAATTATATGTAAAATAGAAAAATGAGGGAGGAATTCATAATGAGGAAATAGATTTTGAAGCTGCTAAACTCATGGTTTAAGCATAATAAAATATGATGATTATAACAAGTATGAAAGATTGGTTGAATTAAAAAATGTTATTAAATGGTTGGATTTTAATTTATAAGAATTTATAAGAAATATAAGAATAATTTAGTTATTGAGGAAAAAAAACTTAATAGCATGAATGATATTAAAAAAAATTATAAATATATTAACCTGATAGAGAGTAATTTTTTTCTTGAGCTTAAAAAGATATGAAATTGTTATTTATTTCTTATAAGTTTTGTTGTATTATAAAAGAATTTCCTACAAAGGTATAAAATCAATAATTTAATTAAAATTTAAAAAGATTGATTTAGATAAAATTAAAATCCACTTTGATTAATGAATAAAAGTTAAATTAATCTACTTAATTTTTTATTTTAAATCAAAGAAAATATTTTTACAAATATCAAAATAAGGAATGATTTCTCCATTTGAGGAATGTTTTAAATTAAAGTCATAATATTAAACAACTTAGTAAAACAATCAAAATAGATTTTGTTAATTTCTTTAGTAAAATTAGAGAAAATTTTTGATATGAAATAAAATTAAATTTGAAATATAAATTTATTTATAATCATTATTTAATTGATTATTTTGTCGAAATGACGTATAAATTCTTTTCAATAGTTACTATGATTCTCCTTTTTAATATGAACCTAATAGCAAACTAATTTTGTTTAAGAAGATAATTTAAAATGCATTCAATTCTTAGAGGACATTATAAAAATGTACTCTATATTGGTAATGGAGCATTAATTTCATCTAAGATATCTAATGTTTTTTATGGAGGAAATAATGGAAGCTGCCTTAAAGATAGTATTTATATATTATCTGTATATTAATGGTGTGGAATAGGAAGTTCGATAAAATTAGATTTATTACAAAATTAAGAATTAAACACTTTAAAAATATGGTTTTAGGATGGAGATAACAGACTCTACAGGATTAAAATTTATATTATATTTGATAACAAAGAAACCTAGATTTACAATGATTTTACCAAAAGTGTATTTATTATAACATTTCCCTAATAAATGGTGTCAGGATTTAGGATACTTAATGTAGCCGGTAATACCTATAATTCAAATTTGCATTTCATCAAGGCAGAAGCTTATTATAAATTCTAAGTTAATAAATTACAATGAATAATTTAATAAAAAATTTATTAGTAAATAATTTTGATGTCATTTCTTTAGAAATTTATATAAAATTTTAGTACTTAAAATAAATACGATTAATGTTTGACTTTGTAAAGAAATTTATTACCATTGAGTTTTTATAATCAAATTGTTTTGTTTTTAAATCTTGAGAATTTCTTTTTCACTTAAATAATTTAAAATTTATACCTATATATACTTTCATAGATTCTCTTAATTATGATAAAAATTTAATATTCATCTTAATTATTTTATCATGAATTATCATAATACTAGATAAAAAAAGAACTATGCGAATAAAGTTTTTCCAAGATTCTTTAGGTGACTCAAAATTTTTGTATAAATTAATCAAATTGCAAAATCAGGAAGAAAATTATTTCATAAGATTTGTATAGAATTTAGAGTAAATTCTATGAATTGAAAGACTAAATTAGTGTGTATGCGAAATTTTAATCTTCATAATTTATATCATAAAAAATGTTGCTTAATCTTGGATTCTAATAAATTCAATACTTGGATGACTGTAGCCCCCGAATTAATAAGGGGTTAAAAATATCCATAATTTAGTTTAGATTAGTGAAATTATCACTAAGATTTAAATTAAAAGTAATTTATTTCCTAGACATTTATATTAATTAATTCATTAATTATCTAAAAATAAATAATAACAACAAAACATTAACTAATATATTACCCATATTTACATAACTAAATATGAATCATTTTTTATTTTTAATTTGATTATTATTTTATAAATGAAATAAAACTAGAAAAATCAAAAGAAATGCAATTTTGAATTGATTCCTAAAAATTCAATTAGATTAAAAAAATTTTGTAAAGGAATGGCTATAAATAAAGACAATTCAATATTATTAATAGATTCACTCTTTGTTATTGTTATTTATACATTTAAAAATGGAAAAATTAATAAATTATAGTTACTTCAATCTGATTCTTTAGCATCTTCAACATCAACTTTCCTAAACAAGAAAACCTACTTTATTTCTAGTTCTTAAAATTCATTAATACTATGGTCAACAACTCTTTTAAGAAGTAATAAATATATTAAAAAATTGGAAGAACACTAAAACCCAATTTGTTGCATAGCTATTCATCCTATTAATGAGAATCTAATATTTTCAAGTAGTTGGGATAGTATTGTTAAAATTTGGTTACTTTCATCTAAAAAGAATCCCTGTTAATAAACAATATATGTTCCAACAGATAGAATTATTTAACTAATAATCAATGAAGAAGGAAATAAACTAATAGTTTTAGGAGACAACAAAAAAATATTAATACTGCAATAAAATGGAAATTTATGGATTAATTAATATCAAGTTGAAGTTGATTAAGAAATAAATAAAATTTGCTTCATCAATAACAATAGTTTCATTTTTTCTTCAAAATAAATGGTCTTATATTCTCGTTAAGCATAAAATTTATAAACATATAGTTTACAAGATGATATATTGATTTATTAATTTGCAGACAATCTATTAATTAATGAATGTATCCATTTTTTCAAACCAGAAACATTTCCATTTTTTTATGATTAAAAAAAGTAGATTCTTTTGGTTGTTGGTTTATGCAATATTTATATAGTCAAATATCTAAATGTTAATTCAGGAAAATTAATTATAGATTAAGTAATTAAATATCGAGATCATCAATAAAGTTCAAGTTTCATTTTTGCATTTATAAGTAAAGATGGAAAATATTTAATGATTTCTGACTTAATATAATTTTAAATTGATATTTTTGAGTTAAAATATATTTATTGAAATAATCTATTAAATTAAGTATAATAAATTAAACAATCCTAATTAAAATATAATAGATTCAAAATATCAATAAATATATATTTATATTAAATTTCTTCTGAATTCTACTTATCCCATCTTACTAAATATTCTCTATCTTAAATCAATATTCCAAAAAAACAAGACCTTGCTATTAATACTTATTTGATTAATTAGAAATGATATGAGAAATTGAGAATGAAAATTTAATTTAAGTTCAAAGTTTAACCCATTTTTTAATTAATTTATCTATTTGGAAGGTATAACCAAATAGATGACTTAACAAAATCAATGCTTAAAAAATTGGTTTTTTTGAATAAGTTTTATAATATTTATTATTAAGATCATTTATTTTGATAATCTATTAATGCGAATTGGTAAAATAGACAAAAAATAAGACTTGACAACATTCTTACTATTGATAATCCATATTCAATTTACCAAATCAAACCAACTAAAGTTAGAATCAATAGAATATATGAACAAATTAAAAAAAAATTTAATTTTTTCTCATTTGGACCCCAGCTATAAAATGTTGAGTAAACATAGTATTACAATGCTAAACAGAAATAGTCTAGCAAACTTAAATTATTTATAAGTAAATTTTACATGAGGATTTCAACGATCTCACATGGAATAGAAATTTATTTTATAAGGGTCAATATAGAACACAAAACTCCACATAAAAAGGTTATCAAAAACAGGAAAAACAATTTGTTTGCAAAACGAATTTTAATAATAGGATATTTATATTAGACATTTTACAAAATTTTCCTATTGTGAGGTTCATCACCATATTCTTGTTCTTATTGATTGTTTTGATTCCCTGTAGGCTCATTGCTATTTTTTATTTAGTCAAAAGAGGTTTGATTTTTTGTATAAGTTTCTTGAGGAAAATTCTACATAATTTAATTAATATTTTTATTATATAATAAAAATGTTAAGTAGTATGATCATGATTAGAAAATTTAAAATTATATTTCATTTATTCAAAATTCTAGAATACAATTCAAATAACTTGAAGATTGTTTTTTATTTTGACAAAAATTCAACAAAATCATTCTACTAAATATATGTGACATAATGTGAATATTTAAAATTCTAAATTTAAAAAGGTAGAAACTTTTAATTTTGTTTGTGAATTCTAGAATTAATTTAAAAATAACTTTGATAATCATTGCTTATGGTTTAAAAGTTCAAGTAATTAAAATATTGTTACCAATTTTAATAATTGCATATTTTCATATAATTTTACTAATTTTTAGGAAATAATCCTCTAAATTCCAATTCTTCCGATGATAGTTTCACATCTAATAATCCATTAGAGAAATTTTACATATGAGTCACCAAAAAATTATGAATTATCCATTAAAATTATTCCAAATAATTTTATGTGTTCAGAAATTTTAGTAATTTCTAAAGATTAGAATTTAATAGCTGTTGTATATGCCAATTGTAATTAAGATGATTGTTCAAAGGAATCAATTATTATGATCAGTTAAACAACAGATAGAAAAACCAAATAAAATTTAGAATTTAGGTAAATTAAAATTAGAATTTTGTTTTAATATAAAATTTTTAGCCACTAGTAGTTATTAATATTAACAATATTAAGTAATAGTTGGGAATATAGATTCTTGCAATCATTAAAACAGCTTAGAATCAAAATTTATAAGGATATTTTAATCAACAGCATTGTGTTTTCCCCTTTTAGAAATTATTTTTTCTGAATTTAAATAACAAGTATATAGGTAGTTTTGGTTTTTGTTAAGAAAACTAAGTAGAAGATAATCAAGTTATTGATCTTGTAAAATTTTAATTGTTTTACAAAACAAAATACTGATTGAATTTTTTCAAATAATAATAATGAATTACTCAATGTTTAAAGTAATGTACTTAAATTTATAAATATTAAAACTAGACTTAAAATCAAAAATTATTAGTAGAATGAAAAATACTAGTTTTATTTTAAAAAAAACTTGATTGTCTATTAATTGAATCTAAAATAACTTATTAAATAAAATTTGATCTTGAAAAACAATAGTATTAAAAACTTAACTAATTTTACTTTGAAAGTAAATCTTCGACTTTTATTTATCAGGTTAATATCTTGCTTTTGTTTTAGAAAAGGAAATTTCTATTTGAAAATTGAAAATGAGAATAAGATTTAATAAGAAGCTTAATAATAAATTTAAGAAATCAATCTTATTAAATTTTCTAAGGAAGATATTTATTTAATAACATTATAAAAATTATAGTAGATGAAAAATAAAGTTTAAAAATTGAATCATTTTAAAAAATTTAAGATCTTAATTACCATCCATTCAACCTTGAATTTCTTGTTATTACACAAAATATAGAAATTTATATAAAAAAAGGAGAAAAGGAAACATTTGAAAAATTTACAGCAATTACAAGATATAAAGAATTATAATCTTTTAAAGCATTAATCCAAAAAGGAGCTAAGAATTGAAATAATCAAATTAATATATTATATGAAATAAAAAATACTCTTTAATATAAATTCATTCTAATTTTAATGTTTATTCAAAGAAATTAGGATTGTCTAAATCTTCTTATGTATAATTTATTATCTCATTTTTTGGCTCAAGCAATTTAAACACTTTATTCCAATTTAATAGATTCCTTGACATTGTTTAATAAGTTCCAAATATATATTGGCAATATTTTGCTCTAGATAACGCAACATTTGTCCTCTTTTTGTCAGTTAAAAAACCTGCTTATTTATTTGATCGTACAAGAGATAATATAATGATATCATTTTCTTTCCCTTAAAAAGAGTCAACTGTATCTAACTCAATCAAATCACTTAATCTAATTATTTTATTATAGCCTTTTTAATCTTTTTTTACTTGAAATATTTCATTATGCAAACTTTTAAATAAATTATGCTTTTATGCTGAATAACCACTAATAATAGTAATTCCTTTTTAATGGTTTTTAATATCAAGATCATGTAACAAATATTTAATTAGTTTAACAATGGCACAACATTCAAAATCATTCTTTCTACTTGTCTCCACCATTGTTTCTGTTTAAGACGGAGCACTAAAAAACAGTCTATTTCTATTATAAGATACTTTTTAGGATATCCAATCTGGGAATTATTAAATTTAATTGCCATTCCTAAGTGAATTTTTGTAAAATAATTATGAAGTAATTTCAGCTAAGTTATTCATCTATCTGTATTAATAAATCAATTGGAAAGTACTTTTATTTAAACCTTCTGATAATCTTTAGAATAAAGAGCGATTATAACCAAGATTTTTCGAATCTTTAGCCACAACAATTGGACTAAGTTAATTTATATCGCCAAGCAATACTATTTTTTCAATATTAGTATATTTGACCAAAGGTATCAATAAAGATGGTTCTAAAGCTGTTGGTGCTTCATCAACTATACACATTCGAAAATTCACATTCTAAAAATATTAAGTCAAGCATTAGTTTGTACAACTATTTAAGGTCGATACTATGATATGACTCTAATGGTTTTTTAATATATTTTACTTAGCTTAAAAATTATTATTCAATCTTATCGTATTTATCTTTATTTTATTTCCAAAATTATGATAATTGATGATAGAAATTACCATATGCATTTAGTATAATTCGATTCACACTGTATCTGTTCAGATCCTCAATATAACTTAATAATGAAATCAAAGTTATTTATTATTAGGTGAATTCCAAATACTCTTGGTAATTATCAAGTTATTTTTATTACAATATTTATTTAATAGATTCTGTTATATAAAGTTTTTCTATTTCTCCAATTTATTAAGAGAATTGTTAAAAGAATTCATTCTAAGCTTAGATTTCTAAACTAAGTTTAGCTATATCTTGATCACATAAGCTTGGTCTTCCAAATCGAATAACTTTTAAAAATTCGGGTTTATAATCAAAACAATAAATTATTGAATCTTTCTCTTAAGTGTTCTTGTTAATTTTTCTTACTAAATCATTAACCACACTATTTGATTTAGCTAAAATTAGAATTGCTCCTTTTTTTTTATTTTCTTCAAAATCAAGCAATTCTGCCATAATTGATATTATTCCGATAATTGTTTAGGTTTTTCCAGTGCCAGGAGGTCCATTTATTATGGTAATCTAAAATAATAAAATAATTTACTCTTTTCTTAAAATTTAAAGAATGATAGATTGCTTGTAATTATTCTTTGTTAAATTATTTCTTAAATGTTTCATTTTCAAAATAATACTGTTGCTATTCTCTAACTTTGATAGCAAAATCTGAAGGTTGAATTTCATTAAGATCTTCAATAGGTTATAGGATCAACTTATAATAAGGACAATTTTCTAATTAAAAAAGGATATTTGCTTCAGTTTGATAAGCACTTATTGGACTGATTGGTTGGAAATAGACATTAGTTATGTAATCAAATATACCTACAGGAAAAATTAATGCTATGTTATTTGGAAGTAATAAATATTAATTTTCTCCTTTTTAATTAATAATTGCTAAGGAAGAAAAATATTCTAGATTATTAGGATCTTAAATGTAAATTGCTCCTATATATTAAGATGACTCTTTGAAAATTAAATAATCTGCATAGTGTCTATATTTCCATAATAACTTATTCTTTTTATCTTTTGTTTCTATTTCTTCTAGAATTTTAAATTTGTATCCTTCATATTCATTTTCGCAGATTTTAATTTTCAAAACTATGGGATAGCTATTTCTTTCTATTAAACTTCGTTGACAACTTCTTAAATCTCTTTAAATTGACTAATAGTATTCATTTTGAAGAAGAGGAAATATTTTTCTTTAATATTAATTCGCTGATTTGAAAGTTCGAAATCCTATTAAATTTTCTAGATCATGTCTATTTTAAGCTTTTTTATAAGCGACATTAGAAATTAAATGCATAAGACTATTGTATTAACTGGGGTTTTAGTGCATAATTTAAAACAAAATTAATAGTGAATATTAAATATATAAAAGATAAATAAATATTTAATTAATTAATTTTAAATTTTAAATTTTGTTCTATATAAAATTTTAATATATAGATTTCATTAGGATGATTGGATCAACTCTAATTATTCATTCAATTGATTAATAAATAAATTATTTATTTATTTATTGAATTTAGTGTGAAGGTTATTGAGTAAGCTTATTTATTTTCGAAAATAACTTATACACTATAAGTAATAAATAAAATAGTCATTATTTAGAATAGTATTTAGCTAGAAAATGTTTTAGACGCTTAGAATATAAAATAATATGTACAAAATAATATTCTATTTACTATTAATAAAGTATACTTTGTATACATAAGAAAAAGAAATAAAATAACTTAAAATATTAAATTTGAATTTTAGTTCAGGTTTATTTAAGCAAATGATTGAAAAGCATTACTTTCTTAGAATTTTTAAACTTTAGTTCCAATTCTTCCATAAAAAAATCTTTAAATTTATCTTAAACTATTAAAACATTTTGATTAAGGAAAAAAAAATAAAATCAGGGTTAATTTAATCAGATTAATAAATTTATTTATGTTTTTCTAAAATTGAATAATTTTTGTTACTATTATTTGTTATTCCATTCTAACATTATTGTTAATTTCTGTTAGTAATAGAACTTTAAATAAATCAATATTTTAAATAAATTTATTTTATATAAATAAATAAATAATCATGGCCATTTGGTTTTACTTAGTTCTTTAAATGATTTTTAATTAGATCTTGTCTTAAATGATATAGTTGAATCCATATTACTAATTCTATTAATAAGAATTTGAATTTAAAGATGATGATTTTAACGAAAATGATTGCTTTATCTATGGAATATGGTCTAAATATAATCCTCTAAGCATTATTTCTTAAGTTGGTTCTATAGGATTGTTTGACAGCAACTATTACCATATACATAATATAGTTGGCAAATCCTCTCAAAATTTGAATCTTATATATTATGATTACTTAGAATATAACTCTTAAACAATTTAGAAGACAGTTGAATTTATGAATGAGAATGATAAAATATTCAAATTTGAAATTAGTATAGATGCTTTTCAATATGAAAACATTTGGTATTTTTTAGAAATTATTGAATGGCCTGCGTAATATCGATTTGAAATCATAATAATTTAGGAAAATAAAATTCGAGTTCATGAAATTAAATAAATAAAAATGCCTTTCAGAGATACAAAGATAGTGTTAAGATTTGGAGGGGATTTGGTAGTAACAAATTCATAAATACCTATACCATCTACAAAAACAATTTAAAAGTTTACGTATTTTCCCGGCTTTATTATGATATAAAAGTTAGCCATAAAAAAGTTAAAATTTGATATTGATTTGATTGCATTAGCTACAAACGATTATAATATTTATGGAAAATGTTATTGTAAAGTGACTGAAAACTTTTAAATAGAGGACTTTCAAATTAATAAATTGGATAAGAAAATTTATATTTCATAAAATACAAATTGTGATTCCTTTATTTTATCAGGATGGTTTAAGATTAATGATATTATTTCATCTGCTAATGAGTTTGTCTATAAATTAATTATGTTATCAGCGAATTTTGAAAACTCTCTTTCCAATAAAAATCTATAACCTTTTTAAATGAGCTATTATCTATCGTCTAATGAGAATAAAATATTGGTAACAACATATAGTTATGCTTTTCCAGTTATTTCTATTGATTTTTCAGATGATCCTTTTATTATATAAAAAGAGCTTTTAATTAAGAATTCTATAAAAGTATGGCATAATGTTTTTGTTAATTTATAATAGGATTTATTGAAAATTGTAGTTAAATTTTATGATAAAGATAACATATATGAGTATAATGTTTAATTTAATGTTAAATAATTTCATATAATTCAACTTAAATTATAATATGGGAATCTACTTTAATCCGCTCCAAACTATTTAAACATAGATGTGAAAAACTTAGTATTATAGAATTGTGATCAATTATTTTAATAGCAAAATTGCCATTATAGTTGTTAAGATTGTGATGGCCCAACAATGTATAATTGTTTATCTTGTTCAGAGGAATCATAAAGAATCTATATACCTGAATAAAAAGTGTGTGTATGTCCATATAATTCTGTTGATGAAAAAACGTGTTAAACTTACCTTGATTCAAACTTTGAATTAATACTAGGAGAAAAATAAGATGATAACCTTTGTTAATATGGATATTTTGAATATGAAGGAGAATGTTTCATGTGGTAAATTGTTATTTTTAAATTATTTTAGTCCTTCAATGATAAGAGAAAATAAAATTAGTTGTTTATAATGCTTAAATAATCCAAAGGAATGGTATAAAAAGCCTTACTGTTATTAAGATCTTTACTTTGATAATTAAGGAGGTACTCAATAATTAATCTATTAATAAACTTCATATTTTTTACTAGATGGAACTGAAGTCACTTTATGCTTATTTTGCTTTGAAAATAATTTCTTAAGCCTAGAAGATTAGTATTTAGATTATTTGTATCACAATTTAAATTTTAAATCTTTTTGTCAAGACACTTCTAATTAGATAAACTTTAATTGTTATAAATGTTTAATTTAATCATGCAAAAAATGCTATTTATCTATTCAAGGTCATCGATGTCTTAAATGTTATTATACACATGTATTGATTAATGATGAATGTATAAGAAAAGATTAGCCTAGTTTATCAACTTATTGTGATTTTCCTTTATATTTAAATTCTAAGAAAAAATGTTCTTAATGTCCAATAAATAATTGCAAATATTGTTTTGAATACTAACCTAATAATCTTTATAAAAATACATTGTATAAAAATTTTGAGATATTTAATGATGATGAAGAAGAAGAAGTTAAAGTTGGATGTGCACTTTGTGAAGAAAACTTTATATTTAATTTTAATACAGGTGAATGTATTGATCAGAAACCTTAAATTGAAAATTGTTTAAGATCCTTTATTAATTATAATGATAAGGAAATTTGTACATTATCTTAAATTGATGATTTCAATATCGCCCCAGAGATTATAAATTGTTAAAAGTATTTAAATAATTGCATATAATGTTTGTTATCGGCTGAATCAACACTAAAATGCATCATATGTTAAGAAGGTTACACAAGTTCTATAATAAATGGAGATTGTTATAAAAACGAATTAACAAATTCTAAAATTGTTATTGAAGGTGATTTAAATTTAAAAGATGGTTGGGTTCAAAGAATTCAAAGTTTTATGATGCAATATTTACCAAACAAATATTTTTATCCTAAATCAGAATTTAACTCATAAATTTAAGCAATGATCGTAGAATGCTATTCAGATTATAAATATTTTTTAAATTTAAAATGTGAAAAATTTTGTGAACCTTCATGTTTATAATGTTCAATTAATGCTGATGGACCTTATTGTTAAAGATGTCCTTTAAATTATCATTAATAACCTATTCGAGATCTAGAAAATGGATAATGTTCAGAATGTTCATAATTATGCTAAATTTGCTATAGTAGAACTCCTGAAGAAATTTAAGTAATTTATAATTCTTATCAAAAATTAGAATTTATAACCTAGTTTTGTCTTAAATGAAACCAATAAAATGTTTACAAAAAAATGTTTGAAACCTATTAATACTCCTAACATTATTTATGATTCCTATTCACAAACAACTAAATATTGCTTTTAATCTAATTGTCTTAATTAAATTAAGTATCATGTGAAAATTACTTATTGCGGAGGTTACTTTGTATTTTGGCCATTTGGTTTCGACTATGGTATCAATATAAAGTATTGTAATCAAATGGGAATAGATGCAATAACAATTGTTATTCAATTTTAAATTTTTGAATAATTTTGCGGAATTAGAAATGTTTTATCTATTTCAAATTTCTTAAAGTCAAAGATATTTTCACTTCGCAATATGTATTTTTTAATGACTTCTGTTGATAATATAATATTGAGTACTCTCTATTCGATTGAGATTAGTTATTTTGATAAAATAGAATTTTAAAATTTAGCCATTTAATTTAGAAATTCACAATAATTTATCATAAAGAATAATAATAGTAAAGTGGATTTAAAATTAATTAATTTTGCTTTTAATTCATGCAATATTACAAGTGTTCAATCTTTGTTTTAAAATGAATTATTTGGTAATATTGTATCCAATAATTTTTCCATTTATAATTCCATCTTTATTAATTCTTCAATTCTAAATTTAGATGTATATCAATAAAATGGATTAATTACAATTAATAAACTACTGATTTAAGGATGTTTTTTCGAAGACTCCAACTTATTTTAATTTGGAAACAACAAATTTGATATTTTAATTGAGGAGTTAATTATAGAATAATGTGAATTTTAGAATTCTTCAATTTTTATGTTTTTTAACAACCTAAGAGATATAACATTTTTAAATATTTATAATTTAAAAATTCAAAATAATGTATTTAATCATTCATATTTTATTAAAAATGCCAATTTAGTTTAAATAAGTTTAACGAATTTTAACTTTAGCAAGAATAATCTATTTACTTCAAATTTAATATCATTTAACTATCATTTAACTTTAAATAATTCCTATATATTTGAAAATAATTTTATTGAATCATAAACATTGATTTTGCTATAGAGTCTAAGTTTTTAAGAAGCTAAAATTAAAATTACTAATTTATTTTTGTAATAAAATTCATTTCAAGATACCAGTTTTTTGTTCTTATATTCAAATAAATTAAACAATTACTTTTTAGATTTATCATTAATTTACTTAGAAGATAATTATAAATTAGATAGTACTAATAATGAAATGGTTCTTTTTGTAATATCATGTGAGTCATTAAATATTTATAATACAACTATTAGAAATGTTAATGATTTGATAATTTTCAAAATATATGAAACAAAAAAAATATTTATTTAGAATATTTTATATGAAAATAAAATATAAAGTATGAGAGTACCTTTATAAATCGGCTGTCATAATTTAATCAAGTAAAATAATCAACTTTTCAGAATAATTGGATTCTTTTCATTAGAAATTCTTGATGTTTAAATAATAAAAGAGTTTAGTGTTGATTCATCATTTATAGATATAAGTTCAAGTAGAGGATATCAAGAATAGTCATAAGGATTAATTTCTATTTCGAATATTGTATTTAAAGAGAATCTACAATTGTCAAGAGAATAAATTAATTTGATGTCATTATTAAGTATTCATGCTGAAATTGAATTAACAATAAATTTGGAGAATCTTAATTTTATAGAAAACTTTGTGCATTCTCAAGCAGACAGTTCTTTAAAAAATGCTGCAAGTTTAATGTTAATAACTTCTGCAGTAGGCTCTGTATCAATTGTAAACCTAAAAAGTTAAAATAATGCATTTACCAACTCTACAAATTCTTTTTTTAATATAATTTCTAATAAGATTTATATGATTAACTTAACAATTATTAATCATAATTTATTAACTTAGGAATTATGGCAAAAGTATTATGATATTGATTTAGATCATAATATTAATCAAGAAGACTTGAACATATTAATTTTTTAAATACTATAAATTCAAAATTTTGCAGGTGCATGCTCTATAACAGCATCAAATTTTTTTTGTTAAAACTGCACTTTTGAAAACATTCTAGCTCAGAAAAGTAGCATTTTTGAAATTAATACCATTAACGAAGGATTAATTAAATTAAATTAAATCCAAATTTAATCTATTTAAAATGTTATCTAATTAATTACAAATAGTTCAGGTTGCATAAGTATAAATGCTTAAAATAGTTTATTAAATCTTCATATAACAAATTCACTGTTTTCAAATGTTTTAAATAGAATGGCAGCTTCTATACTATCAATAATTTCCTCATAAATTCAAAATTAAATTTCATTTTAAAATATTCAGATTTTAAATTGTATTTCTCTTATGAATTAGTTTTTTTATGTGCAATTTTCTCCAAAAAATTTACGTAATAACTTTTTAATTCTGTAAAATTTATTGATCTTTTAAAGTGAAGATAAATGGAGATAATATTTCTCAAATTTAGAAACTTTAAGTGAAGTTGAGATGGCAGAAATAAGTGGATAAAATAATGCTGTAATACATATTCAAAACTGTTAAATTATTATAAAAGGACTAGAAATAGAAGGATTATTCATTTCCCCAATTATGAGATTTAATAATGTTTTTAAACTTCTCCTAACTGATACTTACATATAAGATATTAAATTTTTTTATCCATGCAATGTTATAGTAGTTGATTAAGGTTTAAATATTAAAAATTTAATATCATTCCAATAAGTCTATCTTCTAAGAATTTCAATATTGAAATCTAGCGAAATTATATAAAAGCTAAAATATAATAATTATTAAATAAAAGATTGTAAATTGTTTAAGGAAACCCCAAAAGATAATTAAAAATAGCTGAATATTACATTATTTTAGTAACAATTTTCTAAATTATAACAAGAATCTTTGTCGATAATTTAGATAAAAAGTATCTAATTTGAAAATTAGATTAAATTATATAAAATCAAAATATAGTAGAATGATTGTTCTTATTGTAGTGATGGTTTAATCAATTTTAGAGTAATCAATATCAATTTTTTTAAAATAGAAGATTTTTCATGTATTTAAAATTAAATTTTGTCATATGGATGCTTATTATTTTATTAAAAAGAATTAATCAATTTTAAGATAAACATCATTAATTCAAATTTTTATAACAATATAGGAAGTATAGGAGTAGGTATAACAGCGTATAATTTATCAGTAATGATTAAATAATGTAAATTATTTAAAAATATTGCCAGCACATATGGAGGTGGTTTATATCTTGCATTAAATAACAATAGTTTTATATTTGATTAATCAATAATATTAGATAATGAAGCTAAAGAAGCTGGAGGAATTTACATATATGGAGAATAAATTTTAAATGAAACCAATTTTATTAAAACAATGTTACTTTTTAATAAAGCTTAAAATTTTGCAAATAATCTAATTGAAAGCCCAACACATCTATCTTTATGTATAAATTAATTAGAAATGTAATCTCAAATCTTATAGCTTAATGGTTAATAAATGGATAAATTAAAACTTGCTCCTTATTTAATAATTGAACAAGAAAAGTAATATTAAACTTAATATCTTATGCTTCCTAGTGGTTAATCATTAATGGATTATGAAATAACTATACCTTCAAATTCGAAAACATTATTTTATATAAATGAAATGGGATTGTATTTAAAAAATAGTAGAAATGAATAGGTTTTAAACCTTTTCAATTCAACGTGTATTCTATAATTTGCTAAATTAAATAATGATAACTCAATTTAAGAAAGCAATTAAAAAATTACAGTAACTTTTAATTAATAAAAAAACTTTTTTGATATGAGTTCACTTTCTATAATTTTAGATCCTTATGATTAAAATAATAAACATCTATAAATTGATGCTACTTGTAAAATAGATTAAATGAATAAAACATTGAATTATCTTTTAAATGTTAGAAGTTTGAAGTGTTAACTTGGTGAATTTTATACAAATTAAGGTTGCCAAAAATGTAATTCAAATTAAGGATTTTATTCAGTAACATACGATACTAATAAGTGTTCTATATTTGATAAGAATAAATTCTTAGAAATAACAGAAAACAAAATAAATTTATTAAAAGGATTTTGGAGACCTCATTATTTATCTGACCATACTAGTTATTGTTTTAAAAATCAAAACTTTTGTTAAGGAGGTTGGAACTATGGAAATAAATTGTGTAGCATTGGACATTTTGGTGCATTATGTGAAGAATGCGATATTTATAATATAATGGGATATGGAGCATATTATAAAACTTTGTAAAATTTAGAATGTTAGATTTGTTAAGAATAAGTAGAAAATTTTGTTTCATTTACTTTAATTTTCATGTGGTATTATTTATTCTTAAATCATAGGGCTATTTTTTCCTTAATATTAACTTTAAATAGTTCAGAAAAATCAAATTAGATGTTTGCATAGCTTAAGTTTAAGGAAAGATTTAATAAAATTTTATTCAAATTAAATTAAGGTATTTATAAAGTAAATTTAGATCATGAAAGCATTCTGATAAAAATGTTGTTAAATTATTTATGGATGTTTTCTCTCATCTTTACTTTTAATATATAATTTTCCTTTAAATTTGTATTTATAGATCAAGCAAGCAATACATCATATTTTATGGTTAATAATTTGGATTGTTATTTATCAGAAATATAAACAATAGAATTAATTTATTCAAAAATATTTACAATGTTAGTATTCATTCTTTTATAATTCTTATTAATTATAATAGGTTTTACAATTTATTCTATTAAAATTGACTAAAAATTTAGATCTAGCATAATTTCTAATACTTTATTGATTTTATATATATTTAATTTTCCTGGATTGATTAAAATGTAATTAATAAATATTTTTAGGTTATGTTCTATAATATCAAATAGATGGATTTCAAATATAAATTATATATAAGGAGATGTTTCTTTGCTTTTTGGAAGTGACAATCATTTGAAATGGATGTTTTACTTTGTAATTCCAATACTCATTCTTTTTGGATGCTTTACTCCTTTGAGCCTCTTTATCATTATGCATATTAAGAGGAAATAATTAGATTCATTAAAACTTAGAAGGCATCTTTGTTATCTTTATAACGAATATAATGATCACAGTTATTTCTGGGAATTGATTAAATTAGTTCAAAAAGTTATAATGATACTAATATCAACATCCTTTGAAACTAATATTTCAATTAAAGCATCTTTATTTGGAATTACCTTGTTATTCTACTAAGCTTTAACAGTAAAATTTAAGCCATATTTAACCTCTCGTTTAAATCATCTAGATTTACATACTGGCTAAATTTGTTCAATGTCAATATTTCTCGCTGCTGTTAAATATACAAGCGATTAAGAAAATAATTAAATTTTGTCTGCTATTTTGTAAACAATTATATTATTTTTTTGTGCTAAACTTTGCCAACCTTTTCTATTTAATATTATATCAATTTACTTCAAGAAATATAAAACAACATTCTATGATAAATTTAAAATCTTATTTGAAAAACTACATTTTAAATATTGTCTCAGAAACTTAAATGAATTAATATCTAAGCAAAAAGAAAAAGAATAAAAGCTTAAAGCTAATTATCTAAAATTAAAAACTCATTTATTTTAAACTTCCAAAGCCTAAATGACTAATAGAAAGTATTTAAAGTTATTATAATTAGAAATCTACTAACATAAGGAAGTTTATCTTTTTTTAATTCTGCTAGATAAGCTAGAATTAGCGAGAATTTTGGATTAAATTAGTTTTTTAAACTTGAGACAAACTGAGAGTTAATAAATATTATTATTATTTTTCAATTTTCATCTTTCTTTTCTTACTAATTGAAATTTTTAGTGAATCTTCTTTTATTTTTAATTAAATTATTATTTTTACGAATTTCCTGAATAAATAGCATTCTTAATCTTTTCATAAATATATTAAACGAAATTTGATTATTATACTTTTCAAAAAAACAGAAGAAATTTTTCATATTCTACTAAATTATTCTATGATTTTTAATTTTATTATTTAAAATTTAACTTGTTTATTAGAAAGTATATAATATTAAATCAAATATGAATGATGAAAATCTTGAAATATAGTTTATACCTAAATAATAATCATCATTAATCAATAATAATACTCTTAAAAAATAAAATTATAAATGAAAATCAAATTTGTTTTAGAAAACTTTTATTTAAATAAAAAAATGAGTATAAGAAGCTTATTTAGATTTTAATTCTTTTAATTTAAAACTATAAAATCCAAAAGGATGGAATTATATCTTTTTGATTTTCTTCATTATTGTAAAGATGTGCATAATAATTAAAATTTATAATTAGATTCATTCTCAAGACAAGGAAATAAGAATTTATCTCAGTCTTCAAATAACTAATATTGACTAAGAAATTGAAAATATGTTTTGACATTCATTAATTTGTAGAAGTTTAAAGAAAAACTAATTATAAGTACCCCTATTATACAAAATTAAACAAATATAATTTAAAAAAGGAAAAATTAATTTTTCACCAAAATGTATAATACTTAATATTTCAATTATCATAATAATATATCATTCAATTATAAATTATGTATTACATAATGGGCACTTTTTATTTTATTATAGCCAGTCTCTTATGCATTTTTCATGAAAAATATGAGTATTATGACATTTTAGTTAAATAATTGGTATTTCGCTCTGATTAATTTATTCTAAACAAATTGTGCATTCAAAAGATTTATTTTACAATTCCACATTATATATAAAATAATTTCTAACATTTGTCAAAGACAATAATTCTAAAGAATTAGGATTTTTTTTTTAATTAAATTTTCTGTAATCTATTGATAACTATTATACTGATATTTCTATTGATTATTGGTCAATCTAATTAAATTATTAATCTTATAAAACTTATGATTAATTTTAAAAAAAAAGTTTAAAACTGAAATCTTTCCAAAATGGTTCAAGACTAAACTTAAATATCATAAGAGCAAGAAATATGAACTAAAATAGTTGGCAATCAAACTAAATAAAATCTTCATAAAAAAAAATTGCATATCTAGAGGTGATTATATTTCTTTCATATATTAAGGATCCAACTAATGTAAAAAGAACACATATTATTAAGAAAAGTGAAAACATTTTATTTTAAAAATTATTAATTCTAAACAAAGAATTAATAAATTTACTATGATCATCATAGCATATATTAGGTATCTTATTTTCTTATCTATTTTTTAAATTATAATAAATTGAATTAATTTATTAAAGTAGCAACAGCTGGAAAAATACAAAGAATAAATGATAAAATATATTTGAGGCAATTAAAGTTAAAGAAGTTGAATTTGGTGTAGAGCTTATCATTACAAATAAAATTATCGATTTACTTAAATTAAAAATAATAGTTATTAAACAAAGTCTCCTAGCTTTTACTATTGTTTTTTTAGGAGCTAATCTATTATTATATAAATACTTCTACTAATACTGCTTGAATAATAAGTAAAAGAAGAGCATTTATTGTAAGATAAGATTAAAAAAAACACTAATTTATAAATTTCAAAGATAATAAAAGCAAAGGCAAGAATCAAACTCAATATACATATGACAATCATCATAGGTTAATCCGATATTAGTATTATTAGGTAATTTATACTTTTACTTAAATCAAAGCTTAAATTGTTTTATTTTTTATGGTATTCTTCAATTTATAGATTTAAAATATTTTAGATTATAAGTAGAATAACAACAGAATTATAGATATTTAACAATCTGATTATTTTGAGTTTTTCTTGATTTGTAAAGAAATAAAAGAATTTGATAGTAGATTCATAGATTCCCTAATTTAATTCATACTCTTAAGTATTATTGTGAAATCTTTATTTCACATCAAAAATTAATTTGTGTTAATATAATGTGCATCCAAATATAGTAAGTAGCAAAACAATTAAAAAAGTGAAGAGATGATTGAATTCATAAGATTGAGGTTTTCTCAACAAAAAAATTGCTGTCATAAAGAAGGCCGCTAATTAAATTAACATTAAGACATAGTGGCTAAACAATAAAAATCTAAACTTTATGAAAGGTTATTATTTTAATTGACATTAGCTTCTTTGATAACTTATATATTATAATGTTACTTGTTATATCTGTTCCTTGAATCTCTTTTCATTAGTAATGATTAAGGAAAACAGAATGAATTATTTAATATATTTAAATAGTTTGAATATGAATGACTCATAATTCGTATTATTTTTATTAAATTTATTATAATGCATCACAAACATAATTTCTAATAAATGCGTATATTTATTTTAATTAATGTTTCATCACCATTAAAAACTGAATTTTAATAAAGGTTAAAAGAACTTTTGAAGTCATAAGATTTCCAATTCTATCTATCTCAGAGATTATTAACATGAGGATAAAAATTTATTTCATTGTTTCATTTATTATTTAAAGTAATATTAAATAGTGGCTGCTGCTTTTGATTCCTAAAAAAAATTTAGATAATTTAATTATTATTTATCAACTTTTTGGATTTATAGATTTGATTGAAATTTCATTCTAAAAAATAATTAAATAGCTTGTTAATTTGTTAAATTTTCTATAACTTAAATAGAATTTAGTAAATTTTTTCTAAAAATCCACTAAATTCAAATCGTTGCCTAATACAAAGATAATGATTATAAATTAAATCAAAATTAAATAACTTTAACTTTTAAGATGTTATGTTCAGAATATTTTATTTTTATAAAATTTAATAAAAATATAACAAAAAAATAATAAAATAGCTTATGATAGACTTTAGAATAAACATTTTATATTCTAAAAAACTTTTTTTTAAATAATGTTTGTTACATGAAATAATATAATTGAATCAATTAATTTAAATCTTTATTGAATTCCACAATTCTTTAATATCTAATAAACATTAAACTCTCATTTAATATCCATCCTTTTTTTAATCCTCTTCATTCTTTATTAAAATATCTAAACATTCCTTTTAAAAATCTTTATCTAATGTTTTGAGAGCAAATTTATTTAAAGTATTAACAGAAAATAATAGATCCTTGATTAAAACTTCTAAAAAAGTTTTAGATGTTTGTAATTCAGCTTTCAAGAGATCATTTTTATCAACATCAGCTTAAATTTGATTCGTGATATCAATATATTTTTGGATTTCCTATTTTAATTTATCAAAGATATCTTAAATCTATTTTCTCTCTTCAATAACCTTTTTGGTCATTGTTAAATCAAGAAATTCACTTTTGCAAATTTTCTCTTCAACTAAAACTTAAAATTGTTAGTATGACTCTTACCATTATTTTTTAATTAATTCCTTTGTTTCAGTACTCAAGAAAGCTAAATTATTAAATTTTAACCAATAAGGATTTTTAAGTCTAGGAATAATATTCACAAAAGGACTTGCTTGATAATCACCTTTACCATTAAACAGCAAAACTTATAGAGCTTATGGATCTTCAAAATCAGAAAATGTAAATAAGAACATAAAATGTTCTCCCATATCATTACCAAAAATTTCAATTAAACTATTCATAATATAAATTTAATCAAGAGTTAATCGATTTTGAGATGATCTCATTACAAAGCAAATAAGACTTAAGGAATCTAAATTATTTAAAAAATCAGTTATTCTTTATGATATTATTTAATCAAATTATTATCCTCTTGTGTCTCCAAATCCTGGAGTATCTATAATTCTTAAATTTGGTTTTTCATAAGATCCTTTCAAATAATAACTTATCACTTCAGAAGTTTTGCTTACAGCTTCTGATTTTGAGAAAATAGATTCATCTGTTTCATCAACTAAGAAAAACCTAAATGGAAATTCAAATTCAACTCCATTGTAATAATTACAAAGAAAATTTATAATAGTTGATTTACCAACTCCGGTTTCGCCAATAATCATAATTGTTTTCATCTCTTTAAGATTATTCAAATCTTCTTTTTGATATTTAGGATATTTTATAATTTTTAAAGTTGTATCTTTACCTTAAATTTCTTTTAACTTAACACAATCCTAAACTAAAGATTCCAGATTTTATTTTATTGTTTCTTTTTTAATTTTTTAAATTTCATCGTTATTTTTGATATTCTTTTATAACTAAAACTTATACTCTTGATTTTTTAAATTATTCAATTTTTAAAAGCTTGGCGGTTAGAAATTATTTATATTCGGCTAATTTTAGAACATTAGAGAAGAATTTTAGGAATTTTGTAAAGAAGGATTTTGTTTTTAAAAAGATTATATTTGAAAATTTTATTGATTATAATGAGTATAGAATTTCGTTATTGAAGATTTTTATATTCCCTCTATATTTTTGGGCATTTATTTATCTATTTATAAGGGCATTTTTATCATGGAATTCTAAAATGTCTTAAACTGATTTTTATTTTCTGGTTAAAAGCTCGAAGGAAAATTAATAATAAAATTCGATAGAGGCTAAGTTCTTTTTATATCTAATTTAAAAAAAGGACTATAAGATTGATTTTCTGGTTTTTTTTTCCATTCCAGCAATTTTTCATTATTTATTTGAAAATAATTTGCTTCTTCTTTTGTAACAAATGTTAAATCATAACGAGAACGGATTCCTTTTTATTAAAAATTCCATGCCACATTCAGAACCTGCGATTTTTTAACTTCAAGTTCATTTTACAATATATTTATTAAATCACCTACACAAGTATCCTAAACTAATTAATACTTCTAAATAATTTTTTATTTTTAATTCTCAAATTAAGTAATGTCCTCTATATGAAATTCGTTCATTATTTTTAAAAGCACTTAACAAGCATTTTTCTGATTAAGGGAGTAATAAACTTAGAGATATTTAAACAAAGCTATTTTATTTTATTCTTTCTAACTCAAAGTATGATTCTACTATGATTCTAATTCAAAAATTTTATTGGCCATCAAACCAAAATTTTGTTATTTAGAATAATCAATAATCGACTAATACTATTCTTTACTTTAGTTTACAATAATTTAAAGAGTTTAATCTATAGAAGCTGAATTCATATATTAAAATTTTAATATTTGAATTCTATTAAAACAGTAGTGTTCTTATCAGAAAAAATAGAATAAAACAGCAAATGTTTTATAGATCAAAGAATTATTAATTTAACCTGCAGTATTAATTCATTTAGAATTCTAACAATTTAAAAACTAGTTTTACTTCTTATTGATGGCTAAAAATAAAATACTAATCATATAATTTCTCAAATTTCTACACTTTTGAACATATAAAAACTCTCAGATTGTTTTGTTTTTTTAAATACATTTTTATGTAATCATCAGAAAAAATTGAGAGAAGAAGATTTTTTTGGAAATCTTATTTTTTCTCATATCTAAAGGAACTTTTATTTATATTCTTATGTATTCTAACTTATCAATTAAATAATATTAAGGAAAAGTCAATTAAATTTTTGGTTTATACATTAAGAACATAAAAATTTATAGTAGCTAAGAGAAAATAGATTAGATTAAATAATAAAAAATTAATTAATATAAGATAGATATATCTGATTTAAGTATACGTGTCACTTTTATCGTTTCTGACTTTTAAGCTAAAATTTAAATTATATATTTTTATTTATTTTTACAAATTTAAAGACTAATAAAGAGTGATAGAGGTTGTTGTTGTATTTAATCTAAATTTTCAACTCATTTGTTTTATTATACCATACATAAATATTAAAGATTAAAAAAGTTATTAATAAAAATAATGAAAACATTATTTCATATTCAATTTATGAGCTTAGACATTTCCAACTTGCCCTCTTAAATTTTTTGATTCGAATTCTTATTCTTTAGTAATTTAATTAAAGTGCGAATTTCTATTTAATTTGGTTCTTTATCAGATACCCTCAGTACATGGGATATATTTTTTCAGCTACAGAAATATTATACAACAATACTTGGAAATTTATTTTCACCAAAGACAAGTAATAAATAATTAGCTGTATATGAAGTTCGAATATATTTGCATTAAATTGGTTTAATATGTTGAACTCATTAATAAATATTTTTTGTTACTATTTCTATTTTAAGTCTTACTGCATCATAAGTTTGACTAAAATCAACAATTCTAATTAAATCAGCTGTTGTAACAGGTTTGATTTTTAAAATTAATTGTGTGATGCCCTTGAGAATTTAGTTCAATTTTGTAATGATAAATTTATTTTTTTAACTTAAATTTTCTAATATTTTTCAAATATAAATATCCTTTCTAATTTCTAATCCAAAATAATTTTGAAGTCTTTTGTTAAATGTTTAAAATTAATAGATTTGTCTTATAAAATTAATTTTTTAGAATCATTTATTCCTGAGTATATAAATAGACCATATAGATTAAAAAGATCTAGTGGCTTAGCATTAGTTCTTGATCCTACATAAAAACCTCATTTGGCTTTATTTAGATTATTAGCCTTGATTTTTTCTTCAATTTTATTTTAAATAGGAATTTATTATATATAAACAGTAAGAAATAATATAATAATTTTAATAATTAATTTAAATTTACAGATTTGACTATCATAAGTAGGAACTCAAATATGATTCAATAATTGTCTATGCTCTTTTGATGGTATTTTTATTTTCTAAGGTTTCTTCAGCAACAGCAGAGAGATTTAATGTATTTAAATCGACCTAGATTAATACTGAATTTTTGTTCTTTACAAGAAGTTTATTTTCAATAATTTCAGTTTAAAATTCAGTCTTTTAAAGAACTTATATTAATCCTTTTTGCTTATCTATTTTATCATATGACTTTATATGTACCTTTTAATAATTCTTCATCATTAAGTTTATTTTAATTAACATTACTTAAAAAAAATGCTAATGAATCAGCTAAATCATCAGTTTTAGGAGAAGATATCCATTTAAATTACAACAATACACTTGAAACAGGAACTCTGATCTCCAAATCTTTTACAACAATTAAACTATCATCTGGATGAAATTGAGCTTCTGGATTTAATTCTTGTACATAATTAAAGACTTATTCAAGTGAACATTATAAAGGAATGTACATTTAGTTATAAATTTAATTTTATTCAATTCCATATTGTTATAAAGTATCTTTATCAGTTTCATCAACTAACATAAATCCATGTTCAGTATTTAATAAAACTCCATTAAAATAAAGATCATTAGTACAACAAGCACAATCAGTCATTGATTCAATAATTTCTTCATCAATTTTATGTTAATTATGTTTTTCTTAAAATGTAATAATAAAATTTTCTATTTAATTTCCTAATTCTCCAATAGCTTTACATCCAGCCTAAGAAACTGAGCTTCTTTAAAAACTAAGTTCCACTTATTTCTAATTTTCTGGTGCCCAAACTTTATCCACAATATCTTTAAAATTAATTTCAATTTTTTTTTATAAATCTCTACATTTATGTTAAGTTCCATGTACTAAAATGACATGTTATGGTCTTAAGGAATCAATAAAAGATGAAGTTTAGAGATAATCAGCATGTGCAGAGAAACTTATTTATGCAGGTCTAATTTTGATATCAGGTTCTGGATTATGAATTAATTAATGAGCAATTGTTCCTTATACAGCTGGACCTGTTATTATTACTTAATTTTTCTCATCCTTACACCAATATTCATAAATTTATTTTGAATGTCCTGATTATAACAATCCTGGACTTGCCATTACTACTTTTGGTTTTTGATTATTTAAAATATCTTACAAATGTTTTTTTGTATTAATATGATTAAATTTGAATAGATTTTCACCTTTATGATATTTATTTCCTAATTTATTGAAATGCTTTTAAAAAATATGCGTGCATTTGATAGCCAGTGTACAAGTACTGTATATAGGAAACTATTAAACTTAAGGATTTTTAGACCAATATTCATCTAAAATGATTAGCAATTCATGACATCTTCCAGTTGCAAAAACAGGTAGTAAAACATTTCCACCACCATTAAGGGTTGAAACAATCTCTCTTAAGAAATTTTCTTCTCTTTTAGTTCTAGTTTCATGTTAAGTGTCTCCATAAGTGGCTTCAACTATCAAAACATGAATTTTTTCATGAGGTAATTATGCTGGTCTTAGATGCCTTATTTCTTTTTTATATAAATTACCTTTCTTTTTCCGTACTATAATCTCCAGTATAGAGAACTCTTACACCATCAATCTCAACCATAAACATTGCAGCACCTAACACATGTCCAGCATTATAACATTTTAATTTAATTCCTTAATAATATATTTCCTAATCATAATCTATACAATCTATATTTTTTAATGATTATTCTATGCTTTATTCATTTATTAAATCTTAACTGAAATCTTCACTTTTTACTTTTATTGAATCTTTCAATACTAAACCATAAATCTCTTTTGTTGGAGTAGTCATATATATTTTTCCCTTAAATTTATAATTCTTTAGAAAATAAGGAAGAGCACCACAATGATCCAAATGAAAGTGTGTTATTAGTATTAAGTCTATGTCTTCTATTTTATCTATTTTATTAAAATATGGCAATGCCATTACACCTTTGTTTTCCTTATTCATATGAATCCCACAATCAAACTATATAATTAATTACTTATACCATTATTTATTTTTCACAGTATTACAACAAAATACATGATCGTCCAACTTCATTACCTGCACCTAAAGGGGTAATTATTAATTTAGAATTATCTTAATTCATTAAATTTAATATCACTTATACATTAAAATTAATTAATATACCAAATCAAATATTTTAATTCTGGTTTTAGAGTGAAATTTTTTATTTCTTATTTTCTTAAGCTTTTCATTATAAATTAATTTCTATCTTGAGATTTAGATTTAATTCAAAATATTGGATCAAGTTATAAAAGAATGTATTAACTTTTTAAAAAAAAATTTAATCTATAAAAAGCGATTATAATTTCTATTGTTGTGTCAAATAACAAATATACTCTAAGAAATAAGTCCATAAAATTATAATTAAAATTCTTTTTTTTTAGTAATAAAAAAAATGTATTTATACTAATACCAAATGAAAGGTACCATTTTTTTTATTTAATGCATTCTTATTATAAATCTTCTGATAATAATGAATCAAAATTTCTCTCGAGGCACATACATTTTTGTAAGAAAAGAATTATTTTATACTGAATTAAAACTCTTTTTTGGATCGCTAACTATAATTTTAGTTCCTATTTCTTTCTACAAACTTCAAAATAAATATCAAAATCCTTTCAATTTTGCGAATGGAAGAACTTTATAATCACAATCTAAATTTAGCTACATTTTAAATTTGAGAATAAGAATACATTCCTTCAAATTAGTAACTTATACCATTAAGACAAAAAGTAAGAAAAAGTTATCACAATTCTAGCATTGAATTTATTATTTGATTATGCCAAGACTCAAGAATTGAAAATATTTTTTGTATTTATATAAAAAAAGAATATTAGAAAAATCAGAGCCATATGAATTAATCTTTCCAATCTTTCTTCTTTAGTCTTACGCAATTTGGTTTTATTTTGAAATCTTCCACTATTGTTTTACTAAGACAGGATTGAATGATTTTTAAAGGTGAATTTTATGTTTAAACTTCGTCCTCTTCATCCCATTCATCCCCTTGTGTATTTGTTGTTACTTTGGCTAAATTTGATAATGGGGTTGTGAAATAAGTTTTTGGATGATTCATGTTATAATTAAATATGATTTGATTATAATTGGATATGTTAAATATTAGAATAAACAATATTTTTTTTATAACAGGAATTAAGAAATTAAGAATGTTTGTAATGAAATATGTCATGAGGAAGAAAAATAATTTAGAAATATACAAAATACTAAATAAATTTTAGATTATTTTGTTTTTCTAAAGCTTGAGCTCTTATAATCAAATGTTTACTTAAATAGGCAACAATAGAAAAAATTAAAATTTTCAATACCTTTTAAAAATGTTAAATTTTTAACTTTAAATTGTTTCCTTTTGAATAGAAAATGAATATTTATTCAACTTTCAATTAATTCTAAAAGCTTATATTTATAAAATTTACAATTTTTTTATTGATCTATTTTAAAAACATATTTAATGAAGTTTTTTATTTTTGAAAATTTTTTAAGTTTATTCTTTAAGAAAATAAACTTTCTTAATTTAATCATTTCTATCACATTTATCATTTAAAAATGATACCTTTTCTATAAAATACGTATTTGACTCATTTAGAATGATAGTACATTTAATATTGGTAAAGTTTCTATTTATGTATTAGTTTTTATGAATATAATTTGTTATTAAATACATTTAAGACAAATATATATAATAATAATTTCATTATTCTTCCCATAAGCTATTCAATAGCTTTGCTTATTCAACAGAACTTGAATATTTACGGCAATCTTTTTGAAATTATGTCTTCTAGTGGACAGAACGATATATTTGTCTTTATGATTTAATTGTATCTTCCATTTTTTTAGTTGCTTTTAATTATCTTCTAAGCTGCATCATTTCCTCCATGCTTTTGGTAATCTTAAATCTTCCAACAATATCATCACTCATTTAATGTTAAATTTAATTCATTAGTTCATCTAATTCTTATTATATGTTTGCGATTATTTAATCCTTTATTTTAATTTATTTTTCGAGTTAACTGATTTTTTTTTTAAATTAAATCTTATCAAAATGGATTAAACCATCATCATTAGTATTATAATCCTCTGTTTTTTATTAAATTACAAGTTTTGGATCAACTTAAGGACTTGTTGCATTATCAAGAACTTTAAATTTACTTACTTTATGAGATTTTGTACGAGAATTACATTAATTATCTTCTCCTAAGAAATTCAAGGCATCATCATATGCACTTTTTATCATAATTTTCCTTTATAAGGCTTCATTCACTAAAATTTAACCTTCATCTCTAAATTAATGTAAATAAATAGATTTAAAATCTTTTCTAGATAGAACATAAAACTCACTAGGCTTAGTTGTCATAATTGTATATTTTCTTTTTTCACCATAAAATAAGATATCCAACTCTCCAAAATAAGAGCCAGGTTTAATCATCATGAATTTAAAATTCTATTGATCAGGTAAGACAATAGCTAATTTACCACTCTTTACGAAATAAATTTCTTCTGCAAGATCTCCTGTGCAATAAACAAATTCATTTGCTTCTAATTTGATTGGTTTAAGCAAGGGTCCAATAGATGAGATAAATTATTGAGATTTATCATAAAAATATCCAATTTCTTATTTGAGATGTTTATTCATAATATAACTTAATTCAATTTTTAAAATAGGTGGTAATTCTTCTAATAAGATGTGGTATTATAATGAGAAATCTCTTTTACCGTATTTAAGTTCTCTTTTAATTTTTAAAAACATTTTTTTAGAGATTTTAAATTCTTATTTGATATTTTTAAGTGTGGCTAATCGATTAAGGTATACTTAATTATTTTAATCTTATCTATCTAAAAATGATGCAAGAGATCCAACAGCAAAAGAAAACACATAAACAGAAGAGAGCATCCAAATAATTGCAAAAATTCTAGTAGACCAAGAATAGAATTTAATATCTCCATAGCCAACTGTTAAAACAGTTTATACTGCCCAGTACATTGAAATGATATATTGATCAAAAGTATGAGATTCAAAGTATATCCAATCTTCTTCTTCAGATAATGTTGCTACAAAAAACCAAATGCATCCTACAACATGACATGAGAAAATGAGTAATAGAAATGCTAGAATGAATCTTTCATTGCCAATGCTGATATTGATTACTTTAACATATTATATTTCTTTTAATCTGAGCATTCTTGCCAATTTTATCATTTTGGCTATTCTGTAAATTTTTGGAACTTTGGACATACGTGCTATACTGTTGTATCTCTAAGAGGTATCATTCATAATTAAGTAAAACGGAATTGATGACTGTGTTTTAAGTGACGCATTACCATTAAGTCAATAAGGAACCATCCTTTGATGTAGTTAAGAATGATTGCTTTTCTTTCAGTGATTAAATTGCCTTCATCATCATATGTGGCACACAGGAATGTAATTACGATGTCTGTCATAAAAATGAAATCTATTGTATTGTCTAAGTAATCCCAGATGAGATATTCACCATCATATACGAAACCAATCTTAAAAGGTGTGAATATTGAGACATAACTAAATATAGTTTAATTCAATTTACATAAGGATTAAAAACAAAGCCATATCCCAACATTATTTATACTTATTATTAGGCATAATTATAAGCTACAATTCATTTATAGGTTTTTATGCCACTTTATCTTCGGTGAGTCTTGGCAATCTTTTCAATTTCCTTTTGTTCCTCAGATTGTTTTAAGGTACTCCACTAGCTGAATGAGTATTTTATTGAGTATTTTATTCTGCATTTTCATTGTTTAAATCTTATTATTGTTGATGATCAGCCTATTAATCAGATAGTGAGAGCTCTTTAATAGATCCTAGATTGCTTTATATGCTATGTTTTCTATCTAGAACTCTTTCAAAGCAGGAATTGATTGGCTAAGACATAAATTAAGCAGCAAAATCGTCTTCTTTATTAGTTTCGAGAGCCTCTAATGCTTCATGAGAATAACTTTAACTTGAACATCTAGATTGATATATAATTGTATTTAATACCTAAAAATCTGTTTTTTAGTAATTTTGTTCTGTTAAGAGATATTGCGAGTGGAGTGGTTAAACTTTGTTTTGAATAAAGTCTTTTATTCAATTTAATTATCCATTTATTTAATGATGATAACGACAGCACCCTAAAATATTACTAGTTCAATATAAGATAAATTAATGGAGGAACGCAAGAGATGTATGTAATTTGAATTGGATTTTTAGTGATAACATCATTTGAGTAAAAATTTTTAGGAGAAGAATAAGCAAGGTAAGCTTAATATGCTGATCAAGCAACTTATAATGGTTAAATGAATGAGAAATAAAATAAATAAGGAGTAGGAAAATACTTATTTCCTAATGGAGATGTGTAATAAAACTAATGATTGTTTTTAGGTATATAGGATAGTGGTCTAACGATCTTTTCAACGGAGAAGGCGTTTATCTTTTTAATAATGGGGAGAGATATGAAGGTCATTTGTTGAATGGTAAAAAGCATGGAGTAGGAATCTATTATTATGCAAATGGTAATATATATAATGGAGAATGGATTAACGATTTGAAACATGGAAAAGGAAAATATTAATATTATTTATAAGGAGAAACATATGATGGTGAATGGTAATATGGAGAGAGACATGGAAGAGGAGTTTATATCTATTCATTAGGAGATAGATATGATGGTCTTTGGGAAAGAGGACTTAAATGGGGTAGAGGAATAGTAGAATTTGCATCTGGAGCAAGATATGAGGGTTAATTTAGTAGTGATAAAGCTACAGGATAAGGAACTATGATATATGTGAATAATGATAAATATGAAGGATAATGGAATGATGGATTAAAACATGGGTATGGAATTTATACTATGGCTGATGGATCTAGATATGAAGGAAATTGGATGAATGATGAAAGAGAAGGATAAGGACTATTTCTATATGCATCAGGAGATAAATATGAAGGCATCTATGGTAAAAATGTTAAAAATGGATTTGGTATATATATTGCTTCTAATGGTGATCGATATGAAGGAGAATGGGCTAATGATAAAAGATAAGGAAATGGTACTCTCTATATGGCGAATGGAGATAAATATATTGGAGAATGGAAAGATGGAGAAAAGTCTGGAAAAGGAATTTATTATTTTGCTCATGGAGATACTTATGATGGTTATTTCTTATTATATTTTTAGGCTATTGGCTTGGTGGTATGAGGCATGGTTATGGTAAATATTCTTGGAGCATTGGAGATTATTATGAAGGAGAATGGAAATTTGATAAAATGAATGGTAAAGGGAAGTTTAAAGGAGCTGATGGTTCAGAATATATTGGTGAATTTTCAAATGACAATAAAGTTAATTGATTTGTCTTATATATTGCTATTTTCATTATTATTATTATTAAATTATTTAGTGCAATTCATCTATTGTTTAATCTTTTAAATTCATTATTTATTAAACTTCTATCTATTTCTATATTCTCTACTATTCAACAATTAACTCTATCTCTTAAATTGTTAATAAATTCTACTGTATAATTTATTGTTGATTATAAATTTATTACCTCTATTCTTCAATTATTTAGTATTGATATTCTAATTTCTATTTCCAATCATCGCACTTTACACTTAATTAACTTTTCTGAACCAATAAGTCTTCAATAAAACCTTTATATTTTTTAACCACGCATTTTAAATTATGTTTTTATTCTATCAGACATTATTCTAATTGAGATTTCCTAATGATATATTTTAACAATCTACATCTCCAATTTCAATTAAAAAACTACTTTCTTCAATTCATGATTTTCATGTTTATAATAATCAACATTATCACAATAATATTTTAATTCATCATTTGTGCTCAAATTGCTCATATTCTAAGATGTAAAATACTTGTTTTCTTTATCTGTTGTTTAGATTTCTTTTTGTTAAATTTGTTAAGATAGGAATTTTTTTTGTCTGGAGTGTGAGTAGTATTTATAAACATTTTTTTAAATTTATATGTCTGTAATAAAAATTAGTATTTAATCAATGATAAAACTTAGACATGATTTAATCAGATTTATTTTCATTGAAGCTTGGCCTGTATTGTGATTAACTTGGCTAGAAGGTTGGTCTAAATTTGTCATCATAAATGGATTGCATTAATTTAGATTCTTTTGGTTAGAATTATTTTTATGAAGTTGAATTAAATTATTTATTTAGAGGTTCATGAGGATTTCTCTTATTTTCTCTAATTTTTTAAGTATAAATATCTAATTCTTCTTTAAGATTAGCTTCTCTAATTTCAACATATTCATGAAAGGATTGAACAATTCTAGCTAATTTATCTTCAGAAATGACCAAATCAAAAGCATTGGAAAGATAATGTTTAAGGGCATTATCAACATCAAATGAAAGTTATTCAAAATCATGATTTTACTCTTCACTCATAACCATTAAACATCCTTTGATATATTTTGGTTATAACAACAATTTTTCTTATTAATCTAAATTATTGATGATAGAATTCAATTTATGATGAAGATCTTTCTTTTCTCCAGGATGAGATTACTAAGATAAGATTAAATATTAATTACTCTATGTAATTAGATACGCTATTTAACTTATTCTTCCAATTAATGACAGTAATCATGAACAGCAGCAAGAAGAGTTTATTTGACTTTTTATAATTTATTTTGTATCTATTTTACTGCTTCAGATTATTCACTATCACTAAAATGATGAAGAATATTTCTTTCTCTAAAAATAAAAATATATATTTTTACTCTTCAAATCTAAGTTTCAATTCATGTACATCTGTTAACAATAATTATCTTACATTATCAACTGTATCTAAATTAGCTTAAGTACCTTGTTGATTGTGCCAATGAACATGTAATTTGCAGCAATCTTTACAAAGTGGCTAGAATAATAAATTATATAGGATATATACCTCTTTACATTCAATCGATAAACAAAATAACACAATATCATTTTGTGGATGTTTTGGGCACTTTTCAAATTAAACTGGAGGAGCTTATTACATTTACATTAATAAAATTTATTGTTAGTACGTTTTGAATTTATAATTAATGAATATTAATCAATCCATAGATTAAATATAATGATATTATGTGTATTTAATATTTTCATTTTATACTATTAATGTTCGAAATAAATGGTATGGCTGCTAAGTTTTTTTGGCTATTTTTATTTATTTATTTAACTTCTTTATTTTATAAAACTGGTAATCTCTTTTGTCTAATATTAAGTAAATTCAGTACTGGGTTGTTCGAAAAGTTTTCTCATCTCCATTACTTTAAGTTAATTATTAGATGAGATTATCATATATCTACTTTGTTACTATTTTTGGACTTATCATTGACTAATTTATTGATTGTGGTTATTATCCAAAGTTGTCCAATTTGTTTTTCAATTCAACACTCAATTCCATTAATTTAGAAGCTTGAGTCTCTAAACTTATTATCTATTTATTATGTAATTCTTTATTTGTTCTAATTAGTCTCTTATTGTCATTAAGTAACATTTAATATTTCTATTCATACTATGTTTTCATATCTTCTATCTCTTATCTAAAAGACTATTCTTTCTCTTACGGTATTGGTGACTACCTAATATGAAATAATTATTCTTAAAGATTTTGATTATCTCTTCTCATCTATATTAGTTCAAATTATAGGATTTCTATACTCTCTTCTAATGATTAAATATAATTTATTTGAACTGCTGCTTTCTCTAATTATCGTTTAAGACCATAGACTAATAAAGATAATCTCTAATTATCATCTGTTAATTTTGAGTTCAAATCAATCAGATTGTCTTTTACTATATGATTCATAATAATTATTATTCAATTCAATCATTTTTTAAACTGATTTCATATAACCTTTTGACTAGATCTTTTCTTAAGAGAGAATAACAAGATTTAAAGCTTAAATATAATTACTGAAGAAATTCAATTAACAGATTCACTTTCTAACTGATAGCTTATCGAAGACCATAATAATAATAATTAATTTTCGGGATTAAAATTTTTAATTCTTCTTTTAGTTATTAATTATTTTAATTATTCGGTATTTGTCTATTTAGGTATAAAAAGACCCACCCTAGGAAGAATAACATTTTTTTTAAAATTATTAATTTATGAATGTATATGATTTTAATTTACAAATCAAAGTTATGCTTTTTTAAGAATGTACACCATATATATTTATTATCTATCCTTTAATTATTACAATAATCTTTCATTTGGTTTTAGGCTATCAATAAACATTTTTGCAACTATTATATAATTAAAAATTTATACAAATGTTCCCATTTTGTCTGACTCTTTATTTAATGTTTTTAATTTGTAATTTCATTGCTTATGTAATTCCAACAGTAAAATCATTTTTCTCTGCAATTACTAATCCATTAACTAAGATTTCCTCTTAAAGTTTTTACATTTCCTCTTAGGTATCATAATCTCCAATAATAAAATATCCATCATCCTTAAGAAGAGTACTTGCAATTTTGATATAACTAAAAATCATGATATTAAAGTTACCTTTTGAAATCTATATTTCTAAAAGCTTCTTTTTTCTTTAATTCTAGACCCAAAATAATATCAAATGTATTAGGAGCACATAGAGCTCCAATTTCAAGTGGATCTTTAACTTCAAAATTCAAATTATTTTATTCATTATATAACTTTCCATTTTGTTCAATTTATTTTTAAGAAGAATCAATACCTAAACATCTTTAAGGTTCATATGCTGAGGCAATATATTATAAACCTACTGCATCTCCACATTCCAATTCTAAAATCTATTAATTTTTAAAATTTTTAATCTTCCAAAATTAAGTTATTGCATATTGATGCAATTAAATTCTGTATCTGTCAATCTCTTATTCTTGACTCAAATTCTAAATAGTTTTTCCTGATTCATTCAAAATTGCATATCCAATAATTTGAATCTTATTTCTAAAAATTATAAATCTTTAAATTACTTTGGAATCGAAAAACATTTTTCATAACAACTATCAATAGCTTAATCTATTTTCAAATATGTATAGATTGGATAAAATCTTTATATTATCGGTAAAATGTAATTACTGTAAACTGAAACTATAAATTACTATTAAAATTAAAGAAAATAATATTACCACAAAAATATTTTTCTATAATTTAAGTAAGGCTTCATTCAAAACTACATAAGCTATGTTTTTAAAATCACAAATCTAAAAATTATTATTTTATAAATACAATAACCCAAACAGATTTGAGTTTTCCTAAAGTTTAATTAAAAAATTCAAAACTGAGTAAAAATGTTTTTATTTTATTGAAACAATTGAGTACCTAATCTTTCATTTTTTATAGAGGAAGCATTAGAAAGGCAAGAACTTCATTAATCTTTCTATGAAAATTATATTTACTTTTGTTTTGATAGTATTGTAAGTTGGAACAATGTAGTCTTTTAAAGTACTTTAGACTATTGAATTAGCATCTTAATAAAGTTCACTAAGATGTTGTTTAATCTAAGAATAAAATATTATATTACTTAAACTTTATAGACTTTATAGACAATGAGTGTCACAGGTATAGTGATTGGTAAAAAGAGCATATACAATAATGTTAACAATGGTGAGGATATTAAAGCAACTAAACCAACTAATAGATGGTTTTTAGAGTATTTTTGTTTTTGATTCGTACTAGTTTCCATTAATAATTAAATTATTTTATCAAAATTAGAATATAAATTGAAATTCATGCCGTAATTATATAATTATTGCATATTATTTTTTCAATTTATTTTTAATACGTAAATTTATGTAATGATCTACTTTTTATGGTTTTTTAAAGTGATTAGACAATTTTGATTCATATTATGTAGTAATATAATCATCATTATTTAATTATACATATTCATCCATATAGTTAGAATTAGATTAATTTTAATAATATAATAAACTAATAATTCATTATTTAACAACATCTCCTGTTTAACAATCGCTCTCAAATGTGTATTATAATCCTTAAGATGCATTATTTCCTTGATTTATTTTTTATGCATAACTCATAGTAGTATTGGATAAATAATTGTCTTATTGTTGTTTATTATCATCTTTTTAGATAATTTAAGATTAGGATTATGATTTTTTCATTTCTCTACCAGAAGTTTAACAATTTCGATTTGGTTAGGGACTAGATTTTTCATTTTTTAATCTTTTTGATCTACTAGTAAGGTAAATTTTAACATTCTAAAAATAAATTTAAAGTTCTTCAATTTCCTTTTTAGTTGGTTAATACCATTTAGGTTCATTGATATTACATTTTTAAAAGAAAACGCATAATTATGCAAATTTTTTGACTAGAGGTGTAAGTTTAATGTATTCATTAAACAATTCATAAACTTGGATTGATTATTATTAGTCCATTTATTGATAACAATCCAAGAATTATTGAACAAACCTATGAACTAGAATATTTTATAGAATTACCTTTCTAACATTAAATAGAGTCCAATAACATCATTCCATAATAGTAAATAAATTTCCATAACTACAATTCTATTATGAGTAGAAAAGACCTGTGCGTAAAACTTATTTCAAAAATATTTTTATACATCATGTTATCCTAAAATGAGATTTAATGCATTAATGATTTTATAAAATTACATTAGATTGGATTCAATATCTTTAACTATGGATAATGATAATTGAAATAGATTTACATATCATATTGACATTGTTCTTTAATTTACTCTTCGATATAATTTCACTAATCAACGCTAATTTTTGAATGATCATAGTTTAAACAGATGAGAACTTTGTAAAAACATCTTTTTGTTCTGTATGTTACCATCCCATCCATCCAAGGAATTATTATACAAATAATCTACCATGTTTGATATCACCCATTAAGACATGTATTGTTAATAATACTTTTAATTTTTTAGGAGTTTCTAATTATTATGGAATTAGTCGTAAAAATTCTTTAAATATTTAAACAATCGTCATGCTCTAAACTAATTAATCCTCTTCTTCTTTTGAGGGATAACCTTTTTTGAATCAGTAATATTTACCTTATAACATTTTCTTAATATCTTCTAAATCAACTGTTTCAGAATTATCATAAATGGTACTTTCAAAGAGATTCTTTTCGAAACGAGTCTGTCTCTTAAACATATTCTTGAGAAACATTTATATTTTAATATTATGAAAATAATATTTTATAATTAGTTCAATCTAATCAAAGTTTATAGATGTACATTCATTCTTGAAATTGTATATTAAAATAAATCATTCTTCAAAAATTTATTATTGTAATAATTATGTCTTTAATTACTAAGCAAGATCTTCAATTTTTTATCGTAATAATTCAATCTATTTATTACGATCATCTTCATCTTCAGATCTGATCGGAAACCAACTGACACTTTCGGATTAAACTTTGTCCATAATCCAATACTCTAATCCAGTATATTCTGTAGAATCCTTATTCTAAAGACAATAGATATAAAAAACGTAATTCCATAAGAAATGTTTACTCTTTATGTGTTCTTCAAAATCTTCTTGTTGTTTTTCTAGAGTTTATCTATCAATTCCACAAATAAAGCATTTATTCTTTTTATCATCTTCAATTTAAGTTCTTTAATCTCTCAATTATGCAAATGTATCTGTCATTATACCTGATATGATATTTGTAAATAATAGAGCAAAAAAGACAAAATACACTGTGTCATAAATGAATTTCAAAGGATCCCATTATGACATAGAACTTCCAATTACTCCAGAAGTCATCAAAGTAATCATACAACTTATTAGACTATGACATGGATCTTCTACTTATTCTGGATAGATGTCATCAACATAATTATTGAATCCAACTATACTAAATACAAATTAAAATAACACTCCTAACAAAGCAACTAAAGATAGTTATTTTGCATTATGAGATATTGCTTAAAATACACTTTATAATAATGATAATTGTCCAAATAAATAGAACAAATGTAATGAAAAGTAATATTTATTTGAAATTAATCCTAAAAATGCAATTGCAGTAAATGATATATGAGATAGGAAATCTTCTCCTTTAAAAACTATTATAAAATTAGATATCTTTTAAATAATATAAGAATGGATTTTAGTCAAAGAGAATTATTCTTATTTAAGTTTGTTAAATTCTAATGAAGCTCTACTTATTATGTAAAATGTGCAGGCACATAAACTAAAACTGAATTATAATAATGAAAGTATAAATAATGTAGCTTCTTCATAATCATCTGTTACTAATGTAGATTATTTATCTTTAATCAGTACTGCATATGCAAAAATCATAAATATATTTATGATCAATGATAGTAATTATGAAATATTTATTAATAATTAAATAGTTTTATGAGTTATTGGTATAATCCAATTTTATAAACTGAAATTGTAAGTGATTTCTCTAAAAATCATTTCCATTTCTTCTAGTAGAGATATCAATTTCTTTCTTTATGTATCTCTGGGTATTTTAAACATAATTTTATCTCTAGTTTCATCACTTAAAAATTAAAACACTGGATGAGAAGGAAAGAATACCATTTAATATTCATTTTCATAAAAAATTTCAATTTTCCTTAAATTATTCAAACACATAGTTTAAATATCCTTCAAAGTTGAGTTACTTTCAAATTCTTATTTAAAATGTTTAACCCATTTTTGATCTTTACTTACATATTCTATTTTCTCTTTTATTATGAAAACATTGAGCATCTATTAAATTTCATCTGAGAATCTAACCTCTTTTTTAAAATCAAAGATCTTTTCAATTCCTACTTTTTACACTATTAATTTTATAAAATTAACCAAAAATCTAGAATCTAATTTTTATTATAATTCCTCATAATTCTTTTGATTATTTCCTTCTAAAACTAACATAATGGATTAAATAATTTTAGCTTATAATTCAAACAATTCATCTTATTCTTCTGAAGTATGAAGTTCCCTTTAAATTAATTGACTTTCATCTTTTGAAAATGTTTCAAATGTAAAACAAACATCTTCCATATAAGTTGATTTACATAAAGTTACTTAATTCTAAAAACAAGGTAATTATATAACTTCATTTATAAAATCTACTATTTATTGAGTTATTGATACTACATTCTTATTAAGTATTTTTAATAATATTCTTAATTCTTTAGTGGCAAACTCAATAAAATTAATACTATTAATATGCACTGACTCTTCTTTATCTGTTTGCTCTCTTAAATAGTTTTTCATTTATACATTATTATTTTCACACATTAATTATAACATTCTGAATGCTCTCCACATTACTTTAATTGATAATTATCTATTTTTAATTGTATTTTGACTCTCTATAGCAGATGGTAAAGTCCTTTTTAAAGTTTCAGTTTTCTCACTAAATTATGTTAAATTATCAACATAAACAATCGATAAAAATGGATTTTATTTATCTTTTTAATATTTAGTCTTTTGAATCTTAAAATTAGTATTTACAAATTTACTGAACTTAAGAATTGACTATTATAAATTGTTCATCATTTAATTAGATGAATCTTATTTCAATAATTAAAGCAAAGAATCTTAACATTTAGTATTACCTCCTAAAAGAAAGGCATTTGAAAATATCAATAATTAATTAAATAATTCCCATCTATCATCAAAATTTTCTTTAAACATTTCATAAATCAATTAAGCTGCACCACATCCAGCTAAAAAACATTAAATTTCTTATATTTATTATCTGGAATCACTCCAAAATTCTGGATCCCATTCATCTATTGCTAATTTCGCCTATTCATCTTTACTATTTATATTAGGATTCTTTTCACTTATCATTCTTGTCAATATTTTTAAAAAGTAACTTCTCAAATCATCATTTAATTAATATGTTATATTCATTTATATTAAATTTTTTAAAAACTCTTCTAAAGTTATTGCTGGATATTATGTTTAATATGCTGTTAATGAAAATTCATCAATTTTAGTAAATTCTTCACATAATGAATTGAATTCTTATTCAATAAATCCTTAAAACTCTTCATTCTCATTAAAAAGTTTGATTAATTTCATCAATCTAATATTCAATTCTGCATTATTATCAGGTTCTTCTATCGTTGATAATTTCTTCATTGATTTTAAATGAAACATTCTTTTTAATGTCTATTATAAATTTGATTAAATCTTTTCATCTTAAGATAATTTAGTTTCTGTAACTATTAATAGTCTATTAATTATCCCTTCCTACTCATTCTCTTCATTTTTATCATCCTATTTATCCTCTTTCTCTTATGTTTCTTCTTACTTTAAAGGTGTCAATGGTTCACTTACATTTCCATTAAATAACTTCTCCAATCTTAACAATATACCATTATCAAATGTCTTAAATACTACCTTCATAATATTTATCAAAACTTGGCATAAATGTGTTATATGACTTGATTTAAACCACATCTTCTATATTTATACTAAGTGACCTGCTATCTTAAATAACAATTAATGATATTTAAGATTATCCATATCTTTGCTTAATTAAGCTTCTAACTCTAATAAAAAATTATCATTTATAAATAGTAAATTAATTGAATACAATATTTCCTACATACATGCGAAAATGTAAGAAAACATGAACTAAAATCTTACACCATCAACAATTTATACTTGCTTTATATAATTACATCCTTTTAACAATAGAATTTAATCTAATTAATGTAGAATTATCTATTATTAATTTTAAACATACTTCTAAATCTTCTGAAATACATAAATGACTTATCAACTCCATCTAACTATTATAATAAAGACGATTGATATAACTTCTTAAAAAATGCTATAATGGCCAACAATTACTTTTATATGAATTTTTCAATAAAAATAATAATGAAGCAAAAGGATGCATTACTCTACATTTCTCTTAATTTATTACATTACTATATATATAAAAAATTTTACTGATCTTCTACTAATAAACTGAAAATTTCAAAATGAATAATCATATACTATAATTACGGTTGGATACGCATTAATTTACTTTCTTCCATCTTTTCATAATTAACACTGTATTCATCAATTAAATCATGAAAGCTTTCATTATCCCATGTTTTCGATTTTTGTAATGGAGTCTCAGGTTTACTGATTGGATCCATTTAAAATTCTGATTATAATTCATTCAAAACATAGATTAAATTCCTGTTTTATTTTTATTAAAGTAAAGCTAAAATTTATAATTAATTAAATTTGATTGTCTTATTATGATCATATAAGAAAACTCTTAATGAATCAAAAAGTTTAACTCTATACATACTTTCTGGTTTTTCTTTATTCATTTACTGAATGATTGATTTAATAGCTACAGATACTTCATTTTCATTGTAAAGCAATTCTTTATTATTATGATAAAGTTCTCTTACAAAATCAATACAACAAGAATTGTATTACAAATGAAAATATATTTATTTTAATGGCCATTTTATTTCAATTTTATTAGTTGCATGATTCCAAATAAAAAGTGTTAAAAATTTGTAACAAGAATTTAATAACCCTTATAAATATGGATTTATTTCATCTGCTCCAGATATATAAGTTACTAATGTTTAATGCATATCTAAAGCTTTAAATAAAGTTTAATTTGTCTTGTCATTCTCTTCACATTCATTAAAAGCCATTGAAATTTAATCTACCTGACTTGAAAATCTTTAAGATTTTAATGAAACACATAACTTATTAAGATCTTCAATAATTTCATCCACTTATATATTTGAAGTACTTTAATTCTCTTTTGTAATCGTGTAAACATTTTTATCACTTAATTATTCTAAGCGCTGTCTTATTTGAATACATTTACTAATCAATTCTTTAACATTTTTTTAACAATTTTTAGAAAGTAGTACTATTTATGAAAAATGCTTTATTAATTCTCTTCTCTATCCAAGCATTCGATTAAATAATTATAAGGCTGTTTCAACCATTTTTGGTTCCTACATTAATGAAATTTCAACAAATACTAACATTACATTGTTATTGAAATTTTTGAATAAATTTCTGTTACTGAGCAAATCTTATATGACTTGAATCCATTAAGGAATATTGTAAGATTCTTGTTCAGTTTTATCTTTTGAACCACTTAAACTTTTAGCAAAGTCTTTAAAGACAGAACTATTATTATCTAATAATTATTATTATTCTTCAGTTGGTTTAATAGAAAATCTATGAACAAAGCCAACCATGCCACTAATTAAACCTTTTTTTGGAGATGGATTATTTGCAGATTCATTTGTATATTCACTTTCTCTCTTACTTCTAAAGTAGGCAACCATTTCATTAATTCTAATATCATTTTCTAAATCTAGAATATTTAAAATTATATTCGAAGCTAACATCTTACATTCCATAATTGGTTTATTTTCTGATGATACTTTAGTCATTCTATGTTTAGCCTTTTTGATATTCTCTTCTCCTTTATATTATTCTAAATTTTAGAAATCTTTTTGACATGAACAAATTCTAAGTAAATCTTACAATAATTGCATCGTATCAATTTCCAAATTCATTGTAAGTAATGTTTTGATAATCATTAAAACTCTTTGCAATGTCTAATTATATTTTTGATCGTAAGTAAAATGAGTAAATTTAGCAATAAATTATTAGACATATTTAATTATATTGTTAAGATCAATAACATTTTATGAAGCAATGTGATGGTTTTATCCTCCAAAACTACTAATTCTTCTCATAGACATTCTTTTTTCTATTTAAATAGATTCATTGTCTTCCCAATCTATAACTTTACTAATCACAAGTGTTTGATATCCAGGAGTATCTACAAATGCAAGATGAATAACTTTTAGATATGATTCAAATGTATTTATAGATTAAGAATGATTATCTTCAACTAATGCTAATAAAATAGATATAGAAATATTTTCTTTAACAAAATCCTACGCTAATTTGTTTCTATTATAACATACATCTCCTAAAAGATTGAAATAACCTTAAAAATAATTCCAAGTTTGTAATCCATCTTATTCTTGACTTTCCTAATAGATTTAACGAATCCTTCTCCACATTGGTTTTAATTTATTAATTCTACAAAGAACTTCAACTTTATTTTTTGTATTCAATCTAAATTTAAAATTCAATAATTCATTACTTTGAAATACTAACTTTAAAATTAATATTTAATTCTTCAAAATAGCTCTTCCTTTACAAACACAAATACTACTTAAAATAGATAGATATTTTTCATTCGGATTTTATTTCATTTTTTCAAATACTTTTTGAATATGATCATCAGTTACAAACTTTTAAATAGATTCATAATTGTCCTCTAATAATTCTTTTAAACTATCTTATGCTCTTGCTTCATCATCCATAGCTTATTCTAAGAAATCTTTTAAATACTTTCCCATGTCTTATTTAAGCTATTTATTGTTTTATGTTAATTCTTTTATTAATTGATATGTTAATTTAAATATTTTCTTCATTTTTTTTTGTAAATTCTTTACATCAGTAGCATACAACTTCTTTTCATAAATTGGTACTAAAATTTTCATTGCCAAATCAATAATATATGTTTCTTTAATACATTATTAACGATTTGCTACTTCTAATTACAAAAATTAAATCAATTATTAAATTACTTCAACTACTTATGATAATTATTAAATATGAAGTAATTTCCAAATAATATCAACTTATTTATTCAATATCAAAACAAATTAAAATAACACTTCTTAAGCTGACAAAACAAACATTAAATTATTTTTAATGTTTCCTTTTACTTTTTTTATTTAAAAAGCATGTTAATGTTCTTTATCCTCAAATGATAACTACTTCTTTATAACAGTTGTCTCAACTTCATCATTTTCTTTAATACTATCATTCCATTAATCTTCAATTTCAACATTTTATAATATTTCTTTATCAACAGATAATTAAATAGAAGAATTTTCAATAATATCTTATTAACCTTATTTTGCAGTTAGAATTTCAACAGCTTAATTTGATTCTTAAATATAATCATGCAATTAGGGCAATTAATTTCTGGAAGTAAGTACTTTGCCAGAAATATAATTTCTAAGAATGTATTCTTATTAAAAATTTTTTTTATTTAGTTATGTTTATGCTTATTATTATTATTATTATTATTATTATTATTCAACAACACTTTTCTATCTTGGAGCAACTCTAGAAAAATCTTTCAAAAGATCTAAATTATTTTAAAAAACTGATCCTCTAGTATTCTCTTTAATTATTTGTGGTAGATTCCGTTTATTTTCAAGAGTAGGTTATAAAGCTTGTAATTCCCAAATGGCTGTTAATGGAATATGTACTCCTGCTTATTACAAAGAAACAACCTGTTATTCTCCATTTAAATAAGTTCCATCTTCTGTATATTATAAATATATTAATTCATTATTCCTGATTGATTTCTTTTCAATCCTCTAATCATTCCTCATAAATAACTTCATTTTCCAACTAGTCTTACTGTTGTTTGTAATTATCACCTAATGTCTTTAAACATCAGTTAATCGCTTAATATATGTTAAACAACTTTCATCATCTAACCATTATATTGGTTTCTCAATAAAATCTAAACAAAATTATTGCTTTGTGTTCACCAATAAAAAAGGTTCATCAAAATATATACATTATCCATCTTTCTAATAAGTTTAATATGCCTCTATTCTAAATAAAGCTTAACTTGATGGCTTACTGCTCAAACTTACCTGAAATGCTTCCATTGATTATTCTGAACATTTATAAGATCCAACCAAAAAATATTCAGAATCATAATGTTTCAATACTATCTCTTAACCAAAAAGAACTTCCTCATCGATCTTAGTTTCCAAAAATGAAAAATATTAATTCAATTCTGTCTTTAATCGTTAATCTAGTAAATCTTGATTCCCTCTAATTTATTATACTAGCATACTTACTTTTTATGAGATTTCATGAATTCATCGTGAATCTCAAAACTTCCTTTAGGCAGCACTTAAAATAAAGACTCCCGATAATTGCTAATCTTGGCCAAATTTGTATATGTCATATAATAAACATTTGTCTATGTGTATCTAACATTATTCATTGATAACTATACCCTTTTGTAACAATCATCCCTTAATCTCCTTATATTCTTATAATTTAGCCATATCGAAGATTATTCATTAAATTTATTTCTTATATAGCATCATATTTTAAACCTTTTTCTTTATTTAAATACTTTCTAATTAAAAATGATATAATATATGTTATAATCATCTCATATACACAAATCAATATTTAGACTTTTTGTAATTTATATTAATTATATAATTTTTATTCAAAATGGATGAAGATTAAGATGTATTTTCATTAATGTTTATCCTTCTAGAATTTTGTAGAAGATGATGGAAGTGATGATGACAAATTTGAAGAAACATGGAAAAAATAATATGAAGTTACTAATTATCTAATATTTTTAGTAATAGATGCTTCCAAAAAAATAAGATAAAAGACCAGAATCTAAACATGGAAGACCAGAAAGTTCTAAATTTAATTAAAAAAAATAAAGTTTTAATGATAATCCAATACCATTTTCTCTTGCTTTACAAAAATTCAATTAGTTAGTTACATTTAACAATATTAAAATTGAATAATTTTGGAAATCAGATTCTGTTAATGCATCTCCAGAAGAATTTGTATCATTTCTTGGTTAAGCAGGTTTCTAAATAATCTAAATATAATTAGGTTTTACATTTACATAAGAAGAAATTAATTAAGTATTGAGTGATTTGGAAAATGAATTTGGAAAAATTACAATTGAAAATATATGTAAAAAAGTTTAAGCATGGAATTCTAATGAAAGTATTTTAATCAACTATAATTAAGATACAATGCTTGAATTTATTAAAGAAAAAGCATTACATTTAGCATAAGCAAGCAAAAGAAAATTTTCAGCTTAAAAAAAAAGTAAACCTTAATCTGCTTCTGCAACTAGAACTGCACCTAAAGATTTCAGACCAATTAGTGGTATATCTTATAAGAGTAAGTAATCAGGATTTACAGAATTTAAAATGTATTTTTATTTGTTGATTATTATTTTTAGAGGTGAAGAAAGACCAGTTTAAAACCTTTCTAAATATTATCTATAAAAAGCTAAAGAGAGAGAAAAAGAAATGGATCGCTTACTTTAATTAACTATTTCTAAAGGAAAAAATGAATATGAATATGAAATGCTTATAAAAATGGGAGAAGCAAATGAATTATCATAACTATTAGAAAGTAAAATCACTTATCGTGCCTATAAATCTGCATAAGGTAATCTCAAAGTTCATATGTATGAATTGGATCGATTTAATAAAGATATGACTCTTGAAGAGTTTTAAAGAGAATACAATATGATTAAAAATAAATATAATGAAAGGAGAAATTTAAAAATTTGGGAAGTACTTTCAGAAAATAAAAAAAGTTAAAAAAGCTTACAACATTTTGGAACTTAAAAAGATGAGATTCAATAAGAATCTTAAAATTAACATTAATCAAAAGTAATTAACAAAAAAGAAAGACAATCTGAATTAAAAAAGGTTCTTTTAGAAACAATGATGTTAACAAATGTTTTAAAAGAGTAGTTATCTGTTCTTTAAAAGAAAGGTATAGTGATTTAATAACCCTCGATGTGATTAAATATTAAAATTATTATTTTATATAAATGAAAAACTTTCAGAAGGGTTATTTAGAGCTTAATTAAATATGGCTTAGTAGACAGTATTAATTTAATTCAATTTAGAGAGTATGAAGCGCATTAAAAAAGAATGGTATAATAAAGAAAGCTTACACCTCCTAGAGATTCAAGGATATATGAATAAGTTAAGAAGACTTAATTTTTAAATAATAGAAAAAGAGAGCTTATGAAATGGTAAACTATTTAGGAATAGAATACTTAAATTTTAGCAAGGTTAGTTAAAATTAGTAATCGGTCTCCAACAGTATTTAATAATATTATTATTTTATATAGCCTCCCAGTTAATGTGGAACTCCAAGAGGGAGAAGAGCTTTGAAAGAGTAAAAGCTTAGAATTGAAAGTGAAAATAAAAGATTACATAATAAATTGATTGGAATGTATTATATTTTATATAAATGCAAAGTTAATCAGATCTGAAATAAGAGAAATTTTAGGAATCATTTATGAAACATAAAAATATTTAAAAACATATGCAAAGATTTTATTTTGATCCAAATTTACATAAGATAAAATTAAGAGTTGATGCATTTTTAGATAATGTGAATTCGTAACGAGTAAATGATAGATCTAAAAGTCAATATTAAAATTCAAAATCTTTTAGATTTGATTATTCTCCTTTTAAATAATAAAAAACTGTAATTTAAATTATTTTAAATTAGGGAGTAGTCTTATAAAAGCTTTCATATTCAAGAGATTATTCCTTAAGAAGATAGTGAATAATTTATATTTTATTTAATTCTTAAATTCTTTTTGTTTTTTATACTAGATTTAACTTTAAAAATAAATATAGCTTTTACTATTCAAACTTTATTTTGAGTAAATGAATGTTAATGATTAAATTAATAAATGCAAATATTTATATAATAATTTATGAAAGATTTCATCATTAAATAATTGCTTTTTACTTAATTTTATCACTAATGACATAGCTAACAGTATAACGACTTTTTTTAAAACAATTCTAAATTCTATGTATTTTAAAATTATTATATCTAGTATTATTAGAAATAAATTACGAACTAATAATATATTCAGGATTATAATAGGGATAATAATATAAATAATTTTATGCTTTATCTAATTCTTCTTGATCATCTAAACAAAAGAAATGACTCTAAATTATAAATTCTTAATTACAGAATTATCTAGGTCTATAAATATCTAAGGACTATCATCAACCATAATTTTATTTTATTATGGACTTTTGTTTTTCTTTTTCATAAGTGGAGATGATCGATCTAATGGATTAATATCAAAATCATCATAATAACTTGTTTTTCCTGAGGATTTCAAATTTTCAAGTTTCCTATTAACTTCATTCTATTAACTATGAAGCAAAGTTGAAGTTTAAGATTTTCTGCTTTATCTAGAGTTTTTCATTTCTTGAGAATTAGGTAGTAAACAACAACTATTATTAATTTATTAAGGTTAATTAATAGAATTAATTATTAACATATCTTAAAGCTTATCCTTATCGGCAGAAATAGTAATTAAATTATTATTTTATTTTAGTTTTTCTTAAGGTTATTGTAATAGAGTAAAACCCATTTCTTATGGTATAGTATCTTCAGAATGCGAACTCTAATCTTCTCCATCAAGTTCCTGTATAACTTCTTTAATTGGAAAATTATTATGTTAAGATAATAAAGCTTTTTCTTTCCTATGAATCATCGGATCTAATTCTTAAAATTATTCTCTAACATCATCTAATTCACTTATCAACATTATACTATTTTTATCTACTGATTTCACTCTCTCTCTACTTGGAAAAAATGCCATTAGTTATGATTAATTTTATTAAATATTAGTAGATGATTAATAATTATTATTCTATGTTAATTCTTTTAATATTTCTGATTAATCTGCTAAAAAATTATTTTCCTAATACTCTTCTCCAGCCATTCCTATTTAAAATAGATATTCTCTACTATTTTTGGTTCTTTTATGATTTCTTTTATCTATTCATATAACAATTTTATTATTACATTTTCTTCTTTTTTAATGATGATCATATTAATATTAACTTATTATCTTTTCTTTATCTGGTTTATAATGAAGTTTATCACATTAAAATATTAAATGCTCTTTTGATTTACAACAAAAACACTTAAGTCCTATTAAACCATATTAATCATTATATAGAATCTAATCTTTCATAAAAGATGCTATTTCCTATCTTAATTCATAAATTTACCAAATCTTGTCTATTATTTTTTATTGCTTCTAAAAAATCATTTCTACGAATTTTATATGTTTCTACTGGACCTAAACTTACAATTGTACTTGTTCTAGGTAAACCAGTAAAAAAAGATACTTCACCAAATGTTTACATTTCTCCCAAAGATTTTATACCAAATTATTTCTTATTACCACTCTAATAACATACCTTTACTTATCCTTTTTTTAAAAGATACAAAGAATCATCATCTCTACAATTTTATTTTAATATTATTTCATTTGGTTAAAAATATTGTAATTACATATTTTCAACTAATTTTTCTTATATATTTTATGAAAATTAAGACAATACTAAAATTTTCTTAAAATATTTTGCATTCACAGTGTTTTAAATTGCTTTCTATATCTCATAATCTACATATTTTATAGATTTTGAATCCATCATAAAATTTTATTACTAAAAATCTTTTTTCATCTCAAATTTGTAATTACTTAGAGCTTTCTTCATTAAATTTTATTCTACTTAATGATTACGAAGATAAGCTTTCAAATCAAAATAGTTTTTTTTCTAAATGTACATATGAATATTCTAATTAAAAAAGAATAAGATATCTAAAATTAATCTAATTCTATTTATTGTAAAAATTAGTTAAACTAACAATGCTAATAATAATTCAAAGTTTGTTTCTTATTCTAATGTACTTGATATAGTCAAATAATTATTTATATATGTATGTAGATAACTTAAATAAGTCTTACTTTAAACGCTTATTGAATCAAAACCAATTTCAAATTTCTAAGAAATAGAAATTAACGCAAATATATGACAATAAAATAATGCTTTAATAAATTGCTAACCAAATATAATTCCATATTTTAGAGATATCAAAGTATTTAATTTTATCAAATTCACAATTAAAAGATTTAATAAAATCAAAGCAATAATTGAAATTTATGAATTCGTTTCACAAAATTATAATATAAAGATAAATGATAAATATAACAATAAGTCTTACAAACCATATCTTTTTATATAATTCAATTGAATTGATGCTATTTGTGTTATTTCTACTCCATTTTTATAATAACATGTATTTAAATTTATAATCGAGTTAAAAACTATTAATGTTAATTAAACAAATAATAAGCCTTAAATTATATTATTGCTTGGATATATTAATATCAAGGGAGAAAATATAATAGTAGTTAAAAAAGTGATTTACATAATCAATTTCTAAAACAATCTAAATTTAGATTACCTTGGAATAGGTAACTTAATTGATTATTTAAATTTATTTATAAAGCTTTAATTGTTATCCTTTTCTTTATTTAATGGGTTTGAATATGTTTACAGAAGAGTATTAACATAAGGTTACTTGATGAATAAATTATTACTAATCTTAATTTTCTCAACGAATTTTTAAATAATTTATTCCATTTTCATTTTTTTCTTTCTTTTTTTTATTGATGGAGATGTAATTTTTCTTCTTTCCTATATAAATTTGAATAACATACTGCCAAAATAATCATTTACTAAGAATTTTACTATTTACTTCTATTGGAATAAGAATCAAAGATTTAAGGTTCCTTTAAATCAAGTTCAAATCCATTTAAATCATAGGTAATTGAGTCTTTAGGTTAACAAGGATATTGCATAATAAATTCATTTAATGGAATTTGTTGATTTAATTTAGAATTTGCTCTTAAGGTTGAATGGGATTAGATTCTAGAGGAATATGAACTTTGTAAGTTTCCATATTCTCTTGAAGAGTTTTAATTCATAAAAAATTTAAATATTTTTAATATGATTTTACAAACATCTTTTTATGAATTAATTAAAAACAAGACTGTAAGGAATTGTAGAAAGAAAATTCGTTTTAGAATTAATTACAGAAAAATTATTATAAAAATTATTTAGAATTGATCTTAATAAATTTAAAGAATTTAATAAGTTTTTTTGGGCGTTAACAAAATCTAAAAATTGCACTAAATAAAGTAATATAGATATATGATTTAAAATTTTAATAATTAATACTCTAATTTTCATTCCTAAACCTTTGTTGCCCATATGTCAACAATATTTATACTGACTTTGCATATAGGACAAGATTCCTTTAATTAAGCAATTTCTCCACATGATTTACAAAGCATATGCATACATTTTTATATGATTACTTCTTTTAGTTATGTTTTACAATCACTACAACATGCTGTGGTTTTTACTTTTTACAATTATGATTATTCTACAAGGGAATCATCTTTCTTTAAAATAAGATATCCTTTAACTTATTCTAATTAAGCAGGATTATTTAACAAAATTTATTAAGATTCAATATTGGTTTCTAATTCAATAATCTTTTATTTTAATTTATCAATTTCAAGTAATGATTCATCATTAATTAATTTTGATTTTTAAATCTTCTAAGCATAACAATCTCTTTCGATTTTAGTTGTACTTTATTCAGATAATAGTTTTTCATATTGTGATTTATATTATTCTAATTATTTAACTAATTCACCATGATTTTAATCAACTTAATATTTCTCTTAAGAGTATTTTTAAATCAATTAGGTTTAATTAGTTCTTTATTATTATAATTAATTAATTTATTCTTATTATTATCTTTCTTTCTCTTTTAATTAAATTCTTTCATTTTCAAATTTTGTTTTTTCTGCTTATTTATCTTAAATTAAGACAGCCTCATTTTTTTCTTTAATTGATAATTATTATTCAATCATTTTAGATTTAGCCATAACTTCCTCATATATTTTAGAATTATAATCAGTTTCATCCATCATCATTTATAAATGTCTTTTTTAATCTTATATTTATTTATCTTTTTTGCTTATTTCCTTTTCAAACTATTCAATTCTTTAATCTCTAGTTTTTATATAACCAATTAATTCTTAAAATTTCTCCTTAAATTATGGTTAATGTTTTATAATAATCTACAAAGTTTCTTATATGCATTCTTTATGTTTGTTATGTCTAAAAGTTAATTAATCAATATTTAATTCTCCTGGAATTCTAGCCATTAATGCTACATTTTTCTATCAATTAAATATGTATATATACCATTTCTAATTCATTTTATTTATTTTAAAGTTCTTAATATTATTTATTTAATTCATCCAAAGTATTTCTTAGTTCTTTATTAGCTGATTTTAATACATTATTTTCTCCACTTTAAGCATCTATTATCTTTTATGCTTATTCATATCTTTCTTTCAGATTTTAATTATATCTTTCACTTTCATGATGTATATTTCTTATTCCAAATTGTTAATCATTTGAAAATTTCTTTAATTAACAAATTTCACCTGTCAATTTTTAAATTTCAATTTCATATAGATTCTTCAATTAATTTATATCAAATAGTTTTGAATTTGATAATTCTTAATACTAAGTTTGCAAAGTTTATAATTATTGTGTTAATTAAGAATTTGCATCTATTAAATTCATATTTTAAGATTATAAAATACTAAAAGTTTCAGATTCCACAAATTAATCTTCTCTATACTCATTACTAATTTCTAATTCCTTAATCTTTACTAATTATGAAGTTACTTATTATTAATATTTTTTATTTTATTATTATAGTATTTAATAGTTATTTAAAATTTATTCTAAATCTTTAATTTCAGATTAAGTAAATGTAATATTTATTTAATCATCTTCAATAACTGTTACTTTCAATTGTTTACACTTTAATGTTTTTAACAATAACTATTATATTGTATGAGTAATGTTATTTTAGGATTAATTTTTTCTATCCAATTTTGTTAATTATATTTATCTATCTTCACTATTGTCATATGATTATCTAACAAAATCCAATTAATTAGTAAATCCTATCTATTTGATTTAAATTCCTCCACAAATGCATTCATAATTTTCATCTTCTTCATTCAATTTTTAATTTATAGACTTTTCATTATAATTCATTAAAATTCTTAATCTTCTACTCAAAGTTTCATTTTGTTTCTTACTTTCTGCAATCAAAGATTATAATTAATAAATTGTTTAGAATCCTATTTAACCATCCAAATCACTCAATTTCTTTTCTTTTATTTTTTAAATCTATTTCAAATTCTACTCTATGTCTTGATTCTTTTTCATTAACTCTTTGTTTGTACTTATTAATTTTTTCACATATGTCATATAATCCTACTCTTCTAGTTCTAATAATTAATTTGTTCTCTCTTTAATCATTTCCATAAATTCACTGTATTCCAAAGATATCTCAAAATAAATATTCTCTATTATTCTCAAAAATTATTCAAATTTATGACTTATTTACTTTTTGAATTGACCTTCTATATTATTACAAAGTAAATATTGACTATTAAAAATCTAAATATATTTTAATTAACATACATCATCTAAATATTAAAAAGCATTCAGATATTTGTTCTCCAAAAGTCCCTTTTTTTTTACAACACTTTCTATTCTCAAACTTCTTTAAAGAAATCCTCTCCATACAATTTCCAAAAAACTGAAAAATTTTTAATGTCTAATTTCTCTCTCCACTAATTCTGTAATTATTTATTTTTGCTCTTTTATTGTTTTTTTTAAATAGTCTAACCTATTTGCTAATGAAACATTCTAAATTTTTAACACATTTTCTTCAAAAGATTATTTTGAATATTCATTCTCTTATATTTGAGGAACTGTAGGTATATGCAATTATTTTGGTTAAAACATTATAATATAAATATATATTATAAAAAATCAATAATAAAATTTTATTATCATTTTTTCTATTAAATTTAAATTTTAAATCTCATCAAAATCTTGTCAAAAATTAGATTAAAATAATAAAATTATTATACTTGCTAAAAGTAATAAACTATTATATTAATCATGGAATTATTAAACTACTTTATTGAGTGTTTAAAAATTTTACTTTATATAAATCTTACTCTAAAGTAGAAAATTTAAGTTAATTTTTAAATTATTTTGGCTTCCTTTAAATTTCAATATGTGATACTTTTATTTTATGTCTTATTTGAAATTTTTTTCAGTAATTTATAAATTTTATCTAAATAATATGTTAATTAAAGTAATTAATATTTACTCTAGATTTGATTCCTCAAATAGTTTTATATTCTAAAGTTAAGTTTCTAGTAATAAGCATTAGTGAGATAAATTATGGAATAAGATATTTAAATAAGACTAAGTTATTATTAATTAAGATAAATCCTTTTTAGAATAGAAAAATAATCAAAAACTTATTGAATTTAATATTTAATTTCAAAGTACAATAATTAAAATATCTTGTACCATTGAATTAAAAAAAAAGTAACTTTTCCAGATAAAAGATCTGAAGAGAATAATGATAAAGAAAATAAACAAATTAAATTCTTTCCTTAGATTTTATTCAAATTAAATTTAAAGTTTTAGTATTATAATTTAGTCAGAGATAAACTAAAAAATGAATTTTAAAAATAAATAAAAAAACCAAATGATATAAATTGAATAAAAATTATGAATAATTCACTTCAAAAATATAAGCTTTTTATTAATTAAATCAAGCATTTATAAATCTTCTTTTTCTAAAATATTGTTTTCTTTAGTTTTATTCTAAATATAATTATTATTAATATTTACTTGAAGTTCTTCTTCAGCTTTTTTTTTCAATCTTTAATTTTTTAAATAATCAAATACTTTAGGGTTTGGTAGAGATGTAGCTGATTATTTAACTTCACTATCATTTTTGAGAACTCTTTTCATTGGTGGAATATTTTTAATATTATAAGTAGCATTTTATTTAAGATAGAAATCTCCAACTTCTCTTGGAGATATTTTAATTGGCAATCTCTCCAAAGGTATAAGTTTATGCTTTTTGATATTTTTTTATAACTTATCTTTACTAACACCATAAAATTAATGTTTAGATTAAACTATTTTTGATAAAGATTAATATTTTTTAAAATCAGATTAATGTTTAATGTTATTTTTTAAAAAATTTAGTTTTTCTTAAAGTTCTTCAGATATGGTTGGTTAATGATTTTATTTTACATCTTCAATATATTAAGAAAGTTTGGTTAATCTTTATTATTTATCTTAATCAATAACATTTTCTATTCGTTTATACTCTTCTTTAGCTTTCTAATATGAAGATGAATAATATTATGCTTTAAATTTATTCCATTGGGCTTCTCGTTCTTCCCATTAAACTTTACGTTTTTACTATTTCTCAAGATGAATTTAATTAAATTTTTCTTCAAATTATTTAATTTCCTTTGCATCAAAATCAGGATTTTTATTTTAAGCAATTATTTTTTTTCTTTCTTATTATAATTAAATCATATATGTAGCATCTTATTCTGCATATCTTAAGGCTAAATACTTTTCTTTTTTCTTTTCTTCAAATCTTTTATTTGCTTCATCTAATTCAGTCTTTCTTTTAATTTATTATTCTTCCAATAATTTTAAATTCTTTTCAATATCTTCTCTTTTTTTAGCATTTGTTGTTTATTAAAGTTCCTTTTTTTATTATTATATTATTTTTTCTTCTTACTCTATCTTTTTAAATTATTCATCAATTCTTTTTTATCTCTTAATTTATATATCATTCCATTCCTAAATTTACTTTTAAATAAATTCTTATCTTTGTTTCTCCAAAGCAGGATCTTATTACCATTTTTCAACAAATTATTTTTATAAATTAATAGAACTAATTTCTATTTCACTATTTACTAAATTAGGATTCGATCCAAAAACATGATGTTTTTATTTTTTAATTTATTTCTTTAAATGTTCTAATTTATCTTCAAGATAAAGCAATTTTTAAAGTAAATCCTATCTCAAATTTATAATTTATTATTTTTAATCTATCTAATCTATTCTTAATTATTATGACATTTCATCTAATTGAAGTATTTCAGAACTTATTTATTTTCTTTTTTTCTCCAATTTATTATAATCAATTTTCATTAATTATTTTTGTACCTTTTCTATATTTTTTTTTTCAATTTCATTTTCTACATATTCATCATCTTCTTAATTATATGACTCCTTTGCAATTGATATATTTTATAATATTTTTTCAAGAGATTCTTTGACAAATTTAGACGCAAACTTTTTAGAATTCACTGTCAGATCTTCATTTTAAAATTATTAAGAAAAATATTCACTTATCGATACAAAATCTTAATGTGGACTTGGAATCATTGATAATGAATCATTCAACTTCTGTAATGCTTATGCTTACTTTTCTATTTTTGATAACTAAAATTCATTAATTACTTACATTTAATGAGTCTTAGTTTAGAATTTATTATGTAACTGAGTCTTTTACTTCCTTATACTAGATATTAATAAAACCCTATTCTTTGTTATTTTATTTTATTGTCAATTTTTATACCCCTTCTACTCTCTAAATTATTGAATCTCCAATTAATTAGTATTCATCATTAGGTTTTTGCCAAACCTCAATTCTTATTTCTGATGTTTTTTTATGTTCTAATACAAATCTATGATTCCAATTATTCCCTAGAACTGTTTATAATACTGTTGGTCCACATTTTAACTTTACTTAATAATTTGTCTAATCTGATTCATAATTTATAGCATCAATTATTATTTTCATTATTAAAAATACTTTTTATAAATTTTATTACAAAAATTATAAATAAAATACAAAATAAGTGAGCAATAATTATATATACATTATCCTATTTCACATATATGAATTAAATAATATTTTTTTCATTTAAAATCTCAACTAAAGAATAAATACTGATTTTTACAAACAATTTACTTTTTTATTTTACTTACAAAAATAATTTGATCTAAACAAAATTATATTGAAATACTAAATACTAGTAATATAATATCGTATTCTTATTTTATTCAAAATATTAGTTCCAAAAATCTATTTGCTCTATCCATTCTCCTAATAATAATTGAAACTCTTTTGAAAATTTATTTTTAATTTATTTGTCTTAAAATAGATCTTTCATTTTTATATCTAGTATAAATTACATATTTATGGAGTAATATTGCTTTTATTCCATATTTATAGAAAAGATTATAAGTAAATATTCCTATGTCTAAATGATATTTTAATATGTTGTTTATAATTAGAGTTTTTATCTTAAGATTATTTAAAGATATTGAAAGAAATAAGTTTTCAATAATAAGTGTTTATTGTTGATTTCTTTATAATTGGAGATATATATCATTCATTTGTAATAAATAATTTATTAGGAAAATTTAGATTCATTTTATAAATACAAAATTTATTGTATTTAATTGAAGAATTAAAAAATATTATTTTTCAATTTACTAAAAGCTTTTAATAATAAATCTTTAGAGTGCTTGTTTAGAGGGTTGTAAATAAGAGAAGTTTACTTGTAATATTTTTGGAAATAAAATTAGAATATGATGATAAATAATTAAAGTTCATATGAGAAAATGTAATAAATGATTTTAGATTATTTATTTATAATTTAAAAATAAAAAAATAAGTTTTATAATATAGTAATGATTTCTGGAAAACATTAAATTATATATGTATATAGATGTATTTTAAATATATATTAAATTTAACGAATATGATATTCGAATATACACTATCTTTAAATGATAAAATAAGAAGAGCTCTTACTTAGAAACATCTAACAAATTAAATACAGAAAATAAAATTACGGAAGCCGAAACAAGAAATTCACTATTCTGTATAATCTTAATTTCGAAGATTAGAAAATGAGAAATGGACAGAAATATTTTATGAAAATTAAAAGATTCATTAAAACTTAACAAATATTAAATCAGTTTTGAATACAACGAGTGACACATTAGATTTTCAAGCAATAAAAAAATTAAATGTTTAAAATAAAACAACATGTACATTACCAAAATTAAAATCAAGATGCAAATCATCATAAAGAGCATGATAATTAAAAACATCCTTATATTAATATTAGAAAAAAATCACTTGAATAATTTTAAATAAACAATAATATTGATTTTAAATTTATGCATGGGCCTTAAAAAGAAAATTCTGACTAATCAGATTCTGAAGATATAATTGATGAATAAACGAACAATTTAATTGGAATTTTTAAAGTTCGAAAATTAATAGATTCAGACAAATAACCTACAGATCCACAAATAGTAAAAATAAAAGAAGATCTGCAATGTCCAATTTGTCTAAGTTTATTTGAATAACCAGTCTATAGTATTTATTAAATTGAACTTAGTAAAGGACTGTAGTCATAGATATTGTAAGAAATGTATAGAAAAGAGTATAAGATTATAAAAAGATAAATCATGTCCAACTTGTAGAAAAAAAATAGCAACAAGAAGAGATTTAAGAGTTGACGAAGTAGTGACTAAAATACTAAATACTGTAGTTCCTGATATTGAATAATATAGAATATAGGAAGAGATATAAATATAATAAGCGATTAAAAATTTGAGTTAATAAAGATAAAAAAATGAGGAAATCCAAAAATTAGTAAGTCAAACTGACACTGCTTTGTCATGCAGCATTTAATTATATGCCCAAAATTAATTGATTCATTAAATTGATAAAAATTATATTAGAGCTCCTTTAATTACTACTGTTGCAGATATTATTCAATTAATTAGTCTTAAATTAAATTTACCTGAAGAATTTACCTAATATATTGATATTTATATCAATAATGAAATTTAAACTTAAATGGATAAAACATTAGGAGCATTAAATTAAGAATATTGGGGTAGAAATGAAGATTATTAAATTTACAATCCAAATGATTTTCATAAATGGAGTACATAGGATTCGAATATTGCAATAAGATAAATTCATTATTCTATTGATAGATTTTATTAAAGCAATTTGTGAGTATCAGTTGATAAAAAATAATTCAAATTCTTTATAATTAATCTCTTTGTTTAATTTTCCCAATCTTTTATACAATAATTTAATATCATCTTTAACATTATAAACATCAAAAAAACGTTGAAGCTAAATTAATAATCTAAATATACATCTTATCGATTGAAGCTGCCTTTTTTATAAAGATCAAGTTTATTAAATAATTAATAAAGATTTAATTCTTTTAAGAATTATTTTTTTTTAGATCTGATAATTTTTTCATTGTCATTCCATTAATTGAAAAGTAATTAAATTAATGAAATTGTTGATCTTGAGAATAATTATGAGATTGAATATGAGAGAAGACTATTTTTAGCAGGTTTCTTACAAATGTAGGTTGAACTCATATTAGATGGAGAAATAAAATCAGAAACATCTGAATATCTAATAAATCCATCTAAATCTTTATCTAAATAATTAAATAACTCAATAACATCAATATTTTTGAGTTATAATTATTCTAAAAAATAAACAAATTCATGTTGATTGACTTTTCCTTTATTTTTTAAATCTATAAAATGGAAGAAATCCATAGAGTTAAAATCTTTTTATTATTATATTTTTAATTTTATTTCTTCTAAATACATTTCCAATTTTAAAACTTCCAATCCTAAATCAATGAATCTTTATTCATCATTTAAAATATTCTCAGTTAATTTTGTAGTTTATAAACTTTCTGTTATTGAAGAAGCTCTTCTATTTGACTAAAACTTTTTTTTGTTACTTGCAGAAAAATTTCTAGATTAAATTATTTATCCAGCTTTATTACTACTATTACCTAATTCATCTATAAAAATATTAGAGCTCTTTGGTTATGAAACAGTCTATTTCGGAGTTTAAATACAATAAATCAAATTTTGTTATTATTCTAAAACTTATGAAGGTTCTAACATTCTACGAAAATCATTTAATGTTATTTATCCTGTTCTTTATAAATCAATTCTATAAAAGAAAGCAATCTATTAATAAATTATTTTAATTACTAATTCTTCTTCATATAACAAAAGACCATTTCTTCTAAAAAATCTATCAAAATCCTTAAAATTTAGAATATTATTATTTAAAGAATCCATACTCTAAAACATTTAATCAGCATTATATAAATTATAGAGTCTAATTTTTAATCTTTCTAAATTTATTGCTTCATTATATTCTCTAAGATTAATCCTAAAAATACAAATTGAATAATTAAGCTAATGCATAATCGATTGATTTTTCTACTGCAGCTTTTGTTGGTTATTTCATAGCTGTTATTTCTCTTAATTCACCATCACTTTTTGGTAATACTATATTGAGAAAGCTGAAAAATTATGAATTATTAATAATACTCTTGATAATTAAGAAATTCTTTCTAAAATGTTTAATTAAACAATGTTGTAATTTCTTAAACAAAAAAATCATTTTCTTTCAAAAGTTAAACCACTTATTCAGGTTTAATTTAATTAGTGTTCATTTAATCTAATCTAGGTGTTATTACATATATTACCTTTTGAAGCAGGCATATGGATTAAAACTAGTTTTTCTACATAATTATATTCTCACTTGCTCAGCTCTTCTCTCAGTTAAACTTATTTGATTTATGATCTCACAAAGTAGTTATTGTGCATCTTTTGAAATGCTATAGGCCATCTTACTGTTAATTATAATTATAAATTAATAATTTTGAATATAATAATACGATTCACTTGTTTATATGAATTCATTTATGTTATACAATTTTTTATTTGAATTCTAATAATATATATTAAAATTATTGTAAGTAAGTCTCAGATGAAAGGATGTTATATTATTCAATCGAATTATAATCAATTTAATAATTTCCATAGGATAAACGATTAATTTACATAACAACATTAATATTAATGAGATATTGATTGAGTTAATTGCAAAAATATAATTCTATTAAATTTAGATTAATTTCTTGATAAATTTTTATTTAAGAAATACATAATTTAATAAGGAGGAGAGTTTAAAACATTTTTTCCATTTTTTTAAAAAACTTATATAATAATGAATATTTTAAGAAAAAGATATAATCAAAAATTTGAGAAGTGACTTTTGATTCAAATTTAATTGAAAGATTCTAATTATTTAATATTAATTTGCTTAACAAAATCAATCAAATAAAAATTTAAATTTTATTGAAATGGATGACTCCAAAAAATAATATAGCAAAATCAAAAATGAATTAAGAGAATAAATTATTCATAAGATCTTAATCGAAAAAAAGCCTATAATGGATGTAATCTAAAATTTATAATATAGGTGGCCTTAGAACATAACATCTTACAATCTACCTGTAAATCTATAATTAACACATATATGAGAGAAGGTAGAGTGGGTAAAAAGGAGAGTAGAGTCAGAAAATTAAAAAAAGTTATGAAAACATATGAAGTAGTATTAAATCCTTTATACCCTTAAATGTCAACAATTGTTTAATCATAAAATATAGAGAATTGTGTGGAAAAATCAAAGAAAGGGTAAAAAGAGGAAAATAACAAAAACGAGAATTTTACTGAATAACAAGATGTCAATAAGATGATATAATAATGGTGCGAATAGATTAAATAATAAATATTTTTACTTTCTAATTCTAACTAGTTTTTTTAAAGTTCTATGAATTTGATACAGAAATGAAATATAAAATAAAATATTTAAATACATGATTAATAATATATTAATATTTAATATTTAATATATTTTATGTAAATATATAAATTTCATTTAAGTTTATGTCGTTTTGTAAATTCATCAATTTATTCTTCAAATGTAATATCAGATTTAGAGATATCCTTTAAAATTGGTTCGTTGATCTGAGCATTTTTACTAAGTCTAAGTTTTTGATTTAAATTATGGAGAACTGTTGATAAATCCTTTTATTATTATCTATGCTATCCATGCCATGTTAAATCACTAGATAATTAGGAAGACCCAATAGATTTCATTTATCTATTAGTACTTATTTAAATAGGTCTTAGACTACTCTATGATGCAAAAGTATCAATAGTATTTTGGTCATTATTAATTAAGTTTTTTTCAACAGCATATTAGTAAAAATCAGAAACAGATTTTTTTTTGGTGATTGATTTATGATGTCGATTAGTAATAGGAAGAGATACATTTTATTTATTATTGTTTATTTCCTTATTATTATTTGTATGTTAGGAATGATCCTATCTTTCTGTATTTTCTAATCTTAAATTTAAATTAGTAAGATATTAACTATTTTAAAAGAATTTAGTATTTAGTAAAGATTTATCTCTAAATTCAGGATCTAAGAAATTTAAATTACTGGCTCTATCGATAGCCTTTTATCTTTCTCTTTCTTTTTATTTGAGCATAAGATCTAACTTTGGATCTTTGGAATCATCTTTAAACATATTTTGAACTTCTAATAATCTTCTTTATGCTTCAAGTTATTTGAGTGTAGGTCCTTAAACTTCAGCTTAATATAGATGTCTTATTTTAGTGAATTTAAGATCTCTAGGACTGAATTCATCTCTCATAACAGTTGCATTATATTATCTTGGTGATTTGAATTAGATTTTGTTAGTGACAGACAAAGATTCAACTAAACTATATTATTCAGCCTCTTTTTCTGATTTAGATTATTTTCTTAAAATATCAATTACTTTAAAACCATAAATAATTCTCTTTCTAAGTTCTCCTTATTTTGAATACTATATATTCCATTTGATTGGTAAGGGATGATTAATATTGTATAAAGCAATGATATTTCCAATCAAATCAAAAATTGAAATAAGACCATCAGAAGTAGAAATTAGAATATATCGATTATCTAATTCTAAAAAACTTAGAGTGATAATCTATTTTTTAGAAACTTTAAACATATGTAAATTTTTAATGCTAGTAAAATTTTAAGGAATTGTAAATTTTTATCCTTCACTTTAAATCAATTATTCTCTTGCTTTTCTTAAAGGATTGTAATTAATTCTCTCGTGAATTGGTTCTGTAGTAGGTAGATTATCTAAATCTAAAGCTATTCTTATTATATTGCTTTCAGAAGTTGCAAATAATAGTTCAAGCTCTTTAAGATTAAATAACATTTTAATAACAAATTCTTATTCATTTTCTTCAGTCATATAATTATTTGAACCAATATCATACATGTCAAACAATTCAGAATCTACTTAAATATGTTCTTTAATGGTGAATTTAACAAATATAACCTTTCCTTATATAGTAGATACTGCTAATAAAGGATAGTTCGCAATTATTATTATATTAGTAATCTCTGCATCAAATTCTAACACACCTAAACATTTAACAAATTCATAATCTATATAATAGAGTGTAGATCCTTATGATAATAAAATCAATGAATGATGAACAGATAATTCTAATTAAGAAGCTTCAAAATGAGTTATTTCTCTTAGAATTTCTCCATTCATCTTTTAAATCAAAATACAATCTTAACATGCTGTAATAACTAATTTATTTAAAATATCTAATTTTAAAACATTTATATCTGAATGTCCTTTTAATGAAGATATATATTCACCATTATGATGATAAATCTTAGTATTACCTTTAGAATCTGACAATATAAATTTATTAAAATAATTAAGAGGTCTAAATTACGTTATATCATCCTCAAATTCTGATAATAAGCCATTTAATATTGTTTTTATTTTACCTGTATATATATCAAGAAATATAATTTATTTTTTAGTAGCTATAATCAATTCATCTCTTTATTAATCGAATTCTACTTTTACAGCATAATTCTCTATTTCTTCATTATGTCTGATATCTAATTTTAGGATATTAACTCTTGATCCAAGAAAACATAACATATTAATATCTGACATATCTAGAATTTTAGTGATTTAAGTTTTTTTTCCAAAATTAAGAGATTAAAGACATGAAAATGTTCTAATATCCCATAATCTTAATGATCCACTATCATCACCAGAAACTAAGACAGGTAATTTACCAACCATAAGAATAGAAGTCAACATAGATGTATGACCTGTCATTTTACCAATTTAAGTTACATCATGATATTTAGGATTGATATCATAAACATTAATATAAGTAGAATAACCACAAGTAATAAATACTTAATAGTAATATGAATAGACTAGACTATGAATTCCACCAAAATCCTTCAGTGATAAAGTAATTTTGATTTCTCCATTTTATATATCCCATAACGCTACTTATTTGTCTAAGGAAGCAGTTGCAATCATTTTCATATGAATAACTTCAACACATTCAATAATATTTCCTTAAATACATTTATTTTAGAATATTAGATTGGCTGATTCATTCAATAGATCCCAAAAATATAATCTAAAAGTACTATCAGTTGTAACCCATTGATTTTAATTCTCTAAAAACCAGATATTAGTTTAATATTCTTGGGATGCTAAAACAGTAGAAAATATTCTATATTTTTTAAAGTCACCTTCATACATACAAATAGAATGTGATTTCAATGTTAATCCAATCTGAATGTATTTAATATAATTACTCTTTGTTATCTATCAGACCATGCAAAACTCAAAATGATAGTTTCTTTATCTTCATGTTATGATATCTTAACCATTTATTTTAATGAACCATCTACATTATATATATTAATTTTAGAATCTAAACTATCAAGTGTAATTATTGATTTGTTGCAAAAAACACCTGTATGAACAATTCCATTATGATGTCTAATTGAATCATTTTATAATGAATTTGGAACTATATGAAATATCTCATTATCACTACTACCAATAATTTTAGCTGATTCCTAAAATAGTCAAATTTATAACTTACCACATCAATTTCTCTGATTCTTGTTTTGTTCAGATTGAATTTCTTAGGATCTGATATTAGTCTTTAAGGTACCATTGTATTTTCACTAGTATCTACTTAACATACATAACTTGTAACATCTTATAAACTAAGTTCATTCTATTAACTTATTGCTACAACATCTTTATATAACTCTATCAATCCCATCACTAGATACAAAAGTTCACTTTATTTGTGATGTACAATAGGAATCATCAATTTTATAAATTCAACCATATTTAATCGTTTTGATGGCCATTATCTTTCCATGACTAAGAGTTCATCTCTTTCAATTAATTCTAATATCTAAGATTTCTTAGATAATTTATAGTCTGTATTTTCAGAATCTAACATGCTTGTTAACACTTATTCAATTATCTGATTTACAGACATCTTATTAAATATTGTTATATATATAATTATATATCAACATAATATAATATGTATTATATCTCAGAATTATATTTAACCATTACTTAGATTGAATTTACTTGGATCAAAAGGTTATCCTTTAAATGGACTCCCTTCAGCATCCCAAGCTTTCTTTAAAATTTCTAATTGTTATTCTTCTTCTGTTGTTGGTAATCCTTACTATTTCCTTTGTTAATCATACATTATCTTTCTAATTGCTCCTTAAGTTTCTGAATCAAAATCTTCCAATGGTTTTGTATTCTCCACTTTTGTCGCATCTATTTCTTAATCCCCTTAAATTACTGTTTTCCATATATTCTCCTATCCTTTCTCCAATGTTATTGTCAATAGATTCTCCTCTATTGACCATATTGATTCATCACATTTCACTTTATCATATAATTTTCCATCTACTACTACATTATCCTTTACTTTCACTGTCAATGTACTTGCTGTTATTATCACTTTTATCTATTATTATAAATCTATAATATTTTATACATTTTTCTTATTAGATCCTTCTGGAACTTTCATTGTTACTACTACATCATTTCCAGATTAACTCCATGAATATTTCTCTGTCTAACCACCATTATATGTATTTATATATGGATCTATCTTTTGCTTATTAGTAAAACTATCATTCTTTTCTTCCTATTTTATCTTTACATCTTATTATTTCTAACACTCACTTTATTCACTCTATTTTTATTATTATTACTAAAGTTATCTTTCCTTCTTTTATTCTTCCTATTCTTTTTGTTTCTCTTATTATTCCTTCTACTTTCTTTAATATATTTCCAATTTCTCCTTATATTCTTAAGCTGACTTTTTTTTATGTATTTTATAATGTTCATCTTAATATTTCTTAAATATATTTCCTAACATATTCAATGCTACTCCAGGAGGAAACCCCATCTTATCTCCAGGATCACCTTAATTATTTCTATATTCATTACATTCATAATAATAATCTGTTCTTCTCAATAGAAAACTGAATAAAGAGTTTAACAACCCTTCTATTCCTCCTGTTTCTTTTGCAATCAAAAAGAAATGCTCATCGAACCTATCTACCATTATAATTTATTTTTATATTCAAATTTTATTTATAAACAAAGTATTTACATATATATTTTATAAGAATTTCTTTCTCTTATTTCTTATCTAAATAGAATAAAAACATAAAAATCATTTTTTATTTAGGTTAACATTCTTCTTAAAAATTATAAAAACCATTAAATTTATCTTAAGAAGTTTCTTTCAATTATTGTTTATATTTATGAGTCTTATTGCCAAAATCATTATATATTGTTTATCTTTGAACTTTTACGCATATTTTGCTTGTAATAAATATCTTAATTTCTCGTTTCCTTAAACATATAATATATCTTTTAGTTTAACATCTGATTTTTCTTGTAAGAAAAAAAAATTCATTATCCTTTAAGTGTGAAGGTATCTACAATTTATTTAGATTGAAAATAATGTTAACTTAAGAGTTTATTCTCAAAACTTAAATCAATAACTTTTTTTTTAGTATTTCAATTGATAAAAAATTTTAATAATTTATTCATAGAGTGGTGAAAATTAAGATATTTTCTTAAAAATAAAGAATATATAAAAATTATCTTAAAGATCAATATCTAAAATCATTATGGTCATGGATATATAAAAATGCCTACTTTATTTTGAACATATTTTATTTAACAATGAATTAGTTATAAGTAATTTAATCTGAACATTTATTAGAGTTATAACACCCTAATAAAGGATCTAAATAAATTACACATATTATTCCTAAAGTTTTACTTGATAAAATAATAATTTTTAATATATGAAATATATTATAAAAATAATTAATTAGAAAATGTTTTTCATATTCTATATGATGATATAATAGATAGTAACTGAGGAGTATAATATCTCTAAAATTATGTAATTATTGTTGTTTTAAAGATATCATGGAGAGTGGGAATCATTAACAAATAATGTTTAAAATTATCTCTTTATAATAGTCATTTAATTACTTAGATTAGACTAAAGGGGAAACATTTATTTAATTAAATCCCTAAAGAGATTTGCCATAAAATGAACTTTAACTAAGTAACTTAAGCTTAATAGGTTCATTTAATATTCTTTTCCTCGATCCAAAATATATAGATGAAAAAATAGTTTTTGGTTTATTTAATGTTAGTGATTTAAATGGAACAACTTTGTAATGAAAAATTAAAATATGTAGGTCATGGTAAGGAAAAACCGACTTTGTTTATTATAAATACTATAAATAAAAAGGAGAATACCCAAATATCACTTGTAAAGTAGATTATAATATAAAATTAAATTATGATGAAAGTAAATTTAAGTTTTAATGAATAGAAGAAGAGAAAGATTTTTAAAAATTAAATTTTACAATTAATTTAAATAATGTGGAGAGTGATGACAAATAATGTAACATTAAAATAAATTCATTTTATCAGCATTATGAATCTAATATTTATAAATAAGTGCTATTTTATAGTTTAATGTTAAATATTTTATGTGCAATACAGTATTTTTGTGTTACCAGATTAATAGAAAGTGTTTTGAGAGATGATGAAAATTCAATAGTTTAAAGAGTAAAATTTATTTTACAAATAGATTTCAATTTTTTGTGTAGGTTTTGTAACAATATATGACACATTTTTAGCATTTCAAAATTTAAGCTTTGCATTTGGAGATGCTGTATAACTTAATTTTTATTTAGAATTTCCAATATTTCATTTTGCCTTCATTTTTCTTTTTTATGCTTACTATGAATTGTGATTTAAAGTTATTATGGATTATTTGCAGAATAAGATTTTAAGAATAATTCTAAGATTAATAAAGCTAAAGACAATTTTTAACTAAATTTTTTATTATTTATTGTAAGATTTAAAATTTATTAAATTAGATTCTTCTTTACTAACTTTGTTTTTATTGTTGTAAGAATATGAATTGTATAATTCATTTTTATTGTTAATCGGATTTTTTATGACTCCTTAAATAATTCATAATATTAGATTAGGATCGAATCCAAAGTTTATACTTGAATATATATTCGGATTTTTATCTATAAATATTGCAGTTCCTGTATATTATTTTAATAATTTAAGCTATACTTTAGAGGATATCCAGATAATTTTAGAAGATTGAAACCTTCACTGGAATTTTGTATTAGCTGGCTGTTGATCTTTTTTGTTTAAATATTGATTTTATATATCTAATATAAAAAGGGTCCTCGTAAGATTATTCCAAAATGCTTATTACCAAAATAATACAATTATTATTAAAATTATAAAATTTAAGAATTAGAAGATTGTGCTATTTGTTTATTACATTTAATGATTGAGCCTGATTAATAAGAATAAGATTTAGATAGAATGTTGGTAAGTAAAGTTTTAATGATTACACCTTGTGGACATAAATTTCACCCTTTTTGTTTAAAAAGTTGGATGGAAATTAAATTAACTTGCCCTACTTGTCGAAATACTATTCCTGCAATTTGTGAATGAATTGATACGCATTATTTATTTCCAATAATCAGAAATAGTTTTTTTAAATTTTTTAATCTAAATATAAAATTTTATATAATTAAGAATCTATTTTCAAAATTAAATTTATCATTTATACATTTTAAACATTATTTGGTAAATCAAATACATTTTTTTTAAATTAAATTTTTTAAAGTCTTTTTTACTTATTTCATAATATTATGAAGAAAATCAATAAACTATATAATTATAAATAAATTTGAGTAAAAGAAACCACAATAATTTAAATAAATAGATCTTAAAAATATTGTTATAAAATGATTCTCAAGTAGAAATTTCATTAGAAGCGGAAGCTTTAGATGCCATAACTATATTAGCCATTCCAGCTGTAATTAAATTCATGGATAATTTAGCTTTTTCTTTCTTTACTGTTTTTAATTCAAGAGAAACTTTATCTAGTTCTTCATTTTTATTTTTCAAAGTTTATTACAACTCTTGGATAGCTTTTTCATATTCTTCTTTTTTATTATTAAAATTGATTTGCTACTATTGTGAAAGATGATCAAATTCTTAGTTCTTTCTTTGTAATGTTTATTATAATTCATTAATTTCCTATTACTTTTATTTAATTCCAGCTTCATAATCCCTCATACCTAATTGGCATGCTTATAATTATATTAATTATTATTAGAGCATAGAGTTCTTAACTTTTAATGCCTCTACTTAAGTTTCTTTTTCAGTTATGGTTACACATTTACTATCTAATTCTAAAACCAATTATTTATATTCGTATTATTCTTTAACATTAATCTAAATAAATTAAATGATTTATACTTTAATAGGAGTTTATTGATTAGCTGCTTTAGTTTTATCTAATTACTGTTATAATTATTTGAGTTTATTTGATAGATCATTAATTAATATTTAAGATGAGGATTCATTCTTTATATATTAATTAATTTTTTATTCCATTTCTTAAATGGTTTAATTTTATATAGTAATTTAAGAGCAATATGTATCATTTTCCTTTTCTTTTTGTTAAAAAATTGAATTAATTTAATCTTATTAGTCTTTGAGAGTTTTTTCATAATTTAGATTAATATTTTTGAGTGATTCAAAATTCGATATGATTTAATTGAGTTCATCTTACTTGTATTCTAATGATTTTTCTAAGATTTCAATATCATTTTATGCTTTTTAATTGATTTGTTATAATTCAAGAAATTATTTAACTTAATTTTTTTATTATGTAATTTCTTCATTTAACTCAATATTTTATGTCAAAAGTAATTTATTTTATTCGATTAGACTATTGTTTTCTTAAGAAAGGATAATAATTTTTTATTCTAAAAGTGATAATTTTTCACTATATTATTTATTAACAGTGTCTTATTCATTCATAAGCGTATCTATAAGAGTTTAATAATTTTTTTGTGGTGATAATGTTTTAGTCCATTATTGACTAAGTGAGACACTTGAGCTTACATTACTTTTAGATGAACGAAAAGGTTCAACACAACTTGCAAATACACCTTGTTATAATTATGCAGTTTTAGGAGTATTGTTTTTGAATTCTACCACAACACTAGATTAAGGATGAACATAAGTTGTTTTATGATGTCTCAAAGGACTTTCTTAAGTTTTAATTTCTCTCAATGAATCAAGTTTAGCTATAAGACAAGAAGCATCTCTTAAGTATTAAAGATGAATAGATACTTATTCATATTTGATTACTATTCAACTTTAGATTTAAATATTGATGGTCTAATTGTAGTCTATGATTTATAGCTTTATCTTAATGGAACCAAAGGAATTTATTATAATGATTATTTTTGTATTTAAGTGTTTGTTAACTACTAAGACATCAAACTCGGTTCTTATATAAGATTTGATTATTTTACAAATGACTTAAGATTGATAAGAGTTCTCGAAAGGATTTCTAATATTGGTTTGCATATTTTTATTTATCAGTTGATTTTCTACAATAACTATATATTAAAAATATCATCAAATCAAAAACAACCCCAATACTATGTATTGATCAAAACAGAAATCTATTCAACTAAATATATTATTTAATCGAATACTGTTATTTTCTGGCCAGTGCAGTCAATAAAAATTTCTTCTATAAATTTTATATGTAAAAATTATATGAATTCTCAAATAAGCCCAAGACCACCTTTGCCAAAATTTGATTGGAAATTAGTAGAAACCTAAAAAAAAGAAGAAACAAAATAAAAAACAGAATTACAAAAGTCTGATAAAAGAAGACTTAAATAAGTATGCCTATAAATAGATGAAATGCTCATAAAACTCTCATAAGTTAATTTTGAATTCTTAAATAATTTAAACCAAGAAAACATTAAGATCTAGTGTTTAGAGATATTGGATAATGAATTGATAGAGAAAGTAAAATCAAAAAAATATTAATCAATAGCAGGTGCATTGATTATATAATCTTTGAGAATCCTGCTTATTCCATTAAGAATTAAGGAAGTAACTTAAATATTTAATGTGGATGAAAAGTAAGTACGTAAGATCTTAATATTATTAAATAAATTTAAACCGTTTAATGAGGATGCATTTACAATAGCATTTATGGCAAGAATTTGTGCTTGCATAGGACTTAATCAGAAATTCTAAATATTATGCAAATTCTTTTATTCACATTTAAAGAATTTACATATCGTCTAAGGTGAACACGAACATGTTATAGCATCAGTTTTAGTTAAATTAACTGGAGATTTCGTATTCAAAGAAAAAGGAGGAATTAATTTAAATGTCGTCTCAGAAATAGCTGGATGTTGCGAAGTTTCCCTTAAGAATCTTCTATAAAAATTAATACCGTACAATTAAAACATGTAAGAATCCGCCTTTGAATTTTATCAGAGGACAAAATGATGGGAAAAAACCTCCATCTAAATTTTATAATTAATTATAGTCAGAATTATTATTGCAAATAAATAATTTATTCTTATATAATTTTTTATTCCATGATGATGTCATCTAATTTGATTCTATCTTTAATGGATCATAATCTTAAACTATGAGAGTATATCCAACTCTTAGTTTTTATTCTATTCTCTTTGTTAATGATAACATATCTATATAATGTAATCTATAATAAATATACCCAGCTGAACATCCATCAACAGATGATTTTGTACAATCTCCTTCTATATATAAAATTAATAACCATTACTAAATATTTCACTTCTATCGCACATCTTTAATTCATCTACTGCTGAATCCTAAATGAACAAGGTTTATCTACAGGGGGTAATTGCATAGGATTTTCGCATAAAGTGATTTTTATAAGATTTAGGTGGAGAGCAGGACCTTTACTTTTAATGGATATTTATTATTAATCCTTTAATTACTTATCCAGACTGAGTAACCAAATATATTTTTGTAAAATCACTATCTCCAACATATCTACCTATAATTACATAATCATAATATTTAATTGGTGATTTTGTCTTTAGATCTTAACATTAAGATAAACCACAAGATCCAGCAACTAAACTAAAAATTACATAAGACTAAATTGTTATATTATTATATACTTTGAGAAAACATTAATTGTTATTATAATAAATAAATGGAGAAATAGTTGATATATAAATAACTTCATCATTTTTTAGTGAGTTTGAGTTTAATAATTTAAGATTCAAATTTTGGTGAATTAAGAGTAGATAAATTTTTGTATGATTAAGGTTTTAAGGATTTTATAGCAGGTTCAATGGTTCGATCCTCTCCTATTATATCAATTTAGCAAATTGAAACTTCTTCATCAGCTGCTTCTTCTTAAATAGATTCAGAACTTAATTTGTGATTTTAAGTTTTCTTAAATCTACTAACTTAATTATGATATTCTTATTATTGTTGTGGGTGAGATTCTCTATATTAAACATGAAATAAAGGATAAGATAAATCTTTTTCGTTGTATCCACTTGCTTGTATCAACCTACGAAATAATTATTTGAATTTTTCATATTCCTAAGGAAAATCATTTGCATTGCTAGTTTTAACTAAATTTAAAAAATGTATAAATTCAATAGGAGCAGATTTGAATGTAATTTCAGGAACGATAGATAATTTTATTTGTTCCAATTTCTTGAGTTTGAGTCCTTTATTATCTGCATGAATTTTAAAGATCTTTGAATTTGTTACATAAACAAGTAAGATATAAGCAAGTGATTCAAGGTCATCTTTTGGTGTTGCGACTAATTAATTATTGGATATCTTTACATTAATTCAAATGTTGATTTATACTTGAGTATTTATTGAGGAAGTGTTTATTTGATATTGATTTATGATTATCCATACAACAGATTGATCCATGTTATAACTTAAATTTAGTTGCAAATTTGAAATCACTTAACAATATTTCATTACCACTAGTTGAAAGCAACAATTTTTTAGGTCTAATGTTACGATGAACTATTTAATGCTTATGAATAGTTTCTAAACAGGTTAACTATAATCTAGGACACATAATACAGTTTATATAGCTATAAGACATAGTATTGGA